TCAGCTCTGCTGTGGCTACACCAAGCAGTTCCAGCAGCGCCAGCTCATCTGGTATTTCAACTACAGGCAGAGTCGACCCAACCTTCGCCAGCAGTAGCAGGACTCCATCGTCCTCTGCGCAGACCAGTGGAGCTACTGGAACACTCCCAACTGTTCCCAGCCCCTCAATTAGTACACTGCCTCCCTCGACGGGTACTCGCTCAACTGCGGGCTACACCCTCCTGGTAACCGTCCTTTGCATGGTTGCTACCCTCTTCGCGTAATAAATACCCTTCCCGTGAAGAGTTTCTGTAATGTTTTTTTTTCATGTGCGCCTCGACGCACATTCACGACTCTCATTAACAAACGATGAATGAATATTCACGCTATTTTGACGATTTCTGGGATTTCTCGGGAAAGAACGGTGTTTTTGTGAGCCCAGCCGGCCAAGGCATGGCCAGGCTTTTAGTTGGGTGTTGTTTTTTTCTGATTTGATTGTTTGGTTGCCAAATTTTGCATGGATTGGCTTTAATTAATGGATGATACCCCACGACACTCATTATAGACGACGGGAGGCATGACGGATGATTCCCCACGACACTCACTATAGACACGGGATATATGATGGATAATACCCCCACCACACTCATTTAGACAACGGATCACACTGATGATACCAAGACACTCTCTTATACTACAAACAGATATGCTGGGGAAATCGGGTCAGCATGGGAGGACGGTAATTGGGCTCGAGCCATCATTGGTTGGCTTGAAAAGTTGCTACTGCGAGAGGGAGAACTTGGATATTTGTTCAAAGTTTGGACCTGGCGCCGATTGGCCTCAGAAGAAATGGATAAAAAATGGAACTATTTCACCATTCAACACATGTTCAAGTACAATGTGATGTGTAACCTGCAAGTGATTTCGTCTCAGTTCATCGTACCTTAAATCATACACATCTTCGTTTATTTCAAGTCACATTTTCAGTCATCGGAATAGTTATCAAAGCAGACAGCCGGCGAGGTGAGGTAGATGATAATAGAGAAAGACGTGCACACATGCTGTCATTCATATTCTATTCCAACAACATTATCGACAAGTGCCTGATTTCCCAACGGCATGTACCGTGACCCTATTGACAAAACGCCAAAACAACAAAAGACTCCCCTTAAACTAATAACAAAACGCCATCCCTGATGTAGACAGACATCCATTTGATCTAACAAGATTGCCCCTACCATGTTACTCATTTCAATCATTCAACAACAAGGTCCTCGAGCACATTCATGGCTTTCGACCCCTCGCTTTCAAAAGAACTGACCATCGCCTCACATTCTTGCTTCAACAGCTTTTCAGCCTCGCCCGCGTTGAAGTAGATCCATTCTTCCACGGTCATCTTCTTCTCGGGGCTTGTAAGGTCTTTGCCCTTCCTCAGAAGTCGCGCCACGCCATTCTCCTTATCGCCAGCTTGGTGAGGAGTTCCCATCACGGTGTCAATGTCTACGGCCTTCCATGGTGTCTTGCTTTGAAGACCGGCGACCATATTGCGCCTCGACGGCGAGCCACGCACAGGCGTTGCCTCCACAGGAGCCAGCACAACTCTCTTTGTCCTAGCGCTTGCTGCTGGCTTGGATGATGGTGGTTGGTTTTCCGCGTCAGAGGACTGCGGAGACTGGGATGGCGACAGAGCTGCTTGCCGAGCCGATGGCGCTGGTGAGACTCCTGTAGCTGGGGTGGATGGTTGTAAAGCGACGTGATTAGACTCCGAAGGCCTAGGCGTTGGTGCTTTTTGTCGCTCCATGAAGGGGGAGGAGGAAGGGTCTCCTACAATGGACTCGGGCCCCTCGACCAGGTCAACCGATTCATCCGCGTCTGCCTCCGCTTCGGCCAGTATTCTCGCCTCGGCTGCATCTGATTCGGCTAACAACTGGGCATCAGGTTCAGAAAGAGCAGGCTCTTCTTTCGACTGCTTGGGTGGCCGGCCACGCCCACGCTTAGGCGGAGCAGCTGTAGTAGCCGGCTCCTGGGCCTTAACATCTTCCGTAAAAGAGGCTGAAAGTGAAGCCTTGGAAGGTCTGCCGCGTCCGCGTTTCTTTTCTGGCTCTGGCTTAACTTCGACCTTGGGCTCCGACTCCATCTCGAGGTTCTCCGTTGAAACGTTCTGAGGAGGGGCCAAGTCTTGCGTGGGTGTCTTGGAAGGTCGCCCGCGAGACCTTTTCTTTGGTGGCTCAACTTCCTCCACGGCCAGCTCATCTGCATCAATGGAGACTTGGGAGGCCAGCGAATGCTTAGATGGGCGTCCACGTCCCCTCTTTCCTAGACTGGTTCTTTGTGGCTCCGACTTCTGGATGACAGTGCCGGTGCTACCAACACTAATCTCCGGCTCATCCACAACAGGGTCTGAAATATCAAGGGCTGCTGCTTCGGGTTCAGGTTCGTTCTGAGGTTCGAATTCTGGCTCAGGCTCAGGCTCAGGGGCAGGTTGAGCTTTCTTGGGCTTGGCCTGTTTTGACGCCTTCCGCGTGCCTGCCTTTCGTCCCTTCTTAGGGACTTGTAGTTGAGGTAGCTCTGGCTCGGCTTCTGGCTCGGAGTCCGGTATAGGCTCTGGTTCAGCCTCGGGTTGTGGTGTTTCCTCTGATTGGGCAACCTCCATCTCTGCACGCAAAGCTTCCAATTCGTCTTCGATTTCATCCTCATCTGGTTCAGCCGGATGGGGATCCAGCATTGCAAATGACTCTGATTTTTGTATTTCGACCGTCTTATGAAAACTTCTCTGCTCCTCCTCAAAGGATGCCTTGGCTCTTGACCTAGAACGTTCAGAATCAGAATCGGCTGCGATCTCCTCATCTTCCGTAAGGGGGGCTTCAAGTTCAGCTTCCAATTGGCGTTCGATCTCGTCATCATCTGGAAAGCCTCCTGGCGGTGCCCTGAAGTTTTCTGGGGAAGACACAGGTGCCACTACCGGAGCCTTTTGGGATTTCTGTGCGCTCACGACTCGGCCCTTCTTGCCCGCCGGTGCGGCTTTGGTCTCAACGGGCACATCAGTAGGGCTTTCATCATCCGAAAATTGAATTGCAGAACTTTCGACCACGGTATTGCCACGCTTTCGAGTAGCTCGCTTCTTCGTGGCTGGGGCTTCGGACTCAACAACTGACGGCTCCTCTATCGCCGTACTGGGCCGCTTCTTTCCACGCTTAGCCTTGCTCGGCTGGGCAACAGGGGATTCTTCGATGGGTGGTTGTTGGTCTTCAAGTCCGTCTTGCACGACAGGTTCTTGCACAGCAAGCTCTTCCTTTTTGCTCTTAGCCTTCTTGCCCTTAGCTGCGGGTGCCTTCTTTGCGCGGGTTTTCTTGGTGCCACCTTGCGTCATTACAGATGTAGTTGTGACGACGCTGTCGTCAGGTGCTGCTACTGTCTCCGCTACTGATGCTGGTTCGGAGGCGATGGAGACAGCCGACTGTGTAGACAGACGTGAAGCCTTAGAACCTCGTCCGGCCTTTGTGCGGGTTGCCTTCTTGGTTTGTTTGTGTTCTTCAACGAGTGCGAAGAAGGCGCAATTCGGTGATCGTTTGTAATGCTCGTCCCTTTCTAATTGTTAGCATACGGGGTCGAGGAACGACATGCCCTCATAAATAATCATGAAAGCAACATTCCAGCACTCACTTTGGTTTATCATCTGCTTCCCAACCATCCATGGCCAACTGACAGTATGTGCAGGTTGTCATATCGTCCGAATCTGGTGTGGGTGTGTACTTCCATCCCGATTCAACGAGCTAAGAAAGGTCAATTCGTCGTTCCTGCCCGTTTGCCAGTACGATCGGATGCGTCCTGATCTCACCTGCTTTGTTTTGCATTTCCACCCTCTCTTGTTCTCGTGAGGCCATCTGCCTGCAAATGTTGCCTTTCGCGCCATTACCATGTCAGGGTGGCTAGGATCCTCTCGCCAGTATCCTTCCATCTCAGCCTCGATGGCCGCGACAATTGCCCATCCGCAACCGGGTGAGTGTTTCAGATGCTCGCGCAAAGGGTCATCTCCCTCTTCCCAACCATCCATGCTCTTCTCGCAGAGGAAGCAAACAACATTGTCGGGATTGTCAGAGAACGGCAAGAAGAAGAAACCGGCTCGCGCAAGCTAGTTTGGCGCGCGTATTAGCAACCTGCTGACACGATTGGAGCTCAAGAAAAGGTGGGAGTGCTCACGCTCTCTGGGGAGATGGTCTTATGTGGCCAATTCTGGGCCTTCGCGCCTCGGCCGCCAGCCGTTGAACCTCGCTTCTTAGTCTTCTGAAACGAAGCGAGACGGCCGTCGAAGGTCAGATACTGGTCGTCTACTGTGATATCCGCCATGTTGGGCAGACTGGTGGTGTTGTCGTGATTTGCGCGTCGAACTCGTTCAGCAAAATATCCGCGTCAAAACAAATAGGTTGCAGGGGCAGATATGCGATTGGCGCCGATATGGGGTCTCGTTCCGGGGTTCAGGTCAAGCGTGAAATTCGTGTCATGTCTAATCGTTGGAGCATTACCTGATCATTAAAGGATAGAGGTAGAAGTATAAAGGTAGGTGAAGTGAACTGTCAAAAGAGAGAGGGATTATGGATAGACACGAAGAGGGACGCGAGAGCCAAACAAGCTCGAGGGCTGGATGCTTGGAGTTCCAGTAGGTCCTTGCAAGCCAATGACTGGGGGCTGAAGCGAATGACGACGAGTGAAGTGGGCGCGGACCAAACGCGTTTGTTTACTTTGGAAGATGTTGGTGGGAGTTTAGTGGGGCAGTTGCTGGCGTTTTCATTCCCGTTTGGCTGCAGGTCCACATCACAAATTATATTGACTTAACCTATACCTCGGGCAGCCTCCCATCTCCAGCACCAGGATATTCCGTATTGCGGCCACTAGTTACTCGAAACGTAGCTCCCACATGATGTAGCTTTACAGAGGCACTATAGGGAATTGAGGCATCAGGAAAGACCATGTTTATTTCGCAATGAAGGTCTAAACATCATGACAAGCTTGGCTGCCCCGACTCACAGCTTGCCAAGATCCTTCAATGCCTTCTCTCCATCAACTAAAACACACCAGCCTTCACTTCCCCTACCTCCATCCCCGTAGACAACGGCATCGAAAGCTCCATCTGCCAGGGCAAAGTCGAGTACCTCCTTGTTAAACGTACCCGGCTGCAGCCACACAGCGGGGATGCCAGCAGTCTTGGCTGCCTTGAGCACATCAAGGGTAACAGGCGGAGGTGTAATGATAGAGACACCGGTGTTCTGAGGGTCCGCCAGCTCCTGGACGTTCTTGACTGTTGGGTAATCCTGGCCGCCGACGGTAACAGACCCAGAACCTGGGTTGACGGGCGTGACAGGAAGCTTATGGGCCAGATACCATGCGTGCACTTGATAAAGAATAATGATCAGCGATGCAGGGTAAAGAAGAGATAGCAGGGGGATTAACCCTTGTGGCCAAACTTGGCTGGGTTTGAGCTGGCGCCGACAACGGCGAACCGGGCCGCGGAGAAGAATCGGTGTGCGGTTGCTTCGGTGGACATTGTGTGAAATGTAGGTGGAGTTTTGGATGGGATTTAGGGGTTTGTGATTAATGCTTCACCAAGATGATGGATATGTATCGGAGTGAAGGACGGCGAGAGGACTATATAATTGAGCTCGTTGCTAATGATGCCGACTGGCTGAGAAATGACGACTGCGGGGTTCCACGAATAACGAGCGAGGCCGTTTGTTCTTCATTACTGCAACGGGCAACTGGATGATAGCCATGTAGCAATGTGTCCAGAATGTTTCGTTCAGCCAAGGCATCTCGAGAAAATTATCAGATTAGGGCTTGATTCCGGCCTTCACATGTTCCTCTTCTGCTTAATGCTACGATGCTGTCAACAGGCTCTCCACAGGCTCGGAGTTTACGCCATTTAGAGAGGAATGTCTGTGACCAGTACCCTACGCTTTCGGCGTCGAAAAAGTAGAAAATGTAACATCTTGAATTCGATTCATCTGCCTTTAGATCAAATAAGCTGGGCTGAACATCGATCTGGTTAGGCTAGATGAAGATTGAGGGGAATTATTCCTTCTACTGCGACTGTATCATGTTTTTATAGATTAAATCCTGCCGCATAGTAAGTAGCATTGTTGATTAAATGAGCACCTCCCTAGGGTAATTTAGAGGTGCTTAGCTTGTGGCTGTTACGAGTGAGAAGATCCCAGTACCAAGTGTCATCTCTCCGCTGTCAAAGGCCACATTTGATGGTAGATGTATGATATAGCAGATAATCAACATCTGGTTATTTTATTCATAGTCCTCGTGCCTCCGTCTGATTTTATGAAAGCTTAGCACACCGCCGCTGATAGCATAATGTAGCTGATTGCAATTACTGCTAGGCAGTGGCTTGAGCATTGCCGGCCACGCTATCGAGGCCCGGCACCCAAAACAGCTGTCTCAAAAGGAGCCATGGCTTCAATAGCCCGGCCGGCTGGTCGCAGGGACTGGGGCACTGTCAGCTTGGCGGCCTGTCGTTGACTCGTTGCCCCGTCAGTCGCAGCATGGACAGGCAGGAAAAAAGGGGCCTTTTATCCACGGTGCGCATAAGCGGGTGACAGAGTGTACCAAGTTATGAAATGACCAGACCAGACAACAGAAAAGGCCCTGGGCACCGCCAAAATTGATTTCTCGTCCTTTCATCATCTCCATCACCAGTTTCGCACGATCCTACAACCGCTCATTCCATCGCTTTTTCGTGGGATAACCCCTCCGGCAGCCCGGGCAAGACACAAGACACAGAATCTCGCAGCCGCTGGCGTATTTGTTTAGGCCCCCCTAAAAGTACCTACCAGTACCACCGACGCAATAAACACAATGGTGAGTTGCCCCGGCACCCGAAGGCGTAAACACAGCCAGCAGCACACCACCCCGCCAGCGCTCGTGATTCGCTGGCAGATGCACTGGAGGTCTGCCGCATTTCCAAGCGCAAAAAATACAAGACCGCCAAACAGTCGCATACCTGCCCAATCCCTCTCCTTTCCATCAGCTCCGATCTCTGCGCATCGCTAGAACCACCAAGCATTACTTTGCCCACCATGTCTTCTAACCACATTGACGCCCAGGCCTCGACCAACTACAAGGAGGCTTTTGCCCTGTTCGACAAGCGCGGAAACGGCCGTGTCACTCTCGAGAGCCTTGGCGATCTGCTCCGCGCCTGCGGCCAGAACCCTACCCTCAGCGAGATCCAGGACCTCGAGAAGAATGTTGGCGGCGAGTGTGAGTGCCCTATTTCAATCCATCTGCATGCGACCGACGACGTCCCGGTGCGATTCCGATGCTGACCGTCCCAGTCGACTTCGAGACCTTCCAGCGTGTCCTAAACCGCCCTGGTGGCTTCCGCGACCCCGGCGAGCCTGACGAGTACTGCCGCGGTTTCCAGGTCTTCGACAAGGACATGACGGGCTTTATTGGCGTCGGCCAGCTCAAGTACATCCTGACCAACCTCGGCGAGAAGATGACCGACGAGGAGGTCGACGAGCTCCTCAAGGCCGTGGACACCAGCTCTGGCCAGGTCAACTACACCGGTACGGATACTCCCCCCCTCGATGTCTCGATAACAACTGTGCCCTTGCTGACTTGTGGCTTGTTTTTCTAGATCTTGTGCGAACCATCCTCGCCAACTAGGCGATCAGGACGCCAAACAAGCCTGCTTTTATGTTGCATCTGCGTTTAGGAACGGCGGCGTTGCTCTATTTACATGTGATTTGGCCTGGGATTGACTACATTGGGATTGGAATGGATGGCGATGAGGTACTGCGACTGTAAGATGAGATGTCGTATATGGCTATTACGGTAGATAGCTTCTCGAGTCTCGAGGCATCACTCTAGAACGTGCTGCACGGGACTGCGATGTTGCTCTTGATAAATAAACATGATAGGATTCTGTATCCCTAATCTTGAATTGCGCCCCAACACATCGCATGAACCAAGTAGTGATTGCTATCTACAAAGATAATCAAACTACAAGCATGACTGGCGGGAGATGGCCCTCGTGTCTGATTGACTCCTCTGCGGCATGTCAAGAGGTGTCTAGTTCTGATCTGTCCTCAATGCTTTCTTCTGGTATAGGATGTCCTCCAACAAACATGTTTTCTGAATGCTCATAGCCATCCGTAAGCAGGGCTCATTTAGGGTAGTCATTGGGTCTGTCATCTCCCCAACATCAAATCGGAGACCCACGAACCGACAGTGACCTCTAAAATGTCTTCTTCCAACCCATAGATACTTATGCGTTCTCTATGGCTTTGTGATGGAGAGGGCTGCCAATTTCCAGCAGTTCAACGGGCTGGAGATTGCTTACGATGCCATACCACTTTCGGCTTCGGCGATCTTTTGAAGGTCGCTTCTACGAGAGTGCGAAAGGCTTCCCTTCCCCTTCTGTGCAATGGTTGCGCCTTGCCAGTTTAGGGGCTTGCCATCCAACTTCTGCATTAGAATATAACCAATGCCGACGGCGTTTGTCGGTTCGGACTCTCACGCCCAATCACACACTTGTAGCGAGGGAACGTTTGTATGACGGCTCAGGAACTCCATGGTCGCGGCCTCGCTCCCGCATCACATAGGTAGTCATGCACCTCGGTCGGCGGTGATATTGCGCTGGATAAGTCGGCGAAAGCAATTTTGGCATGGCGGTTCTGGCCACCCCTCATAGTCGAGAAGGTCTTCGGTGATAAGTCAATCGTACATGTGTCACTATGCACCTGTGGCGCACGTTTATATACTTAGGTAGTCTCCCGCTTTCGATTTGTCGGCATAGTCCACCCAGTCGCGGGGAATCTTCCACTGCGTAGTGCGCACTAAAGGTGCTCGCAGCTGATGATACCTATTGCAAGCGAATATTTGTAGTTCTATAGAGGAGCCAACGCCAATGAAAGCATTTAACTCTGCTTTGGGGCATTTATGAAACCGGCAAAGATGCCTGGTGCCGAGAACCTGATGGAAGCTTTGGCGCAGGTTTCAGCTCGATACCCTATATCAAGTCTCTAAGCCAAGCACAGTAAGAGATGAGAAATTCTAATCAAGCATCCGGACAACAAGGGATACTACATCTTTGTAAATGCTGATCTTGACATTGTGAGCATTCTGGATGAAGATTGGGGCAGCATGGTTTTTAAGAAGATAGACACGATTGAGAAGAGTAAGGGTTTCGGAAGTCACAGCTTGCTAACATGTTGCAGGCTGTATTAGGAAGAAATTGACGGTCCAAGAGGACTTCGGAATCGGGCTTTGATGTGGATTTATTCTTTATTGCTCACCCATAGAGAAGTAAGTCATGGAACCAAATAAACAAGGCTATTGGCACGTCTCTACCTAGGTAGGTAGATTCTAAGGAAGGTTCATAAGAATAAACATCTACGAGTAACCCCCACCTATTTCCTATTAGGAGCAGAGTCTTCCCGTCACACTCACCCCGCTTCTGGCGACAGCGCATCATCAGGTGCTCTGAGGCAGGTAATGGAGGGGCACTTTGAAGGCGAGTATCTGGACCCGAATCATGCATAATAACATTGGATGGTTATGCATTTTGATACTGAGGCTGCGCCGCCTCTTGCCTGAATGCGCACACCGCTTGTTCTACCGCCTTCCAGCATCGACAAATTCGGGTCGAAAAGGTGCGACATGAGGTAATAAGCATCCCTAGACTGATCTCCTCCCGCGCGTAGCCCAAGTACCTGTGCCGCAAGGGGCATGAGGGACTTGAGATGTGACACCATCGGACTTGCAGTGCCTCGAGATGGCGGGGCAACATAGTGATAGGTCGATAGGCGCCTGAGGAAGCATCTCGGCCCACCGCTCCTGCCGCCTGCAGTTGCATCCAAGGTTAGTACCTTCCGGTCCTTCCCCCACCTTCAGCCAGCCCAGTGTAAGAGACTGAACAGCATTTTCGCCCCGTTCAAATAACCCCAGAGCCCAATTGTCTGCTCCCGGCTTTGCCTCCCTCTCCAGCTTGCCATTGATCCCCAGGTGTATCTCGCCTGTCCAGTACATAAGCTGGATCGACGCGCGAGGCCCATTTCCCTCTACTTCCTCCTTCCCTTCCTCGTCCTCCTTGTAGCCGCCACCCTGGCTTCCCAACGAGCATTTCCTCGCCTCAACTCGCTCGTCTACCATCTAAGAACCCAGGTGGTCCCTTTCCGTACTGTGACTACGAGCGCCATGGTCGCTCCTCAGTTCCAGACGCCTCCTCAGGCGCCCCCTCTCTTTACTCACACTGCCGAAGCCATCGTCAGTGAGACGGAGCGGTTGAACGCCAACTATAAGAAGATTCTTGATGACATTGTGGCCAGCACGAAGCCAGAGAACTCCACATTTGCCAAGGCTCTGGAGCCTGTCCTCTTTGAGGACAATGAGACTGCTGTGTCCCGAAGGATTCTGAGCTTCTACCAGCATGTGTCGACTAACCAGGACCTTCGGGCGGCCTCCACCAAAGCCGATGAGATTACGACTCAGTTTGATGTTGAATGCCGCATGCGAGAGGATGTCTTCAATGTGGTGAATGGTGCTTTTGAGAAGAGAGAGACTGAAAAGCTCGAGACGGAGGCTCTGCGCATCCTGGAGAAGGAGCGCAAGAAGTATATCCGCAATGGTCTGCTCCTCCCTGCCGGACCGCAGCGAGACCGCTTCAAGGAAATCAAGAAGCGCCTGGGATTGCTGTGCATTCAGGCCCAGAAGAACCTGAACGAGGAGAAGGCTGCTATCTGGTTCACCCCGGAAGAGCTCAAGGGTGTCCCCGAGGACGATATCAACATTGCTGACCTCGAGAAGGGCACTGGCGAGAATGAGGGTAAAGTCAAGCTGACTTTCAAGTATACTCACTTCTTCCCCTTCATGAAGTATGCCCAAGACGGCGAAGCAAGACACCGATACACCATAGCCGACGCCAATAAGGTAAGTTCTATTCGTGCTGAATTCGAAAGCCCTCTAGTGACGTTTTTGAAATGCTAATTGTCCTAAAAAGGTCAGCCAAAACGTACCTATTTTCCAGGAGATTTTCGAGCTTCGTGACGAGGCTGCCCGACTCCTGGGATATCCCGACCATGCAAGCGTTGTGATTGAGGAAAAGATGGCCAAGACCCCGGCCAAGGTCAAGGAATTCTTGAACGATCTCCGTGTTCGCCTGGCCCCAGGTGGCAAGAAGGAAGTCGCTAAGCTTCTGGAATACAAGAAGAAGGACTATGAAGCGCGGGGCTTAGACTTTGATGGTAACTTTTACATGTGGGACACCTCCTACTACTCTCGCCTCCAAAAAGAGCAGGAGTACAGCGTCGACGAGGTCAAGATTTCCCAATTTTTCCCCGTTGACTCGACCTTCAAGGGGATGCTGAAGATCTTCGAAGAAATTCTCGGTCTCTTCTTCGTTGAGATTACTAAGGAGGATGCGGCACGCCTTAGCAAGACTGGCAAGGCTGAAGATATCATCTGGCATGAAGATGTAAAGCTGTATGCAGTCTGGAACGACGAAGCAAGCGGTGGTGAGTTTGTGGGCTACCTCTATATCGACCTTCACCCTCGTGACAACAAGTACGGCCACAACGCCAACTTTGGCATCGAACCGGGCTATACCAAGAAAGATGGAACCCGAAGCTACCCCTCCACCGCTTTGGTTTGCAACTTCAGCAAGCCCAGCCCCACCAAGCCATCATTGCTGAAGCACAATGAGGTTGTGACACTCTTCCATGAACTTGGCCACGGTATCCACGACTTGGTTGCTCGTACACGATACAGTTACTTCCATGGAACATCGGTTGTGGATGACTTCGTCGAGGCGCCCTCTCAGATGCTTGAGAACTGGTGCTGGACACCAAGTGTCCTCAAGTCGTTGTCCCGTCACTGGCAGACCAACGAACAGATCTCGGACGAGCTGGTTGATAAGCTAATTGCCAGCAAGAACCTCAACTCCGCCATTTTCAACCTCGCGCAGCTGTTGATCGGTCTTTTTGATATGACTGTCCACTCGCCAGAATCCCATCAGGCAGCCAAGGATCTGGATGCCGGAAAGCTCTGGAATACTCTCCGCGGTGAAATCTCTGGCATCAAGGGACCTGAGGATGTGGGCGAGGGAATGTAAGTCAATACCCAACACCAGGCCATCTAGCGTCTTGTGATCTTGCTAACACTATGTAGTAAATGGGGTAGCCGATATGCCCATATCGGCCACTTTGTTGGTGGGTATGATGCTGGCTACTATGGATATCTCTGGTCTGAGGTGTTCTCGACGGACATGTTCGCCACCTTTTTCGAGAAGAACCCGATGGACCCAGCCCAGGGTCGCCGATACCGGAAAATCGTGTTGGAGAAGGGCGGCAGGGAGGATGAGATGGGCTTCCTCACCGAGTTCCTTGGCAGGGCGCCCAGTACTGAGGCATTCTACAAGGAGCTGGGTCTGGCCTAGTTCTACAGCAACATGGCACAGTTTTACAGGAGAATATATAACGTTAAACAAGTGTCTTGTTAAAGTTCACAATGAGTACTTAACCCCTCGATTTTCAGAGAAACCCGGTATCATATGGTGAACGAAGGGAACGAGAGAAGGATTTTGGAGGCACTTTTGAACTGTACAGTACTAGAGAATATGGCCGACTCTATCTTGAGGATGCAACCTGTTGTTATTCCCAACTAATTATGGACAATACCTTCCAATAAGAAATATACTCTTAAGCTACCTAGGTACGGCCATCTGACAATCGCAATATAGATCGGAGCCTGGATAGAAGGATTTGACCGCGCAAGTGTAACCAAATGACGTAATTCGAATCACGACAGATCTAGCCATGAAAGTATTATGCTGAGAAGCATGATGGGTGTTAGTGGTAATATCAAGTGAGAACAAGAATATACCTATTGGTAAGCAACGTGCTGCTTCGTGTTCTGGTACGCGGTTGGAACGGTGACCTTGTTTATGCCAGAGTCACGAGGTCTGCGCTGGGGCCGTGGGTTAAGAGAAGGGGAAGGAAGGGTGGGATAGGTTTCCGAGAATGAGGATGCGCTTTCAGCCATCATCCTTTTGTAAATCCGTGCATATCTGGCGGAGTGTGTGCGACATGGGCGCAATTCGTGGGTGGAGTGACGGAGCGCCATGATCAGCCCGTGGGATGGCGGGTGAGTTCGGAGCTGAGCACATGGTGTCCAATGTGTATGCGGGGTGGAACAGGGAAGTGAAAGGTGTGGCTTCGGGAGGAAAAACAAGGAATGGTGTAATAGTTTATCTCAATTGGGGGAGACTGGCATGCTGTGGTGATTGTGTTCTGCCTGAGTGGTTGGGCCTGTTCGAGGCGGGCGCAGCCTGAGGGTGAGGGAACGAAGGACAAATCCCGCAGTGGGAAATAAAATGGAAGAAACAAGATGGGAGTCGTTTGAATGAACTCTGGAGAGAAAGGTATCACGATCGATGTGCAGGCGAATGAGTGGAATAAAAATGGCATACAACACCATGCTTTTAGCCCCTGAAATGTGAATCATGAACTCCGTTTCGTCAGTTGAGGGTTCTACCCCCGATTTGAGCGTAGAATCTAATGTACGACGACTGTTTAGATACCCCATTCAATTTTATTGTGTTCTTGTTATTCTCTCGGGATACCATATCTAGGTCTATACATGTGTGGTATGATTAATCTCGCCCACCTGGCAGGGTATATTGGGCATCTTTGAGCCTACACAGCGATTATCTATCCACGTTACAATGCCCCGGGGAATAAATATGATGCGGGATGCAATAGATCAGATGAGCTCGGCGGCCGACTTTGACTGTAATATCACCACACCGCCTGCTGGGTTGGTTGAACACGAGTGACTCGGGACGAGACTCGAGGGCAGCACGGAGGCGGGTTATTAAAATGGACTTCTTGGTGCAATCATTGGTCTGCGACGAGACAGTTAAAGATCTTCTGTCTTCCAGATCTTTTGTTCGGAGGGTTCATGGCCCGTGAACCTCGTTCAGGATCCTTCCGAGGCCGCAACCGGTATCTTCTGGTGGAACAACAAGCCACGCTGCCCGGTGCTGAGGGGCTCTACCGGCGATGCATTTGATTGGTGGCTCCGTTGTACGGTACAGATCATGCTCCTACATTCGCCGTTGTGTTTGTTGGATATTCGGAGTTGGCTGATTGCTTAGGCAACTTCCTTGCAAAGTCAGGTTTCCTATCGCTCTAATCTTCTCTCACGCAGATCAGTATCCGTAATTCAATGACACATACCTAGCCATCCTACTGAGCTTAATATAAATCCGACCTAGGGAAGGGGAACCCTGACCAGATCATGTTGTACAGGGTCACCTGCATATCGGTCACCAGCATGTCTCGGAGTAGGTCCTTCTTGCGATTGGTAGCTGAAATGAGGCCTTAGGCCATTTTGATCCATCCAAAACACGTTAAGGGTAGCGGCAGCTAAGAAAGATGCTATATTGAGCGATCGAAGTTGAACTAGCAAACTGCCAACAGCCTTGCATGTGCGGCGTCAGACAACCTTGAAGTCTTACGGGCCATTAACATTGCGATGGGAGCAAAACGGTGGCTGATTGTAGTCGGCCAACAAGTTTCGCAAGGCAGGTAGAGCTCAAATGCACCTCGATAATACGAGCTATGTTGGTACACATCTCCCACCAGACAAGATGCCCATGCGCGCGGACCGGAGGAGGTGGAAAAGGCAACCCAGGGCAGCTCGTTCTTGTGCGATGTGCCAAGTCTGACGCACGCTTCAGCTGACCGACAGAAAGGGAAAATGAGTTTCGTTGTACATGGTCCTTGCTATCATGCACACGTGTTTCGAGCTACACGACATGCAGGTCGGGCCAGGAGGGACAGACTTCATGGATATGATTAGGTATGAGTGGCCTGTTTTGCGTTGAGGAGGGCCAACGTCAGCGCCTCACCACGCGGCACTGTAACATCAAATGCAGTGTCTGTCACAGAGATGTGTATTTCCCTTCCTCACGACACATCCTGTGTGCCTTTCTGAAGTAGCGCGCTGCAGGGAGACGGATACAGGAGACGGGCGGGTTTGGCGCTCCAGATCGGCAACAGGATGATATGCGTGTGGCATGGCCGGGCTTGGCGAGAAATAGTCATCTGCGGCATTCAGGTAACTCAGCAAGGCTATCTGGTTGTTGAGGTTTAAATTAATCGGCGCAGTGACGTTTGTAGTTTCGAGGAAGCCTGACTTGCCTCGCCCGGCTGAGAGTTATTCGGCATGCAGGTATGCATAGGTTAAATGTGATATCATGTAAACCGGTACCTGAGATGAGGGATCTACGCTTTTGTAAAATCCTAAACCTGATATTCGTTTGCCGTCCTCGCTTCAGAACCCGGTTGTCGGTGGCCGGGTGTGACCGTGGACTGCCACTTCCCTACATAACATCTTCTTCGCTTATCCATGTGGCCTTCTATTAATTGCCAGCCATGTCCCCCATTCACTGTACTTTTGTTCTATCAAAATAAAAATAAGCAGAAAAATAGTCATCTCTTGTTTGCCTGTTTCATGATTTCGGCGGTCTCTACATACACTTTTGCCACTTGCTAAGCAAAACATCCGACAGCAACTCAACGTTGTCACTGTAAGAGGAAGACTCCCATTCATTTATCGTGTTGAATGAGCTGGAGCAACTTGGATCTCGTCCCTGCCTCTTTCATCCAAAAAGGGCACTGTCAATCAACAGCACCTCATTATGATGAGCGACAGCGAGCTGAAGTCCTCAAATGAGGCGTTCTCGACCTTTGACCATGATGAGCGGACTGATCCGTACTGTGGAATGTCCGCGGAAGAGAGAGAGTTAGAGGTAGCATACCTCCCTTGTTCTTGATTCCATAATTCGCTTTCGCTCCTTGGAATAGGGTCACTGATAAAATATAGGAGCGTAGGCTTCTGTGGAAGCTGGATATTCAACTCATCCCATGGGTTAGTATATGCGCACTTGGGTGTTTCGCAGGCGACAGAATACACTCTTTCGTCTGATGAAACCTGTCTAATTATCTAATGACTCAGACTGACTGGTAGTAGCTTTGCCTGTTGTATTTGATATGCTTCCTTGATCGAACTAATATCGGAAACGCCAAGATTGCTCACCTTACCGAGGACATCCCGATGACGACAAACGAGTTCAATGCTACATTGACCATATTCTTTGTTGGATATGCCGCGTTTGAGGTTCTTGCCAACTTCTTACTCAAAAGATTTCGACCGTCTATATTTATACCGTCTACAATGTGAGCAAGCAATCTACACTCTGATTCAGACTCATGCTAACTTGTACATTTCTTCTGAACAGGGTTCTCTGGGGTGCTTGCATGCTGTCCATGGGTTTTGTGACCTCTTGGTCAGGCTTGATGGCAACTCGTTGGTGGCTTGGAGTCACGGAAGCTGGCCTGTTTCCTGGTGTCAACTACTATCTCTCCTGCTGGTACAAACGCAGCGAGTTCGGTGTCCGCGCTGCCATATTCTTCTCCGCAGCGGCTATAGCAGGGTCCTTTGGAGGTCTTCTGGCAGCAGCAATCCAGACTATGGACGGCGTGGCAAATTACGCCGGTTGGCGCTGGATCTTCATCATCGAGGGGGCCATCACTATTGTAATTGGAATTGTGTCGTACTGGATGGTGCACGATTTCCCCGACGAGGCCAAGTTCCTGAACGAAGATGACCGAGCACGGGTGTTACTGCGGCTGAAGGAAGACAAACAGAGCTCTGCGGAGCACGAGGACTTCAGAATGGAATTCCTGTGGGCTGCGCTCAAGGATTGGAAGCTGTACGTGGGAATGCTCATCTACATGGGGCCTCTTATGCCGCTATACTCATTCAGCCTTTTTCTGCCCACAATCATCCAGAATATGAGCTTCACGGGACCCGAGGACATCATCAAGAACCAACTCCTGAGCGTGCCACCGTACGTTCTCGCGGCGCTCCTGACCGTCGTGGTCGGATTCTGGTCGGATAGGATCCAGCGTCGGGGCATCTTCAACATTTGCTGCGCGCCCGTCAGCATCCTGGGCTTCGTCATGCTCATCTGCACGACGGACCCGATGGTGCAGTACGCGGGGACGTTCCTAGGCGCGATGGGCATCTACCCGGCCATATCGCTTACCATTGCCTGGATCGCCAATAATGTAGAGGGGGTCTACAAGAGAGGCATTGTCCTGGGGTTCGTGATTGGATGGGGCAACCTGAATGGCGTGGTGAGCAGCAACATCTACTTCAACGCACCGCGGTTCTTCGAGGGCCACGCCGTTATCATCGCGTACCTGTTTATCTGTATCTTCGGAGGCAGTATCCTAATGACGGTACTATTATCTCGCGAGAACAGGAGACGCAGTAAGGGACTAAGAGATGAGTGGGCTGAGGGTAAGTCGGCTCAAGAGATCGAGACTCTTGGCGACAACCGTCCCGACTTTTTCTACACGCTCTGAAGCGCGAGAGACGCTGATGCCTCAATGACGTTGGAGAGGTTAGAGAGGAGAATACGAGTATCGGATTGATGTTTCGTTGGGAGATTGGATTTTCGGAATAACCAAGGACGGGACTGTTTGAAAAGCGGAACAGAAGGAAATGCGGTTTAGTTGGGGATGTATTGCAAAGGGGATGGATATATTGGCTTGATGCAGGCGCTTTCATCTTCTTCGAGCCACATGTGGTCATAGCATGTGTGAGCATACTTACAAGTGTTTTTTTAACAGGACAGAGATTGAGCATGGTTTTCGCTCGGAGGTAGATATCCAATTGATCGATTTATCACTTGATATTTGGTGACAATTGCACGCTTAGAATAAAAAACAACGAGGGAAAGAAACAAGAAAAACACATTAGAGGAAGCGACAAGCAGAAGAAATAGTAGAAGGAAGAAGAAGAAAGAAGAAGATAGAAAACAAACAGTAGAGAAAAGGAGGACTCTCAGGGCATTTTTCCAAGAAGAGAAGATGATAGAGTGATTGGGGGAGGCTTCAATGACTTCCGTAGTTTTCCTCGCTTTTTAACCACTTTGAGGTTTCGTGGCAAATGTCTTTGATGGCTTTTGACATCTTTCTTTCAGCCCCGGCATTTTCTTCTTGGAGCAATAGCTGGGGTTGACCTTCCTCCCTTTACCTTCATGGTTGAAGAAGCAATTTCAACAACGGTTCTATAGGAGGTGTGAGCTTTCTTTTCTTTAATCTTGGCACATCCCTGTATCGGATTTCTCGGGCTGCTCTGAACGTTGAGACCATAGGATGTCTGGCTGCCATTACATCAGGTACATCGACTTCAGATGGGGTGAAATTCATTGGAGAGTTTGTCCTTGGGGGCAGCGGGATGGGCTCTCCTCGGCGAATGCCACGGCGAAGCTCCACGGCTTGGTGGACAGGATCAGAGGATCAGGTACTTGTTCTCGGGCAGGTTTTTGCACCTCCATAGCTCTTCCTTGATTTTGTCGGGGCATGTCAGAGTGGTCTGAGGGCTCTCAGTTGGTGAAGATTGGATGTTGAACGTTTAAACACGGACACTGTCCTCTTAATGTGTCTCGACTCGGCCTGGGATCCCCTAGTAGGATCCAGGCAGTATTCTTGTGGCTCCAAGCACTTGTTCTTATTCTGGGCTCGACACTGCGGCGAAGTAGGGGAAGGTACAATCTGTCGGGCTCACAAAGGAACTGAGGCTAATTAGCTCCTTGAAGAGTTGCATCATGAGAGTGCGTGTAAGATGCTAGCTGCAACAATCTAAGGCAGTAGGCAATATGATCACTGCCCCTTGCAGCGGGGGCGGTTGCCAGCCAATAGCGGCACCAACATGTGCCTAAAACCGTAATCGCCACCCCTTGCCCCTGTTAGCTGTGGGGAGAGGCACCGGGTCTGGTGTTGATGCTCTATAGCCGACTAATAGAGAGCCCCATCTGCATGTTGATTTGAAAGATACTTGAGTGTGAATCAAGATGAATAGATGACCGTGTCAATCCGGTAGCTCATTGACACCAAAGGGACCTGAGCAAGCTCATTGCCATCAACGCAGCATCTGCTTCCACCTAGATACATGCAGGTAGGTCATCTGCGACTCTCTCCCAACGGCCTTGGAGCCCTTTGACGGTTTGTTGGTGTTGAGGATGCAGAGTATGTGGCTAGCTATGGTTGGGAGTACCGCATCTTGATCGAAGCTTACGAATTCCATTTCAAGTGGCGGACTATGATGCTGTTTCGCCTATCAATGGTCAAGATCCCCTGGAACAAGACACCCCGAAGAGGACCGGGTGTCTGTACGCGGAACAGATTAAATGATCAAGCTTTGCATCAAATGCTTCAATTATTAGGCTTTTGGTCTGAAACAGTGTCTGCTGTCGTGATTTCGGGCCTGAAAATATCATGTACGACTTTGGTACACCCGGAGAGCGAGACAGGACAAGGCGAACGAACATGGTGATATCAGGTTTCATACGCGACAAAGGGGCTGCCTTATATACAAGTTTCCCGCGCATTCCATTCAACAAGAACAATAGCCCCTGTGGCGCAGTGGTTAGCGCGCTCCCGTGCGGTTTCCCTGTGATGTACTCACACTGAAGAGAAGACCGGGTGTAGGTGTGCCCCCTCCCCCCTACGGTAAGTCAAAAGAATGAGTACATCACGGGGCCACGGGAGAGGACCTCGGTTCGAATCCGAGCAGCAGCATATTTTTTTTTTCAATTTTTCTTTCAGTTTTTCTGCGTTTTGTTCTCCAAGCCCTCAGCTTTCAAACGGCATCCTGAATACCGGGGTTATATGGCGTTTGACTTCAACAATCACAGAGCCAGATCTCTCGATCTAGTTCCTACCTCCCAACTATAAGTCTCGCTTTGAAGCTTTCTCCTTCATGACGGATCGTAAAAGCACAAGCAGGCCGATATCTGCCTATGTTGGAGTAGGGGTATGAAAGATATCACCCCGCCTGTTGATCTGCATTTATTTCGCATCATGGAGAGATCATAACTGGCTGAGGGATTCAATTTCCGTTGCACAGCCCGGAGGACAATGCATTTTACACAATCGTAGAAGTGCACAACCTCGTGATTGGGCGTCATCAAAAGTCTTGGGCAATGCTTCAGCTGCAGCGTCCGCCATACAAGCACAAGCGTTCGGCTGGTGGACTGCGTTGGGTCCAAGCTCCCTGCATGCTGCACTGGGCAAACTGCCTATCCGGGTGCGTCATGTACCGAGTGGAAATTGCTTGTGTAACTGAGGGTGGAAAAGCATCGATAGCCTTCTCCTTTGTCGCCAATCCAGCTGGATTCGAGAGGAGGCACTTTGTTTGTCCGCTGCCGTGTGCAAGGCAGGAGCTGCAAGGTGTAGGCATACAGATGTGTTTTGTTTTCGCCATTGGAATCGTGAGGAAACAGCGGGCAAAAAAGAAGGGAGCTGTGGACAGAGACGTCGTGTGTTGTGTGACATTGATGTTTGTTTCGTGTGTGTGCACCGACAGAGCAGGAACAGACGGGCGAATAAGGCGACAGACAAAGAACTGGAAGGCACCTCACCGACTTCCTGACTTTAGGTACTCATAAAGGGAACCAGCAGCATTACTGCCCAGAGCAGCAGCCAGCCGCGATGCAGACACGGAGGTCTGTTCCCAAGTCCATCATCACCACCGAACCAACCACAACAGATGCAGATGCGCGCATATGCCCAAGCAATAAACAATTTTCGTTGCGCACATCGTCTGACCGCATATTTTATTTGCAGATTCGACATCCCGGGCTCCTGATAGGACCGGGCTTCTAGCGTCGGCTACCTGCATATGAAGTGGTACAGACATTCGGCAGCTCGCCTCTCCTCGACCAAACGATTGCCTTCGTTCGACGGTCTGCAACATGTCTATGCATGTATTGGCCCATATTCATGACCTTGTTAGATTGTCTTTCCACCCCGCTCCGAGCCCAGACTCGTCGGCACAGGGTCGAGTCTTCTTGGCGGGAGAGAGGGAGCCTCAAATGAGGGGTCCCCATCCCCATCAGTGGCCACCGACAACTCAGCCAGCATACATGTTCCCGGTCTCTTCTTCTTTCTTTCATATTGCTTTTAAGCATGAATCAGTTGATTCATGCCGTGTTCGTGCACCGAGTACAAGAACAAGACTCTGCCCTCCTTCCCGCTCGCAGGTCTAGCTGCTGCTCCATCCACACTTCCATCCTCGTCTCTTCTCTTGACTACAACCAACTCACACACACACATCTTTCTCATGATACGGCGCTTAATTGCCGTGTCTTTTCTGCATCACAGAGCTCGCGCTCAGTGATTTGACTCGAGTTGCTTCTCGCGTATATATTTGCAAGCACATACGCACCATTCTTAGCTTTCAGCTCGTGAGCCATGGACGCTCTCAGCACGGGCGTCGAGATGCCTACCATCGTGCCACCCACGAGCGTCCCGCCCACCAAGATTCTCCCTCAGATTCCTACCTCCGAGTACCCCAATATCCCAGCTAGCGAGCATATGACGCCGGGCCAGATGGTGACTTTGACCGTGCTCGAGCGTACTGGCGGCTGCATCAGTCTCGTCGCCACCATGGCCATCTTTGTGGCCTTTGCATTGTTCCCACGTGTGCGCAATGTGCAGAACACATTCATCGTCTTCGCGAGCGTTTCCAATGTTGGCGCCAGTATTGCAAGCGTCATTGCCATGGAAGGCTTGGCCATGGGACGGAGCTCTGGGCTTTGCCAGGCCCAGGCGTTTATGTTTGAAATGTGAGTAGGCACGCGCGGTTCTGCAAATCTCTCCTCCTCGCTGAACAACGTGACACAGGTTTATGCAGTCTGATCCGTGGTGGTCCCTCGCCATGGCCATCAATGTCTTCCTCGTCTTCTTCTTCCGCGCCAAACCTGAAACCTTTCGAAAGTGGTGGTGGCTCTACTGTGTAATCTGCTACGGAGGCCCCTTTTGTATTGCCCTGGCTTTGCTGCTCGTGCGGAATCCCAGGCGGGGGTTGGTTTATGGCGAAGCAACTGTAAGAGCACCCTCCACATGCTCACTTCCAGCCGTGCCTGTGCTGACAAGCTGAATAGATCTGGTGTTGGGTGGATCGGGCCTGGGACGACATTCGAATCTACACGTACTATATGCTCATCTGGATATGCATTGTTGGCTCGCTCATTCTGTACTTCCTAGTTGGCTTTCAGGTCTTCCAAGCGAGGAATCGTCTTCACGATCTCTCCACCTCCAGGAGTCGAGACCCAACGGCAGTCGACGATGTGAGTTCCAGATTATTCATCCCCTTTCGTAAAACCTTCAACTGCATGCATCTCCTGACAGCCAAGGTGGTAAAGGCAGCCCACAGCACCAACAAGCACCAGCTGTCCGACATGCCTAATGAGGGCTTCTACGGAACCGTCATCACCGAAGTTCAGATCATTCGATCGACTCCTTCCAGCTCGGGGAGCCCTTCAGAACCGAAGCCAGTTCACATGAATCACCCGCGGACCAGCTCCCCAGCCTCGTCAGGCCCATGTGCTGCCGCGTCCTTTGGCATGCGAGACTACGACCGGGGCCGGGACGGGGACTGCAATAATGAGCGACACCCCGCGGCACCGGGTCAGTTCTTCTCCACCGTGACGGGTCCAGACGCGTTGCCGCCCCATCTCCGCCGCAAGAAGAAGACTTGGACTTGGTCAATGTCGAGCATGATCAGTAGCTTTGTTATCGAGGACGAGATCAAGCGGGCGTATCTCCGGACGAGCTTCCTCTTCGCGTTGAGCGTGTTGGTTACCTGGATCCCCAGTAGTATGAATCGGATCCATAGCTGGCTGGCTGGTGAGTCCCCCTTTGAGTATCATGTAGCAACCGCAGCTGTTCTGCCTCTGCAGGGGCTCTGGAATGCCGTCATCTTCTTTGTCACGAGTAGCAGAGGTATCAAGAAGGGTTGGGTAGAGATGCGGGATCCGAGAGCGCGAGGTGATAGTATCAGCGTCAGCGCCAGTGGCGGCGGCGGTGGTAGGAAGGGGAGTGGATGCGGCGGAGGCATCACGGTGTCTGATCAGGAGGAAGGCACGGCGGGAGTGAGTAGGAGTATCTTGCGGGATGGCACTGAGAGGGACAGCAGTGATGCCGATGCATTGACGCTGGGGAGTGACATTGAGCTGCGTCGGATGACTGACCCGGCAGAAAAGATGACATCGAGTCTTTAGATGCGAAGGGGGAGAGGTCTCTCCGTCTTAGTCTCTAGACCAGTTCGCCGCCGTAACATCAGACTTGCAGGATGTTTTGTAAAGATCATTGCGAGGGTGTTTGGACTAATACAAGACGGGAGAGCGGGCGCCTAGAATTAGGGTGAAGAAGAGGATAGGCAGCTAGAGGCTGACAACCATCAAACCACAATTTTTTTTTTCAATCAAAGACCTGCCGTCACAAATCGAGAGTCTTTGACAGGCTAACCAGCTCCTTAATTCATGAAAGCAATCACAATCGCCTTGCCGGTTTGTGAATCCTCCTGGATGGCGGACCTCTCCACTGCCAGAAGCAACTCGCTTACGGGGACAAGGAGTTCTGCCACCGACACCAGTTAGCGGAGGCTTGTATTTACCCTTGGCAAAGCGAGTTCTCCTACTTACCTAGGTAGAGGATCTTGTAAGACATGGGAGGCAGGTCATCAGGGCCAGAGAGGACTGGCATACGCTCCATGCCACCCGGGGTCACCTCGAGCCTGACCCCGACCGTGCGCTTGGTGTCTGCCCATATCAGCGTGCCCCTCTGGCCCTGTCCGTCTGCCCCCGCGGGGGGACTCGACAGCTCAGCAAGGGAGTCCCTCCACAGGCGGATGACGCCGTCGAATACATTCACGTGGGTGAGGAAGTACCCCTGCCGCGGCGACAGCCTGGAGACGTGGACCTTGGTGCACAGCTGGGTGAAGTGCTCATCCTCATCGAGGTAGATGTCCTCGGTGACTGAGTCGTCTTCCTCTTCGTCGTTGTCAGCTGAGGCGTTGCGGCGGCTGCGGCGGCGGCGTCTGGTGCGCCGCTCCTCCTCTGTGATGGTTGGGCGGAGGGATGCGTACTGCTGCCTGTCAAGGAGACTGAGGGACGAGGACAGGCTGGGCTCATCAGTGCTTTGGGTCTGGGGGGCCAGATTCTTGACCCCGAGGAAGTGGCAGGCGAGGGACGGGGTGGTTAGTCTGGCGCTGGGGTGGTAGCATTCAAACACGAGCTCGTGACCGGGGAGGGTGGCGGCGTCGAGGAGGCGGCGGCGGATGGTCTCGGCGACGATGGAGTGGAAGCGGCGGCTGGTGCAGGCGATGGGGATGAGTTCTTTTGCTAGGAAGTTGGTCAGGGTGAGGGCGAGGATCTAGCGATGGCGTCAATGGTGTATAGATTAGAGAGAGTGGGGGGGATGGGATCTGACTTCATTTGGAAGATCTTGGACTGAGGTGCTGGGGGTTGTTGGAGACATGGTGAGATTGGGATGGTACTCTAGCAGATGGTGTAGAGGAGTGAGGGAGGGAATGCTGGATGAATCTGATTCTCTTTAAGAGTGTATTTAATGATCATCGCCTGGATTGACTCTACCAATTACTATCTGTTAACTTGTTCAAGAACCCCGACTTTTGTGGAACCCACACTCCGGGGATGCGGAACAAGGGATTCCCTCAGATTGGCCTGTTATTGGATGATAGATAGCGTTGTTTGGCTATCTTGATGATAGAGCACGTAGGCGGATATACTCTTGGGCGGACCTTGCTGCTTCGGGTTGCAGGTAGCTGACGCATTGACGATTACATGTTTGTATGACGGAATATCGACATTGAACCATAATGCTAGTCCGTCTCCCGCGATAGGGAATGCAGTTGGATAGTCCTACTACCTAGCTCGAAAGCGATTGTGGGGTTCTCTGTCAGAGGACCATTGCTATGAGGCAAAGTCAGCCCAAGATTGCTGAATGTCTATGGCATTTGAAGTGGAGTTGTCGGGATGCAAGATCCCGCCACACATCGCCCAGCTCAGCTATGTGTAGCTGTTTGACGAAAATGCGTGTTGGTGTAACTCCATTGAGACCCAAGCGGATGTCCCTAGTTCTGAATGGAGCAGATATTGCCATAGGATCTGTAGTCCGGATCAATAAACAACAAGAATTGATTTCAGAGCTCACGCGCTGTTGCGAGATCGGCAGGGGCGTGGCTGGGGAGAGCAGCGGAGTCTCGTGACGTCTTCGGCCTGTTTCAGCAGGTCGCATTAGTGGCGAACCAGAGCTCGCGATAACGGCCCGCGATAACGAGCTGCACTGCGCCCGCCTCGGCCTAATGAACTTAGTACGTACTGTCAGCCTGCCTACAGTGCCGAACCTACCCTTCCTCCTACATCTTGTTCATTGCTGCGTGCCTCTTCCATCAACAACTCGCAACCGCTACATCGATTTTTGTTGGGTTTTTTCAGTCTCGCATCATGAAGTTCTCATGGGCATCTCTCCTGGCCGCGTGCGTCCCCGCCATCTCGGCCCGCTATCTCTCGGCCAACGAGGGCGATAACGTCGTCCTCAACCCCAGCGAGGAGACCTTCCTCGTCGAGCTGGCCCCCGGAAAGACGAAATGGGTCACCGAGGAAGACAAGTGGGAGATGCGCCGTAATGGCCAGAACTTCATGGACATTACCGAGACCCAGAAGCTCGGCACCCAGCATGTGGCCGCCAGCTCCCCGGTCGTCTTCCCCAAGAAGGCCGTCCACCAAGCAGAGGTCACCAAGCTCTCCAAGGATTTGAATAAGAAGAACCTGCAGGCCAACCTGGAGAAGCTTACTAGCTTCCACACCCGATACTACAAGTCCGACTACGGTCTTCAGTCCTCCGACTGGGTTCTGGAAAAGGTCAACAGCATCATCAAGGAGGCTGGCGCTGACGGCACAGTCTACGCTAAGAGCTTCCCCCACACCTGGCAGCAGCACTCGGTCATTGCCACCATCCCCGGCCAGACCAACACCACCGTCGTTATCGGCGCTCACCAGGACTCCATCAACCTATGGCTTCCCTCCATCCTCGCCGCCCCTGGCGCCGACGACGACGGCAGCGGTACCGTGACCATCCTCGAGGTCTTCCGCACCCTTCTCGAATCTAAGGGTGTCGTTGCGGGCAACGCTACAAACACCATTGAGTTCCACTGGTACAGTGCTGAGGAAGGTGGTCTGTTGGGTAGCCAGGCCATCTTCCAGCAGTACGAGAAGGAAGGCCGTGACGTCAAGGCCATGCTCCAGCAGGACATGACCGGTTACGTCCAGAAGACGTTGGACTCTGGCAAGCCCGAGAGTGTCGGCGTCATCACAGACTACGTCGATAGTGGTCTCACTGCCTTCATCAAGACTGTAATCGAAGAGGTTCGTTTCAAGCCCCAATCTACTAAACCCCGTAAATGCCGGTAGCTAACATATGCCTAGTACTGCGGCATCCCTTGGGTCGAGACTAAGTGTGGCTACGCCTGCTCCGACCACGCATCTGCCTCCAAGGCCGGATATCCCTCCGCCTTCGTCATTGAGTCCGCTTTTGAGAACTCTGACCCCCATATTCACTCTACCGAGGACCTCATCAAGTACCTGTCCTTTGACCACATGCTTGAGCATGCACGATTCACCTTGGGTCTCGTCTACGAGCTTGGCCACTACGATTTCTACAGTTCCAAGTCTGAGGAGGAGTACAACGAGCTCTAGGAAGGCTCCTCGGGGTAGATGAGGTGAGCTTGGCGCCACCCTTAGTTCTACAGGCGTTGATGGTATGGTTCTTGGGCTTTGTGTAATCTGTTATGGCATCTTAAACTCCCTAGCTGTTGCTTTTAGAGAACGACTGTTTTTTGTGTTGTTATATCTATCCATAGATGAATACGCATATTACAATCGGGTATTATTCTAGTTTCAGTATCTATCCCATGTCCCTACCGATATCATCTTTACACGAATCATTCATCGTAGCGCCCGGGTCATACATTGGCTGCTGTCGCCGCAGTTCATATGGCACTGTATACAAGACTAGTAGCTTGCTTGATAATTCATCATTAGTGTTTATTGGCCTCCTTGTGGTGGTGGTTGTTGCCCGCCCCACTGCTGTTGTCCGTTCTGAGCTTGCATCTGGCTCATTAAGGCAGCAATGAAGGCAGGGTTGAGGAATGCACCATTATGGGGTGCGGCACCTCCTTGGCCTGGAGGCGGAGGGGCAGCCGGGGCAGCAGTATTGGAAGCTTGGCCGCCTTGGGGCCAGCCTGGGATCTGGAAGCCAAAGTTTGGCATCGCTGGCACGGCGGCAGCGCCGCCTTGGTTCCATTGAGGCGGGGGAGGGGGAGTGCTGTTCTGATTTCCACCCTGGGGAGGGAGGGAGTAGCCGTCTCGGGGGTGGGAGCCTCCTCGGCCGCCTCGGCCGGACCCTCGGCCACGGTTGCCCCTGCCTCTGGAATCTCTTCCTCGACCGCGGTGTGAGCCTGGGCGATGATGAGGATCATATACCTCTGTGGATACCGGTCCATTGCCGTAGCCTGGGGGTCGGGTAAGTGGTTTGTAGGGGCCATCTTCGTCTTCGTCGTAGTTGAGCCCTCCGCCGGCGGACACCTCTTGTCGGAGAGGGTGGGGCTCCCTGTCCTTGTTGTTGTTCTTCCACTTCTCTCTCTTCTTTTGCTTGATTGAGCGCTTGTACTCGGCCTCCTTCTCGTCGTCGGAGAACTCCATCTCGTCATCCCCTACCTCCTCGTCGTGCAGATTACTGGCGTCCGAGCCCTTCAAGTTCTTCAGCGGCTCGGTGAAGACAAAGGTGGCGTGCTCGGCAGCGTAGAAGATCTTGGTGCCCTCTGTCAAGCCCAGCTCCTTGATCTCGTCCTGTGAGTTGAAGTGGACGGTGTACATGGGCTGCAGGACTTTGCCGATGGTCTCGGCGACCGCACCGATGACCACGCGCTCCGAGTTGCACAGGACCGAGCCCGTGTCGAGGACCTGGTACTCTCCGGGGGTGTAGGCCTTGATGAGCATGAGATTCTCGACGATGTGCTCCACCTCTCCCAGCTCCTCGATCTTCATTTCGGGGGTGATGGTGACGTCGGGTTTCGGGACGGGCTCCTCGGCCACCTCGTTCTTCGTCCGCATGTGGCCGGCGCCTGATGATTTTCCCTTGTCGCCTTCGTCGTCCGAGCCCCCCTCGGCTTCCATGAGGAGCCTTGCCGTCTCCTCGACGCCCAGGAGCTCGTAGGCCTCGTTGTCTGAGTCGTCATCGTCCGACGAGTCGGAGCTGCTAGATTCCGAAGAGGATTCGTACGGTGAGGAGTCTGCCTCCCACTCTGGGTGTGCGCCCTGAGCAGTCTGTTGGGCCTCGGCGGCCTGTTGTTGCTCTGACGTTGTGGCTATTTGACCCAGCGCCTGCTCTGCGTTCGCGGGCTCGAGACCGCCGAGGGCGGCCTCTAGAGCGCCCGTCAGGGAGGGAGGGCTCTCGGGTTTGTCGATGACCATTGCGTCTGAGGAGTCATTTTGGATGTTCTTATACGTGTCTGGCTTGTGTGGTGCGGTTTGCGACTGCGTCGTCGCTGGGGTTTGTGTGGCGTCCTGGATCTCGATGTCTTTGGTGTCTGAAGCGGCTGAGGGCGCGCTCACGGCTTGGTCTGCTGGTAGAGGCGGTAGCTTCTCATTTGGCTTGGCGAAGCCTAAGCCGGGGATCTGGAACCCAGACATTTCTGCTGAGTGGTAGTGTGGTGTTCAATCGTCGACAATGGATGGATGTAAGTTGTTGCGGAGGGGTCTGTCGCTGGCGAGCAATGGCTCTGCCACAGATGGCAAGTAGATTTGGTATCGGCGATGTAAACGTAGATTTATACAAAATCCTTCTCAGTGAAAATCAAGTAATCCAGGTACTGATAAGAAAAGAGAAAGAAGGTCGTCAAACAAATCTTGTCTCCAAAAAAAGTAGAAAGGTAGGGAAAAGTTTGTCGCAGGAGGACCCTGAAATCGATCCGACGCCAAGTTAGAAAAAAAAAGCCAAGGTGAGAAGACGTTAAGTGGGGCCATGATGCATTAGCTCAACACCTCACCGAGTCCCGTTTTGGGCTGACCGAGCCCAGGTACCGTTGAGGTGCCCACATCTACGTAATAATTGGAGCTTCAGAACGTGGGATTCCCAACAAATGGTCCTCCTTCTTTCTCTCTCTCAACCCTCAGTCAAAGACGGCTCGCCATGTCTGACCACGAACATGACACGGCTCGTCCGGAGTTCCATCATCCGGAAGCCACGCATGCCAAGAAGAAGTAAGCAGCGGCAGCTCAACTCAAACGACGTCCATGCGATCGGCTTTCAATTGGCTAACCCACCATTTCGCTACCAGGCGCCCCAGTATATACGCGATCGAACCGATCAAAGCACTCTACATTTTCGCTATTGCGAATTTAATATCGGCCGTGTTTGCACCGATCCAGGATTGTGACGAGACCTTCAATTATTGGGAACCCGCTCATTATCTGTCCCATGGCTACGGCTTGCAGACATGGGAGTACTCTCCCGATTTTACCATTCGAAGCTGGCTTTACATCGCTTTGTATGCAATTCCGGGAAATCTAAGAAGGATCCTCCCTCACCCCAACAAAGTCCGCATCCCCTTGGGCCCTTCTTTCCTCGAGTTCTGACTACTGACAGTATCAGTTGGCCGAGTTCTACTTTATCCGATATGTCCTTGCCTTCCTCTGCGCTCTGTGCCAGACGATCCTGTACCAGGTAGTCAGCTCGACAATTAATGGCCGAATTGGTGTTTTCTTTCTCGTGGCAATGGTCACATCCCCTGGAAACTTTCATGCTAGCACGGCATTCCTGCCCTCTAGCTTTGCCATGTATATGTGCATGCTTGGAGCTGCTGCGTTCATGAACTGGCGGGGCGGCCTCAAGACTGCCCAGGGCATCTTTTGGTTCGCCATGGCCGGGATTCTGGGTTGGCCATTCGCCGCTGCTTTGTGTGCTCCTTATGTTATTGAGGAGTTTGTTCTTATGCTGTTCAGCGACCAGGCATCCCGTTTCGATTTTTTCATGAGAATAACCCGGGGCGTTGTTTCTGCCGTGCTCCTATTGGTATGATCTCCAGCCTTTTCGTTATTGGTTTCTAACTGTAGTTTTATTCTTGTGCTGACACGAACGTAGGCTCTGGATTTCTTCGTGAACTTGTTCTTCTACAAGAAACCGGCCATTGTCACTTGGAACATTATCAAATATAACATTTTCTCGTCCACTGGAGGTCCCGAGTTGTACGGGACGGAGCCATGGTTCTTCTACTTGAAGAACCTAACACTAAATTTCAACATCTGGTTCATTCTGGCCCTTCTGGCTTTGCCTCTCTTTCTTATCCAGAAACTCGTGGCTCCGTCGGCCCAAGGCTTCCAGTCAGGGCTGCGGACCGTCGTGTTCGTTGCGCCATTCTACATGTGGTTGGCAATTTTTACCGCGCAGCCGCACAAGGAGGAGCGGTTCATGTATCCGGCGTACCCTTTCCTGGCACTCAATGCATCACTCTCACTCCATATCATATTAACCTGGTTTGGTAACTCCAACCCGTCGACGCTTATCGGCAAGGTGCCGGCAAAGCTGAAACTTGCAGCCGTGAGCCTTGTGTTCATTCTTTCGCTGGATGTCGGTCTGGCCCGTATTTATGGCATCTACGACGCCTATTCCGCCCCGCTCAAGATATATGAGCCGCTGTGGGGAGGCGAGGGCGGGAAAGGCGCTGTAGGCTCGGAGGGTGATTTGGTTTGTTTCGGCAAAGAGTGGTACCGATTCCCTTCATCATACTTTTTGCCGAGGGAGATGCACGCCAAATTTGTGCGCTCTGAGTTCCGTGGCCTCCTACCCGGGGAGTTCTCCGAAGCTCGAATTGGGTTTGGCTTTTGGAGCGGCACGTGGCTCCCCACGAACGGACTCAACGACCGAAATGAGGAAGATTTGGGCAAATATGTGGAGGAGCGCATGTGCACCTTCATGGTAGATACCCAGTATCCCCTCCGGACCGACCCCCTGCCACCCAACGAGCCGGATTACATTGCCAACGAGGAGAACTGGGAGATTGTCCGCTGTGAAGCATTCCTGGATGCCGCCAACACTCACATCTTGGGTCGAACTCTATGGGTTCCGGAGCTGAGCATAATCCCTGACAAGTTCAGGCGGAAATGGGGTCGGCATTGTCTACTGAAGAGGAAGAGATAAGAGCCCGACGGTCGAGATGAGTAGTCATACTCGTGTCCCGCCCTATCCTCCTCTTTTAGCTTGATGCCGGAGGACATGCTTATCCCGGAGAGAGTAGACACTAATGACCACTCCTAAAAACCCACTGTTGAATTGAGTCGAGGTTGATCCATGTATATCTTACCGACAAAATTTTGGCCGAGGCGCGGCGCCGAGAGCCGTCAACGATGCGGGCGCAAAGTCCTGAGGTCATTCACAAAGGGAGTGCTACGTAGGACAAAGAAAAAAAATTAGTTCGATGAAACGGCACACCGCGAAAAATACACAAACCTGTATTCCGCTAAACATGGACAAATGCATGACGACTCTTTCTCGCCACGTGCCTGAACATGGAGGGAGCAACCCACACCACACCTGGAGACAGGCTCGATGACTTTGTAAATCGCAATTTCGTTTTCCTATTCTTTCGAGTACACAGGCATTTGATGACGCAAGAATTAAGCATGTTGAATTTAAGGTCGCGACTGGAATGCATCCACTGAACAGGCGACACCAGAGGCTGCATGCAGTAGAGAAAAGGTCCAGCCGAGCCGGAAGCCAGCGGCGGGCCGACAACAGACATTTGCTTTAATTTTTCTGGGGGCCAACAGTGGCCGCAGGGATGACGGAGAAAGCTTGGCCAACAGGGTTAATAGACTTATTTAGCAACCTTACCAATGGTTCGTATTGGGGTCACCGCTGCCTGGTTCTTGGCCAGGATAAAAAGATTACCGGCCCCATAGGGTAATCCATCTGATTGTTTGGTGGGCAAGTACATATCTTGTTTTCGTGACGCGTCTGTTGAGACAAAGCGTAGATCATACTGAAGAAGATGCAAAGAAGTCGGGTGGGTAGCAACGCCCGCTACATACCACAGAGCTCGCAAAGGTTCCAGCCGAGACCGGCTCTCTGTGAGTGTTGAGGCTATAAGGATACACACACACGGGCACACCGCTGTTGGGCACAATTTTTTCGTCCTACTCGAGGGTGCATGGATGCAAGCAGACATGGATTTGGGCGTGCGAGATCCGGGCGGTGGGCGGACAGGGGCCGAGCAGAAGTGGAGTGATGCGGCCCGGGCTCTGGGCTCCGGGCTTGGACCCACGGCCGACGACCGACGACCGACGAGTGCCGTCTGGGGAGAGAGACTGTGCGCGGCGCCACCCCGACCCAGTTGCTCTGGAACTTGGCTGGGAAAAGGTAAAGATGGGGCCGTGGGCAGATGAACGGCGATTGCCCAGCCGCCAACCAATCAAGATGGGGCTGGGGAAATCGGCGGTAGACTGGCAGAAGGAGGGGAAGCGCCTCCCGATCTGAACCACAGGAAGGGGCGGGAGGGACATGGCCCAGTAGGAGACTGTTAGTGCCCTCCGCACACTCATTAAAGGCCGGAGAGAGATAGGACTAGGCCCATATTATGCAGAATCGGGAGGCCCATTGTCTGTTCCTGCTGGGCGACGGCAACAGCTATGCAGGCCCATTCCGATATCCTTCAGACTGCCGTTGTGTTCCCCGGGGGGGAAGCCATGATTTTCTCCCTCCCTTTTCTATATTAATTGCTTGACGCCACCACCTAGGGAAAAGTCTGCCCATTGTCATGAAACGTCCAAGTGGTCTGCTTTTGCTATCATGTATCGATTTCTTTTATTGCACCTGGATAATATCATATAAAGCCCTGTCCTAACCAGACAATACCATAATTATTATTTTTACCCACCCCCAACAAATTTTGTTTGCATCCTCCTTATTGATGCCATTGATGGGCGGCTTTCTGCTTTCAATTGCTACCTCGCATTTCACCCCAGCCAGTCAATCAGCCCTACCAATCGATCATCATGGTTTCTAAAGCATCCAAAATCCGCGACTTTGTCCTGGGTCCCAAGACAGATGATCGCCCATCCGATCTAAACACCCGCGCTCAGGAGGTCCTCGAGCCAGCAGATATTTTTCTTGATCAAGAACCTACTGTAGGCGAGTGGATCAAGGAGCTCGCTCCTACACGAGATGGTTCCATTCACTACCTACAGAGCCTATTCCCGTCCGCCTCGTGGATCTGGCGGTATTGCCTTCGCTGGCTTCTGGGAGACGTCATTGCCGGCTTGACAATTGGCATGGTTGTCATTCCTCAAGCCATGGCATATGCTGTTCTAGCACAGCTAGACCCTGCTTACGGACTGTACACCTCCTTCACCGGAGCTGTCCTGTACTGGATATTCGGAACTTCCAAGGATATTGTTATTGGCGTACGTACCTAGTTGCTCCTCCTCCACCTAGCTTTTGACCGCTGAACCAAGACTGATCGCCACTCTAGACTACTGCCGTGGGTTCCCTGCTCGTTGGCCAGGTCGTCATGCATGTCCAGGAGGCAGCGCCTAATAAGTACGAGAACCAGGAAATCGCACGTGCACTAAGCCTTCTATCTGGAGCTATCATGCTCTTCCTCGGCCTGTTGCGTCTTGGCTGGATCATTGAATTCATCCCCTACATCCCCATCTCTGCCTTCGTCACCGCCGCCAGCATAACCATCATGTCCACCCAGGTCCCGACCGCTCTCGGGATCAAGGGGATCAACACCCGCGAGGCTCCCTACAAGGTCATCATCAATACGCTAAAGGGTCTTCCCAATGCCAGACTCGATGCCGCGATTGGAGTTACCTCTATTGTGTTGCTTTTTGCTATCCGCGACTTCTGCACCATGATGGAGAAGCGCCAACCCGCTCGAAAGAGGCAGTGGTCTTTCATCTCGTCGCTCAGGCTGACATTCACCATGATCCTTTACACCTTGATCAGCTATCTCGTCAATCGCACTGAAGATCTAAACAACCCCAAGTTCAAAGTTGTCGGGCATATCGAGGCGGGCTTCAAGCAGGCCAGTGTGCCTAATTTGGACCCTGACTTGCTCGTCCTCATTCTCTCTGAACTACCTGCCATTGTTATCATTCTTGTCATTGAGCACATCGCCATCGCCAAGGCCATGGGTAGAATGTTCAATTACACCGTCATCCCTTCGCAAGAGATCGTTGCCCTTGGAGCAGCCAATCTGTTCAGCCCCTTTGTAGGTGGCTATGTTTGTACTGGCTCCTTTGGCGCGTCTGCTGTTCTCTCCAAGGCTGGAGTGAGGACTCCGTTGGCTGGGCTGTTCAGCGCTGGAATATTAGTCCTTGCTCTGTACGTCCTGACGTCCGTCTTTGCCTACATCCCCAATGCCGCTCTTGCTGGTCTCATTATCCACGCAGTCTGCAATCTCATCGCGCCTCCCAAGAACTTGTACAAGTACTGGAAACTCTCCCCCTTTGAGCTGATCATTTGGGTCATCTGTGTGTTGCTTGCTATTTTCGAGTCTCTGGAGACCTCAATCTACGTCGGCATTGCCCTCTCCTTCGTCATGCTGCTTATTCGTCTGTCTAGGACGAAAGGGGAGTTCTTGGGCCGCACGACTGCTCAGGAAGTCGTTGGCAAGAACAACAACACCGCAGGGGGCCAAGAGTCATCCGATAACAAGGATTCATGTCTCAGTGACAGTAATGAAGAGCGCGAATTATACCTGCCAATGAGTCGGAACGATGCGTCCAACTCTAATATCAAGCTTGAAACGCCATACCCAGGCGTGATCATCTATCGCTTCATTGAGGGCTTCAATTACACCAACCAGGCGCTTCACATCCGCCAAATCCTCGAGTACGTTGAGGCAACCACACAGCGCACATCTGAAGAGCATTTCGAGAAGAAGTCCGACCGGCTCTGGAACGACCCAGGGCCAAAGACGCAAAAGAGCGCAGACCTTCCATTCCTGCATGCAGTAGTCTTGGATTTCTCATCAGTCAATAACCTGGACGTCACGTCGGTCCAGGGCCTGGTCGATCTACGCGCCTCCCTCGACAGGTACTGCTCCCCCGACTCGGTGGAACTGCACTTTGCCAACGTCCACAACCGCTGGACCCGTCGCGCACTCACGGCATCTGGATTTGGGTACCCCTCCTCCCAGAAGAGCGACGCCATCGCCTGCTGGCAGCCGGCGTATACCATTGCCGCCGTGCTAGATCCAGAACTGAATGAGAACCGTCCCAAGACCGACCTCGAGGCGAATGAGACCTCACACACTGACACGGAGACCGAGACGATTGCGCCAACGACCGTGTCCACAAATTATAACACAATTACTCCCAGTCAGCCTCAGGAGAAGCAGAAAATGGCTGCCGTGCATGGCGTTGACCGCCCATTCTTCCATGCGGATCTCCACACAGCCGTGAAGTCTGCAGTGAGGGATGCCATGAACAGAGATGCAAGAACTGGACCGGTAATGGAGTCCGACTAATGACTTGATGATGAAGATGTATTGATTTCAAGGATGGCGTTGGGGGCGTTTGCTTTCATATTAGAGCGCGCGCGCGTTGTTTCTATTATAGATGGGTTTAGACTAGAACATTGATTGACAACATTAATACACTGGTAGTCTTATGTAAACGATATTGTCTCTCGCCCTCCAGCTTTGCATCGGTGAATATGTCTCTGTGGGTTGAAGCCGCCTCCGTATTTCAGGAAACGTTCTGCTGGCTTTCGGTTGTGATGTCTTTCATAAAAACACGACACGCCCTCCGAGGTAGACTGGACGATGGGCCCAGGCGCGGGTGGGATATGAATAGTGCCCCTGATGTGGTACCTTTCATACTATGTTGGGTTAATTTTGCTCAGCATATTTCAGGCACTTGATGAGCGGCGCATGCCAAGGCCAGCTGGTCCACACAAAAGACTCTTATCTATCCAAATATCGGAATAAGCATCTCAAGATGATCCACAAGAGGCGGCTCAAGTCGGCTGTGCAGGTGGCATCGGTGAGGGGGCCATGCGAGGCAATCGAATGCCGCGACCCTGAACACTTCCCATTAATAAAATGCGGATGACCATTTCTCGGCATCACACGTAGCATATGGCCAAAGCGCAAGATTTTTCCGGTCTCACACAGCGAGAGTGACAGCGGGAACAGCTTACTGCTCTCTGCTCAGATCCCCATGTCATCATCGCTCGGCTCATCGTCATCAGCACCGCCACGCTCCTCCTCCTCCTCCTCCCGCCGCGAAGCCTCCGCGCTGGCCCCCAGCTTCCGCACGCCCTCGACGACGCCCGTGACGAACCCGCGACTCTCGGAGAGTTCCATGGCCCCGACTCCCAGCAGGCTCATGACGCCGTCGACGCCGCTCTCGAGCCCGGCTATGCTGGTCCTCATCTTGGCGGCGCGGACCTCCTGCAGGTCGCGCAGGAGCGAGCGGACGTCGGACGCGGAGGGGACGTCGTCGCTGGCGTGGGCGAGCAGCATCTCGGCGAACTCGAACCAGTGGTACGGCAGCGCCCCGGCGGGCGCGCTGGACGTGCACGAGGGGAGGAAGGGCGGGGACAGGACGGTGGTCGCGTCCGAGTTGAGCCTGCGCGCGTTTCCTCTGCCGTCGGCTCGGACGGGGGGCGGCGGCGGCAGGGACCAGCCCGTGGGGTCGGTGACGGTCTCGTGATGGATCAGGTCGCGGAGGGAGTCGACGTGCAGCCAGGGCGGCGGCAGGATGTTGGCTCGGCGCTGCTTCTTGAGCAGCAGGGCCAGCCAGAGGGGGATGTTCTCCCGGCGAGGGGGCCGGAGAGAGGGCGTGGCACCCTACATCGAGGAGCGTGTGAGTCTTTGATATGGGTATTCTCTAGGGAGTGGTGGTGGGCGTGGGAGCGCGTCGTTCGGTGTGTTGGGGGAGGAGGGGCACGCGTGCTTACCGAGAGGAGCTCAATGCTTTCGAGTCTTTGCCTGGGAACGATTGTGACGTGTTCCATTTCGCATAGGAAAGCTACTTCGGAAGGGACCAGCCCTGGGGGGAGAGGGAGCGCCATGTTGTGCGTTGAAGCCCTCGGGTACGACTTTTGGAGGTGGAGGGCTTGTATGTGACGTTTTTAGTGGTGGTGGTGGCGGTGGTGGCAGTGACAGCACACCAACCCGCTTCCTCACCAGCGGCGTTGGTACTGCCCCTCGCCTCGCCTCCAGCTTGCTCACTACCCCACCAGCCCACTAAATTTTCTCAGCTGGGGCTTGAGGCCAACTTGGATAAGGTGAGGTAGTGTGGTATTGCCGACTCCCGGAACCAAAGTACCTGCCCACCGACAGCAACCACCAGCCCAGGCCAATCAGTGAGAACAGATTCCTTCCCTCCCATTTAGACTCAACGGCTCGCTAGCTTCCCATGAGGAAGGTACATCTTGGTCGGCCTCAGTGACGTAGCTGCTCGCAACTGCCATTTCTTCAGCATAGATTTTGCGCAATTGGCCAATGTGGTTTGCGTATTTATTATGTATTATAAAAGTAATTTTCCCCGCTAAGCTAAATCAAATATATGCATCCGAAACATAACACATCCAATCCTCACATTTCCAATGGAATCTAAAAAATTGAAGGTCCAGCGCTACCCAACATATCCAGCTCCTGTCCGTGATTGGCACCGTGTGTCTGCAGCATCAAAAACCGTATCGACTTCTGCAGCTCCCAGAGCATCGCGTTCTCAACGGTAGGCCGCACCGGTCGAAGCCCCCGGCTCCTCTGCAGCTCGTCAATCATTCTGCACCCATTGTAGATGTGCGTCCTTGCCGCAACCTCGTCTCCGTGAAGCATCTCGAAAACGACGAAGAACAAGCAGCAGACGGTGGCCGATTCCAGATCGCCGCTGCCCATCGCTTCGTTCCTCAGCTCCGCCAAAGCGGAGCCGTGATGCCTCAGCGCCCGACTGTAAGCATTGCGACCCTCCTCTGTGAAAGCGCCCGTCATGTTCGACCTCAGGGACTCGATCAGGGCATGGATCGCCACATTGGCGGCCCAGACCGACCCATTGGTTCGAAGCATCAGCGGGACGGTCGTGCTCCAGAAAACATCCTGCTGCCCCTGGGTACCCGCCATTGGTGGGGTGGTCATCGAAGCCGGCGATGATCCAGGTTCCATGGGGACAACGGTGTGATTTCTGAGATACAGAAGCCTCCTGCTCTCAGCCATCATGGCGGGGTACCAAGAGGGCAGCTGGCCCTCGGCTTCGGGCGATGTGGGGATTCGGGGACTCGTCTCTTCGCTCGCTGAGCTCTGGGCTTCCGACTCCTGGTTTTCGCTCGCTGCAGCCGATTCGGGTCGCTTCTGGTAGCCCTCGCACTGGCCTCCCCATTTAATGCACCGTTGGCAGGCGGGCTTTTGCTCGTCGCATTTCACATGCCTCCGCTTGCCTAATTGGTGTCAGGATGCAACGGAAGAGAAAAATTGTGTGAGCAATGAGGTGGTTCACTCACAGGTAATGCATCCAGTGCGGACCTTCTTCACAATCGCCCGAGTGGCTCGTGGTCGATTCTTGAGGGCGAATGTCGAGGTTCCTGCCCGACTGACTGCCTCGGAATTGGCCCTGTAGAGCAATTGGTTAACGAGGCCTTCCAGCATGAGATTCGGGGAAAGAAAGGGTCAATTCGCAGTCCATACATCTCAAAAAAAAAAAAAAGCTCGAGAAAAGAGGAGGGGAGGTGGTTGAGAGAGACTCCAGACGATTGGTAAGATCGGGTCCCAGCAATGATCTTATAGATCTGAGGATCCGTCGCTGGCGTCTAAGCCTTGTCTTGGGACGCGGTTAAAGAGAACTACGGTACGATTGATGGCGGTTACGTCAAGAGTAGGGGACGATAAGTTCATATTATACTTGGCGTCTGCAAAGCTTCTATTCAGCTTCCAGGCTGTTGATAGTATTTGCGGCGGCGCGGCTGGACAGTCCCCGGGCTGACGTCCCCACCGACTTGCATACTTTTAGCAACGAAGGCCAACCCACCGCCGCCATCGCGTGGCTGTAGATGTGTTGATGGGAGGTACGTATCTGGCTCGAGCTTGGCATCTTACCCCAGCACTTCGCTTGTTCCCTTGCTTTATCACAGTGGGTATTAGCCCTACACTCAGGCATAGCCCCACGAGCAGAGAAGGGGTCGTCACCTACAGGTCGCCGACCTGCTGGGACCAGAACTGAGGGTGTTACGGTGCAAAAAGTCGGGCACTAGTGATGCAGAACTGAGTCTGCCTGCATTGGCAGACAGGTAGCTGGCCCAATGTGGAAAGTGACGCCAGCACTTCTCCCCACCCCATGGGTTCAGATGCTCTCACGAGTTCTTTCATCGCCGTCCCAATGGAGTCATGCGAGAAGACGTGGGAGAATTGTCCGTCCAGGTCGTTTGCCGTCATTCCCAGCAGAGCAATTCTCATGCACCACCCACCCAGCGGTGAGAGTCCAAAATAGGAGTTGCCCTATCAGGACACATCTTTCAAGGGCAGAGCTGACCAGGTCGCCAACCCAACCCTCCCGACGTTACATGAATAGGCCTACAGCCAGAGCAGCCGCCGGCGCTAAGAGGCCGCTACCTGTGCTCCAGGCACATCACATAACACATTACTCACGGCTCCCAAGCAGGGGGCCGAAGCCACTATCCCGCCAAATGGTATATGCGGGCCTGGCCTTGCGACTCAGCCTCAGCCCTGCAGCCCACAACTGAGCAAGATTAGAACTGGCATACGGCGACTCCGGAATCTCAGATAACCCATGCATTGCATCATCCCCGGTGCATAATCGTGTATCCGACGATGGGATGGATATCCCACCAAAGCCGCTGCAGAGGAAACGAAGCATCGAGAGAAGCATCTCGCTTTGCAACAGTGATGAGACTCACCCTGGCTTCTTGTGTGTGATACGATGTTCCATCCGCGGTCTGACGCATACCGTCCAGTATCGACCATCGAAAAGGCGGAGGTGATGAAAGTGAAATATTTCAATTAACGCTTCACCAAAACAACCACCACCACAATCGAGCCCTCAGCCGCTTAGATTGAGACCTCGAGAGCTGCAATTGATTGAGTCCCGCCGACTTGGATCCATCTGCCGGATAGAGTTGATCTTCGGTCTTGGTGTCTCTGATTTGATGCGTTCATTGGGCCAGGTCAGAGGCCATTCCACTCACATCCCACATCCCTTGACAGCAGACCGGCAAAATCTAATACTACGTAGTAACGTTGTAAGGTGGATCCAGGATTCGGGAGGCTCTCCCGGACCTGTTGGGGCGGAACCCAAAATTCTGTATCCTCTTAGAGGGCATCCAGTCATGCACGCACCTACCACACGACGGCTGCATTGGCCAGTGATCTACGTCAATCGCGCCGGGGCCATGACGTCTCAGCTTGGGGCCGTTTTGGAAGTGCATAGCCGCATTGGCACATGTGTTTGTAGGTAGGACTGTCCAGATCGAGGCTCTTCTGAGATCTGGGATACTGCAGGCGAGCTTGGCGCAGCCTGTATAGGGCAAGATCCCCAAGCCTCACACTCGAGCATCGCGAGGCTCGAAGACAACACTCGACGGCAATAATGGTGAGATTCCATTCGTGTTGAATGGCGAATATCTAATTTTGGAGCATATCGTATCTGTTTTCACGATATCTTGCCGTTTACCCCTGCTGGTGCCGGAGGCCTGCGCTTGCAGGTCATCAATTGTTACCATCAATGGAAAAAGAAGACAAAAGTCCATCACCGCTATGTTTAGTCTTGAGGCTCAACACGAGGCATAACGATCTCGCGAGCGTGAACAAAGTGCTATGCGGTAGAGGAAAGGCATGATCCGATCACAATCCCGGCGCCACACGCATCCCGGCCATCTCCAGATGGTCAACGCTACGTGACATGAATCTCACAAGCAAGGTGGCTAGTGAGTGGCTCCCGCTTTGCCACAGACATCACATCGGCATTAATAGCTTAAATATAGGCACATAGCTAGAGTGGCAAGCTCATTGGCCATCTGAGGTCGCCGACGAGCCACAGCCCACACGCCTGAGAATAATCAATTGCACTAGCAAACAAGAGAATGCCAATAATATGTACGTTTTTTGCTTGTTCTATTCGTAAATGCAAGCCACAGTGGGAACCCAGTCATTATTATTGATTGCCATGCGATGCGGGCTCGGTATGCTACGTAGCAGGTCGGGTCAGATAGTCCTTGTTGGTCTCCATCCTTCGAAAAAGTTCCAGAACAATTCCCTATTCATCAAGCCACCTGCACCGGCTCACGGCAGATTACCTCTCTCTGCCACCTACCGACGGCCAAACAGTCTCACTCAATCCTGAAGTCTCAGTCCGTTGATCCAGACCCCTGGCACGATGCCCCGAGAGCTCATCCTGGCCAACCCCACGCCAGACGAAAGTCGGCAGACCTGGACGTGCACGCACCCTCTATGGGGCGCGGCACTCAGCCTCGATGGATATATCCTGCGCGAAACCCGCCAGGCTGACTTGCCCCTGGCCCGCGATGGCGGCTTGAGGCCCTGGGTGCTCGTCGAGGCAGACTCGAAGCCCGATTCACGCGACATCCTGTCGTCGTGCGAGACGCTCAGGAAGCGCGCGCTTGTGAGGCGACCCGACGGCGAGGTCAGTGAGGTCATCGCCCACGGCGTGGCCAGCGTCTTCACAGATCCCGCCTTCCGCGGCAAGGGCCATGCCAGCACCATGATGGCCCGCCTGGGCGAGACTCTGCAGACCGAGGGCGCGCACCTCTCCGTGCTCTGGTCCGACATCGGGAAAGAGTTCTACAGCAAGCACGGCTGGAGGCCGTTCGAGAGCGACCATCTCGAATTCCCGGTGCCCGCCCAGGAGGACGACCCGCAGCCGCCTGCCAGCGTGACCATCGTCCGGTACGACGACATCCCCCAGCTGGCCTCGTCGGACGAGCGTCTGGTCCGCCAGGCCATCGCGCGACCGCCCGCCTCCCCAGAGAAGACGACCCGCGTCGCCATCCTCCCCGACGCGGCCACCCTCCAGTGGCACGTCCTGCGGGACGCAGCGCAGTGCGAGAACATCCTCGGGCGCACGCCGACCAGCCACGGCGCCGTCTTCACGACCCTCTCGGGGCGCCGCGTCTGGGCCATCTGGCGCCGCAACCACTCGGCGCCGCCCTCGCAGCCGGAGAAGAACACCTTCTACATCCTGCGGCTCGTGGTCGAGGACGATGACGAGGCCACCGTCCCGGATGACGAGCTCGGCGCAGCCCTCGAGGCCATCGTGGCGGCCGCGAAGAGCGAGGCGCGCGACTGGGCCTGCGGGACGGTGCACCTATGGAACCCTGGGCCGAGGGAGCGCAGACTCGCGGAGGGGAGCGCAAAGCTCGGAGCCAGGTTCGTGAGCCGGGAGAGCGACAGCGTCACCAGTCTTCGCTGGTTCGGAGACGGGGATGTCGACAGCGTGGAGTGGCTCGCCAATGAGAAGTTCGCATGGTGCTAGGGCAAGCAGATAGAGGTATGTCGGCAAAGAAACCACCAGATGAGTTAGACAATAGACTGCTATATCGTTTATTATCTTGATATCTGGTGTCAATTGTTTCACTGTGTTGGTGATCTGGGTGCAACCAGCTTTGATCTCATCCAATTGGTCACGTCTACAGGCGGACATATAACTACAGGCAGGCACGTCCGAAATCTTGGTCTCATCATCATAACATTCACTATCTTGTTCGCCAACACCTTCCCCTAACCTTAAACTAAACACATGATACCTGGAGAGCGCCCGTCGCTCCATTCGAAAAAGCCAAAGCAACCGTCATGATGAACAAGAATGTGAAATGAGGAGCTTAGTAGCTTCGGCCAAACATGACCCACTTTTGGGCTTTGCGCTCGCACTCGGGGTTGAGACACTCAGTCTCGCCTGCAACAACACCCTCGGGCTGCTCGAAGGGAATGCAGAGACTCTTCATGCCCATGGCAGGAGCCTTTTGGTTTTCAGGGACGTCAGGCTGGTTATCCTCACGGGTTGTGAGCGCCTTGATGCGGTCCTCACACTTGCCGTCGAGACAGAAGGGAATAAGGACAACGTTCTTGTTGTCGAGAGCGGGGAGGACCTCTTCCCACTTGGTGATCTGGATACGGTGCTCCCGGAAAGCGGCCTCGGCCTTAGTATACATGTCGTTCTGGATGGTCTCGAGCAACTCGGGAACCTTGGTGCCGACCTCGGAGATGGGAATGGTGCCCTTCTCACCGGTGTCTCTGCGGGCGAAAGAGATGACCTCCTTCTCGGCATCCTTGAAACCAAATTCGATTCTCAGGGGAACACCCTTGAGCTCCCAATCGTTGAACTTCCAGCCGATGGTGTAACCCTCCCTCCAGTCGGCATCAGTTCGCACGCCAGCCTTCTTAAGGGTGGCACGGATGTCCTCGATGGTATCCTCGTGCTTCTTCTTTGCCTCGGGTGTGGTGTTCTTGTTGATACCGATGGGGATGAAAATGGCTTGGATCTTGGCAATACGTGGGGGAAGAACCAGACCCTTATCATCACCGTGAACCATAACCATGACTCCGATGACACGTGTGGAGAGACCCCAAGAGTTCTGCCACACGTGGAGATGAGATCCCTTGTTCGCGGGGTCCTCAACGGTGATGTCGAACATCTTGCTGAAGTTCTGGCCAAGGCAGTGGGAGGTAGCTCCCTGAATACCACGGCCGTTGGAAGGAATGTATCCCTCCACAGTGGTAGTGTAGTAACCACCAGCAAACTTCTCGTTCTCAGTCTTGCGACCTCGCACGACGGGAACGGCAAGAAGCTGCTCGTAGACGCCAGCATAGAGCTCGAGGATCTGCAGCGCCTCCTCTCCAGCCAACTCCTCAGTCAGGTGTGCGGTGTGGCCCTCCTGCCAGAGGAATTCTCGTGTTCGTAGGAAAGGGGTGGTCTGCTTTGCCTCCCATCGCACGACGGAGTTCCACTGGTTCAGTCGTAAAGGAAGATCGCGGTGGCTGCGAATCCACTTGGAGTAGTAGGGGTACATGACGGCTTCGGAGGTAGGTCGGATCGCAACGGGGACTTCGAGGTCCTTGTCACCACTAGAGAAACAAGAATTAGCCAGACTGCCTGATCAAGATGTCTAAGAACTTCTACGTACGCCTTGGTGACCCAAGCAAGCTCAGGGGCGAAACCCTCGACGTGGTCCTTCTCCTTCTCGAGCGACTTGGCGGACAGGAAAATGGGGAAGCTGGACTCCTCGACGCCCATCTCCTCGATGTGTTGCTGGAACCACTTGCGAATAGTGGACCAGATGTGCATGCTGAGAGGTCGCAGGACGAAGAATCCGGAGATTTCCTGGTAGTACTCAACCATCTCTGACTTTAGGACAACCTCCTGGTACCAGGCTGGGAAATTCTCAGCCTTGGAGACGGTGATGCCCATGATCTCCTCAGCCTTCTTGCCGCCGACGACAGGGAGAGCGGCCTGCTTGGCAGCTTTGGCAGCTTTGTCGGCCGCCATCTTGGCGGCCTTCTCGGCCTTCTTCAAGGCGCTCTTGGACTGCTCCTTTGGTGGTTCCTCGGACATGTTGGCTCGCAGGTTTTGGTGTGCCTTGTTGTTTCGGGTGCGGGGCAAAAAAACAATTTTGGTCCTGGAGGGGCAATGCAATAAGGATCTATCTCTACGAGGAGAAGAAGTCTAAGTCTAAAAAGTGAGGAGCGGGCGAGGGGAGTTTGACGCGGACTCGGCGGAGTGCACAGATGACTCAATGGAAGGGAGAGCGCAAATCAGAGCAAGACGCAGAGAGGAGCTGGCAGAAGGTATGAGTCGACGAGCGGCCCAAGACATTGGGTGCCCTGCCCCGCAGTCATAAACCGTGGCCGAGTCGTGTGGCCCAAATCAACAAATGGAGGGGCAGTCTTATCGCCAGGGGTCCGTGCATTACAATGCATGCAACAGCTTGCCAGAGATGAGTATCTGTCAGGGAAATTGGTCTTTCTTTCTTTTCTTTTTTAATGAATTTATCAGATAGGTAGCTCTCAAAGGTACACGATGTATCATCGGTTAATCTTCACCAGAGCTCCTGCCCGCTGGGCTTTGCAAGTTCGTCCGATGAAGTAGGCACCGGGTAGCCTTCCGATCCCGGTTATGCCTGCCTTTAACTTGCCTCCTCAAAACCCCACGTTGTGTCTATATCAGCAGGTAAATCATACTGTGCTCAGCCAACCTAACCAGTCCCACAATTCAATATCCTTTCACTCAGCAACGCAAAGGTCCCTTCATATCGTATGCCCTCATCGGTTTTTGAAATAGTACGGCCCTGAGAGGAAGCTTATCGTCCCCTTTCTCAAGTAGAGAGCCCATCCAATCTTCTACGTGTGCTTTTATCTGTGGAGGTCGTTTTCGGAGGCGATTGATTCAAGGAGCTATCTATCTTAGTTGCGGAGTGAGATCTAAGGTAATATCGCTATTAATTGTAAGAAGCTCTTTGTAAGAAGCTCTCTTCTGAGAGGCCATTCGCTTGGTACAAGCAATGCTGCCGCCGTCTCTAAAATTAAAAGGTAATTGGAACGGCTCGCTTTGAGTTGCAGCTATGAGACCGTTACTGCTTCACTTTGGTGGTGACCTTCATCAGCCCGAGTCGGAAGGCTCATGCTGCAGCTCATTTCCGTGATATGGACCTCAAGAACATCTACTGTATGTGAAATCCATTCGATCACTAATTGAACTAAACGCTGAATGGAGCTGGCGGGCGTGGCTACTGGTAGAGTACCAACTTGAAGCTCGATGTTGGATTTTTTGCATACTCACTAGGTAGGCATCGATAGGAAACTGCAAGCTTTTGGTTCTAAATTCTCTGCTTTTAGCCATTGCAAGATGTCGGGTTCAAAGACTACTAAATAGCTAGTGCATTTTGACTCAAGAGTCCGCCCTTCCATTCTAAGACCTCCATCTCTCACTGCGGAACCCAATCTGAAGACTAGGTACCTGAATCCCCACGCTCTTCTAAGGCATTTGCAAGTTCAGATTACTATGCTACCGTCTCATGAGTCAAGAGGGTCAAGATCCACGCCGCCGATTACACTTAAACCCTTAAGTAGCTATCATTCCTCAAAACCAGTCAAAACACGTTCTGAGCCTGGTAAGATGTTACGAAAGGTGAGCTCTGGTGGTTCAGGGCCGTCGACACGTACTAAGTAGTCTGGCTGTTCGCGGTTCCACCGCGTGCGATCTTCTCTGCGCCAGATGCAATAACCGCTCCACCAACCTGCAGTCTTCCACTTGCAGCGCAAGGCACGCTTCTTAACTTCAGCTTCAGTGAAGTCTAGAATTTCCCGATGAACACTTTTAGTATCCTCGCCAGACATGTGGAAAGTTCTACGATGCGTGCCATAGTCCACTTTGCCTCTCTTGTTGTCGTCGACTGATTCGAAGTGGTCAAGAAAGTTCTCGATGGCAGCCTTTGCCGCCGCACTTGTCTCTTCGCGCACATGGTACAAATGCAACAGGCGGAAAACCCGATCCTTGACCTCGATCAAGAGCACCATGTCGGTGTCACGTACATCGGGACGGAGTTTCTGTGGCCCAGCACCACCTTCAACGAGCAGGTAGGTGTAGCTCGCGAACGGCCGCACATCGTTCTCCATGAAGAGTGGTGGCGGCGAGTTCACGGTAAACATGGTACAATACCGTGGACTGAGCACATCAGCAAATTATGCAATGACAGAGGGTTTGGCACTTACTCATCAAGATACCACAGTCGCTCAGGCCACCCCCACACTCTGTGTTTCCAACCTTCAGTATCATCATCAAAGTAAACAACGTAGGTTAGCCAAACGCCCATGTGTCGCTGCCTGCTGCCTTCGTAGCTAGACTCATCCCAATGGAACCAGAGGCCGCGGTTCCGGCTCTGCTCCATCATGGAAGCAATGAGATTTCGGTGAACGTCGCAATTTGCCCTGGTCACTCCAAACCCATTTCTTGTAGGGTGAGTATCATTACAGTAGCCCTTTGACTTTGACTTGATCGCCTCGACTTGCTTGTAGAAGGCATCACTGGCACTCCGAAGCTCGGCGACCGCATTATAAGATTGACCCTGATGAATGTTGTCAGGGCTGTTGGATACCAGTTTCTTGGGGTACATATTGACAGAAGCATCGATCTTGGCCAGTATGGAGGAAAGCTCGTGAACATGGCCCATGACAGCCACGACTTGGTCATCCATATCCGCATAAACCCTATCAAACATCTCGAAAACGGTACCGCCAGTACCATTGCCATCACAAAGCGGCTCTATCTGGTCCAGAAAACCATTGACAGTAGTTTTTGCCTCCTTGAGTGTGTCCTCGCGCACATTTTTCAGGTGTAACACACGCATTTGGTCCTTGGTAATCTCAATACTGATTATTATGTCCCCGTCAACGAAGTCTTCTCGCTTAGTCCGAAGCTTAGGGGGGTTAGAACCACCGCGAGCTAGCGAGTATGTGATGCTTGCGAACGAACTGAGGTCATCCGGGCGAGCGTAGCCTTCTGGGGCCTCTTGGGGAGGAGTAGGCGGGCGTTTATCTGCCATTGGGGGGTAGTAAAGGTAGAGGCTGCTGGAACTGTTGTGATGTGTATTAGGAAAGAGAAAGAGGGAACGGCTCTGATCACATTTGTCGGGGGCCTTGTGGAAGTTGGCTCTTAAAAATTGCGCTGTAGTCCTGGCTAGCTTGCGAATTCCAACTAGCTATGTAGTTGCCTGTCGGTCCTTTCGACAGGCAATGTACCTGCAAAAGGCAGACGATTGGTGTCGCGGGAGACGGAACGGGGAGAACCTAGCTGGAGTGCTCCAGCCCTTGAGATGCGGTGAGTCGATCCAACTGCTCCCTCCTCGGTGGATCCAAGACAGGTAGTGTCAAATATAGCATGAAGCAATGGACAATTTTCTTTGGGATGGCAAGAGACAAAACAAAGGTTAAGCTGCCCGTTCATTGAGTCAATGAAACATTGACATCCGAATCACGCACAATGTGAAAACGAAGCGTGAAACTACTTGACCGAAAAGTAGCAAGACTAGCAGGGGCGATGCTGACTGGCCCCGCCAGTTGTTGGTCACTGTGGTGGTGGTTGGTTGTTGGTTGTTGACCGCATATTCCTAACCGTGTGAAAGAAAAGATTATTTTCATCCAAAGTCTCCTCATAATAAATCCTTTAGAGAGTGGACGTACGCAAAATGAGCTAATGACCAGATCGACTAACAATTCATAGCCTGATATACCTCGATAATGTAAACTAAGCATAGTAAGATGCTAATATCAAACTGACAACATTGCCCGTGAATTTTTTCACTCCGCCTTTCACACCTTCTCTCTAACATACTGCTAGACAAGGATGAAGAACTCTCCGAACGGAGGCGGTGGCCTCTTTTAGATACTTGTGCCTTTCCGCTGATATTGTGCTCAATTTTTCAGCAGACAAAGGGACAAGAGCTGTCTTAATGTGTGTGCTGCACCCTGCAACATCCTTAAAAGTCTTGGAAGAAAACTTAGTTCAATCTTGTTTTGATGGCGACTGAAATAACACCATCATCATTCATTCATTCAGTCATTCGATTGGCTCATATTGAACTTCGACGCTCTTGTTACAATATGAATGATGTGTGTTAGCTTGGTATTGAGTTTCGTGGGGGGTTCTTCATTAATAACAAGTGTTCTATGTCTGGGATTCTTTGGGATATGAAGTCCTTTCAGCCCATAGTGCTCAGTCCTGTTATCGACTTAACCTCATACATTGGCTCCATTCTTTTCATTTGACATGTTCTTTTGACTCGGCACTGACGGATATAAGTTGAATTCCAGCAGCGTTGTTCTAGTCGGTATTACAACGGATGATTCAGATCCCAGATGAAGTCCATCATAACGGATTTCTTCTCTTACATATATTTCCCGTCCAAGTCACCAGAAGCAATCTCAGCAGCATCTGCATCGCGTTTTGCCTTGTTAGATTTCTTTACACAGTCTCAGCACCCCGCTTGGGGCTCATAGCCATGTGTTTTTTAAGTGTCACTTGCGCTGGAGGCAGATGACTGTTCTGTGAATTCCCAGAGCGGCCATTAAATTCTCTCTGTGGCTTCCTCGCTGAATTTTGGTTACAATTTTAATCCATTCTCGAAACCAAGCTTTCTCAGGGAGCGGCTACCTTGTGCATGCTAGAATGAAGACTCGAGGTTGCATCACGAATTCCAGGGAGGTGGAAAATGAGCCCCGTCTGATTTGCTGGTGGGTTGAAGACAGCCCCTGGTCCTCTGCGCTGTCGCTGTGGGCTAAACCCAAATAGGAAGCAGTGCCCTGTGGCCGCGACCGCCTTGGCTCCGGGGCAGGAACAATCAAAGCACCCGGCAAAAAAATCGAGGGGCAATTCTCCATGAGGGAAGCTGCTAGCATCTGATGGTAGCTTGTGGGATCCAGACGGCCATCACAGACCTGCACAACCTGACAACCTCCCACGCACACCTACCCGAGCCCAAGAGTCACCCAGCCTGACCCAGCCGTTTGGGGGATATTTCCAACCATGGCGTCCATGTTCGAGCAGCCCCGCAACGGCACCCTGTTCCTCGGCGGCCAGAAGATCTCCGGCGCAGATATTCGTGATCAGAACGGTACGCCACCTACGGACGAGATGGCCAGGAGATTGGTCTTTCAGGAGCACGCCTGGCTAACACCTCTGCAGTTTCCGCCACGCAAGCGATCGCAAATGTCGTCAAGAGCTCGTTCGGCCCCAGCGGCCTGGACAAGATGATGGTGGACGAGATTGGAGTAAGTGGTTCCGTAATAGGGAGTAGGAGGCCTAGCAACTCACACACCGCAGGACGTCACAGTAACCAACGATGGTGCTACTATTCTCAGCCTTCTCGATGTCGAGGACCCTGCAGGGAAGATTCTGGTCGACCTGGCCCAGCAACAGGACAGGGAAGTCGGTGACGGCACCACCTCCGTCGTGCTTATCGCTGCCGAACTCCTACGTCGAGGAAACGAACTCATGAAGAACCGCATTCATCCCACCACAATCATCACCGGTTACCGCCTTGCGCTCCGCGAAGCTGTCAGGTACTTGAACGAGAACGTCAGCATCAAGGTCGAGAACCTCGGTCGTGAATCGCTCCTACAGATTGCCAAGACCTCCATGTCCAGCAAAATTATTGGTGCCGACGATGATTTCTTTGCCGAGATGGCCGTCGATGCCATCAAGGCTGTCCAGTCCACGAACAACAAGAACGAGTCCAAATACCCCGTCAAAGCTGTCAACATTCTCAAGGCCCACGGAAAGGGCGTCCGCGAATCCGTACTTGTCAAGGGCTATGCTCTCAACTGCACCGTAGCCTCCCAGGCTATGCCTACACGCATCAAGGATGCCAAGATCGCCATCTTGGATATGAACCTACAAAAGGAGAAGATGAAGCTGGGTGTCCAAGTGGTTGTCGACGATCCTCAGCAGCTGGAGCAGATCCGCGCTCGTGAGGCCGGTATGATTCTCGAGCGAGTTGAGCTCATGTTCAAGGCCGGTGCCAATGTCGTCCTCACCACAAAGGGTATTGACGACCTAATTCTGAAGACGTTTGTCGAGCGAGGTGCTATGGGTGTCCGACGATGCAAGAAGGAGGACCTGAGGAGAATCGCCAAGGCTACCGGTGCCACCATGCTGAGCACATTCTCCGACCTAAATGGTGACGAGAAGTTCGACCCCTCATACCTGGGATATGCCGAAGAGGTTGTGCAGGAGCGTATCTCAGATGACGAGTGCATTCTTGTCAAGGGAACCAAGCAACACTCTTCTGCTTCCATCATCCTGCGAGGGCCTAACGACTACACTCTGGATGAGATGGAGCGCTCGATGCACGACAGTTTATTCGCTGTGAAGAGAACGCTCGAGAGCGGCAGCATCGTGCCTGGCGGAGGAGCTGTTGAGACTGCCCTGCACATCTACCTGGAGGAATTCGCTGGAACTGTTGGCTCTCGCGAGCAGTTGGCCATTGGCGAATTCGCCCAGTCTCTTCTCATTATCCCCAAGACTCTAGCTGTGAACGCCGCCAAGGACTCCGCAGAGCTTGTTGCTCAGCTTCGCTCGAGACATGCTCTCTCTCAGCGCATCCAGGAGGGTGATGCCAATGAGAACGAGAAGACCATTGCTCACAAGAAGGGCTACAAGAACTACGGCCTTGACCTGATGCGCGGCAAGGTGGTTGACGAGCTCAAGATTGGTGTTTTGGAGCCCAGCATGAGCAAGGTACGGCAGCTCAAGAGTGCCGTCGAGGCCTGCATCAGCATCATGCGTATTGATACCCTCATCAAGCTGGATCCTGAGCAACAAGAGGACGATGGTCATGGACATTAAAAGTGGTTATGATAAAATAGAGAAGGCCTTCAATGTAGACTTTGCAGTTCTGAATGAATCTACAAATCAATAATTTATTCGTCAATCATGTATCTTGCTCGACTGTAGATAGAACTTCTCGTCTCAAAGATGGGATAGGCATTAATTGAAACTTGTGGGGTTCACATTCACCAAAATAAGCCTTTTGTAACCAAATTATTTAGGACGTTGTATGATTTATACAATGAATAGGCCACAAGCCCACGTCTAAGAAACAAGAGTTGTGCCCACACGAATGTTGGCTTGTTTTACTATCACCGACCCAATCTCTCTCCTCCTCCCCAGTCCGGTCTACAATATGTGTTTATCCGCTAGCCCCCATTCAAAGTTATTCGTACACCCGCAGCCTATGCGGCTCCCTTTAACCGATAACCAGCTTGCCCTCCTCGGGGAAATCGTAGGGAGGGACTTCGAGGTTCAGAGGGGCGGGTCCCTTTCTTATACGGCCGGAGATGTCGTAGTGAGAACCGTGGCAGGGGCAGAACCAGCCGCCGTAGTCGCCGGCCTCGCCAATGGGGACACAACCAAGATGGGTGCAGACACCTAGAGTGAAGGAATATTTCGTCAGCTCATCAATGATTCATCGACCAAACGGGGCGAGCTCGCGCGTGCACGACTCGCCAACAATTAGGGACATGGAGAATCTCCTACCCAGCATGACCAGCCACTCGGGGTTCTTGACACGCTGGTCGTCGGTTTCGGGGTCTCGGAGCGAGGCGACGTTGACCTTGTTGGCCTCGTTGATCTCCTCCTGGGTGCGGTGGCGGATGAAGATGGGCTTTCCTCGCCACTTGATGATGACCTGTTATCACTCCGTCAGCCCCTCCTGCTATCCAATTGGGCTGCCCCCAAACGGGCCCATCGACGCCCTCCCGGAGAAAACTCACGTTCTTGCCCTCGGGGATGTTGTTCATGTCGACCTCGACCTTGGCCATGGCCAGGACATCGGCGGAGGCGGACATGTTGACCAGGAATTCTGCAATCACGGATCGTCAGCAACGGCCCAATCCCTCGAATCCCGCACCCTCTCGCGGCGCTCCGATCACTCAATGGCTTCGCTCAGCCCCGCGGGCCAACATGTTGGTGGTATAACATACCCTGGACGGTACTCTTGGCGCCGGCGGCGGTGATGGCGCCCATGGCGCCGACCATGAAGTAGGAGACGAGCTTGTTGGAGTCCGCGGCGTTCTTGGAGACGTATTTGCCAAAGTCGGGGATCTTGCTGGCCTTGGAGCCGCCCTGCTTGAAGGGGCTGCTGTACTGCGTGTAGGCGGCCGCCGAGTCGCCTCGGGTCGCTGCGGTCGTGCTGAGGGCGGCGGCGCGGACGGCCGTGGCCTTGCTGGCCCGCAGGCACACGCGGGTTGCGTTCGTCAGAGGCGCCATCGTCGGTGGGGAGGGTCGTGTGACGGTGTGGTCGGGGCTGGAGGGCGAAGGGAGGTTTGAGGTCTTTTCGTTTTTGGGTGTGATGATGCTTTGCCGAAAGTTTTGGACTGGGTGCGGTGCCTGAGGCTGCAACGGGTGCTAGAGCTCCTAATTGGGATGCGCTGATTGGCTGGGGTGCTGAGGATGGGTCCCGATCTGTTCCGTTTGTCACGGGTGGACTGATAGGCTGGCACCTACCTCAGGCCTGGGCCTCGAAACTGCACCAAAACTGCCTGCGGCTCAGCGGACGTCAGTGAGAAGGATATTGTTTGTTAGACTCGAGATTCCCTAGTATGCTTAAATTTCTCAATTGGACTATAGTAGACTCCTAGAGAATGTCAGATGCAGATCAAGAGTCAATTGCTCCAATTGGGTCTTGTTTCCGCCTTGTTCCGTGAACCAGGCGCACTAACGTCAGCCACAAGGGTGACAAAAAACGTGGGACATCATGATATGGAAGCCATGGATGCCTCGATGTATTGTAGTTTTATGTCACCGGCTTTCTGGGTTGAGATCAATGGCTAATAGCAGAATTATTAGCTAACAGCAGTATTATTACAAAGTCCGAATCATTGAAGTCATCTACATATTCGTGCAACTCATTTATACCGCCCAGATAGATCTATCGTACGAGATGCGCCTTGCCCTTCTTTGTCTATTGATCAATGCAGCCTTCGCAACTCCTCGACAATGTTACGCATATCCTCGACACTGGGTCCCAGACCCTCGCATACCTCTTCCTGCATGCTTTCGTTCATATCCAAAAATCTTTCCAACATTTCCCCATCGAGAAACCGGAAGGGCCCATTATTTTCCCTCGCCTCAGAACGATATGCGCGCCATAGGTCAAAATTAATGTCACCCACGGGCTTCGCATGGCGGGCAAGGCTGCTTTGGAAGTTGATCAACAAGTCCTGATACCTTGGAGCAACCTCACCATACATGTAAACGGAACCTTCAGACTGAACACAATGATGTTAGTTGGACATAAGATGCGTAGCCGTCTTCCAATGTCACTACTCACTGAAGCTAGGAATGCTTTAGGCCACACGGCAGCATTCTCGTCTGGTGCAACATGAAGCCTCCTAATCCGGTTGATTTGCTCTCCGATATTCAACTCACTGATAATATCCATCCTTTGCCGGTCTTGCTCCAATGGTGCTTCTTTGTTTTGTCTCAAGACCACAAGATTTCCTTTTGAATCTGCCTCCAACCATTTCTCGTCATCTAACGCGCAAATAGCCGTTGACCAGGACGGGTGGTAGTGTCTTGCCCGCTCGTCGAGCCTCGCGGCTGTTACGCCCTGGCGTGGAACAAACTCAACCAGGGCCATGGATTGGCTCAGGTCTACTATACCAATAATATTACCCGTAATGTCAAAGGATACGGGGACACTCGCGGGCCGGTACGAGGCCAGTTTCTCAACTTGGGCCGTCGCAGTGGTGTCCTCGGAGTAACTAAAAACCACCACGGTCTTGGTCAGTCCTGCCACGATATGATCCCCCATGACACCCAGGCAACGGCAATTCCCGCGAAGCTTTATTTCTTTGATTTGGTAAAGCTGCCGGTTTTGATCGACACCAAGAACCAGAATACGGCCCTGGATATCACTTCCTGCCGTCAAAGATGGCGAATTTTCAACAAAGCTCGTCCCTACTATTAATCTCTCCGCAGGGTTTCCGTTGGAATCATGGAGTGACGCACGAACCATGCACTCAACGAGCTCGGTTCCTGTCGAACCATCGAGTAAAAATGGTGTGCCTTGCTCTTGGAAAATAATCTCATCAACCAGCTTGATCGTGTTGGTGATTATCTCTTCGCTTTGAATTAACTCCTTCTTGATGCATGCAATGGCAAACGCCTTCGAATCAGGAGCATACGCTATTCGTCGGACAGTTTCTCTAACACGCAAGGGCTTGACATGGGTCAGACGTTCTCTGTCAACAAAACTAAGCTTCACATGGTCATTTGTTGAAATAATGATCGACCCGGGGAACGCCTCTGAGTCAAAGGGTGCGACGAAGGTCGCGTCATCGGCAGTCGTTGCTGAATAAATGATTCTGCCCTCAGAGCTGTAGATCAAACTAGCAAATTCCGTTGTAACAAAAATGCTGCACTCTCCATCGCCGTGAGGCAGGAGATGAAATCGCGATGGGCCGTTTCCGAGCGTCACTGTCTTTCGTCCAGATATTTCAAAGTTGCTGATAGAGACGTTGAATGTGATCACATTGCCGTCTTCAGTAGCAATAAACAGAGTAGGGCCGGAAGTCTCCACGGGATGGAGCTGAACAAGTGCTATGTCTCTGGGAACCGAGGCGCTATCATCGGATTGACGCAAAGACTCTCCATGAATAGGCTGAAGAGTGGCAAGGTCAATGATAGAAATTGTACCAGAAGCCCACCAGCCAACAACTCCCAGGTTCTGAGGGCTCTGAGCGGCGTGTATGCACGATATTTGGTTCTCAAGACTATTCGATCCTGTATCTCGAGACTGAGAAAGCTCCTCCAGGTCATTCTCGAGATCGAAACGAACAAGAACAGAACCATCGATGACTAGTAATAACCACTTGTCATTCGCTGACGCAGCAGTCACCACTTTACCCTCAGGGCTTGTCCAACTTGAAGCAGCAACGCCGCTCTCAGGATCTATCAGGGCAACAGATCGTGTTGTTACTTGCAAAACTTGCCCCGTCGGCAAGTTTCTCAACAGTAGAGTCTCTGACTCCATTATTATTCCTTCGTGGCTGAATACCTCCTCCACACCTCCGTCCGCATCAAATTTGAATACCCGTGTCAGATCTATCAGTGATACCACGAGCGTGTCAACAGACTTTGCTCCATATGACTTCAGCGTGAACAGAGCTCGGGTATCCGTTTGGTCAAAAAGGATACCCCAGTCCTCCAGGCCAACACCGCTTCGAATACTCCTCAGCGTGCCGTCGTGATAAGCTCCACAGCCTGCCACAATTCTAGCCTGCCCAGAAGAAAAAGCATTTCCAGCCTGCTGGTCTCCGTCTCTATTACCAATATCCATAACCGCAAAATCCAGTATTGGTGCGTTATTGGAAAAACTCTTAAGCAGTCTCATTTCTTTGGAGTGTGTGTTCACGAGTAAAAGCTGAGGGTCTCCATGATGGGATGCTAGGAATAAGATATCTTGACCAAGATAGACCAGTCTCGATGCTCTGGCCGTCGTCGGAAAATCCGTGTCTGTGAATTTCATCGGGCATACATTCAACCCCGTCACAACTTCGCCAGTAGGTTCGCTTGCCGTCTCAACCGTGAGAAGATCCATGCGCCCATAATCATCTGCCAAGAAATAGTGCGTTGCGTCGTATTGTGCCCATGAGATATAGATCCTTGGTTCCTTCAAGCCCGAGGAAAGACTCGTATAAGTCAAGCTGTCGAAATAAGTCAATAGCGTCTCGCCGATAACAAGGAAGCCTCCAAGATGGGCTTTCGTCCCTTCCGATTTGCGAACATGGTATCGTTTCTCCTCGGGGACAGGAACAGGAATAATCATCGATGCATATGGATCCTTGATTTTCTCGTCGAGCTCCCGGTCTTTCTGGGGGTCGAACTTGGAGACTTCTCCACCCCTGTCATCCTTGGTCAAGCGATATACTGCGATGCGCGCCTCCTCGTGCTCTTGTTGGCTCTTGTATAGAAAAACGATCCTTGGATGGCCGGTTCGGCTGTGTATGAAGGCGCTAGCCTTCATCCAGAGTTCGGTATGCCTTACTTGAGCTATCGCATCCAATCGAGTTGTCTCCCGCCCTCTTGTGCGCAGCTTAAAAACGGTCAGGACGCCCTCCCAGAGATGCATAACCACAAACTTGCCGGTTGGGTCAACCAAGCACTTGTTCTGGCTTTGCGAATGGCGCATGAATGGTTCGGCTTCATCGTGGATATACTTTTCGGTGACAGTTTCGACCTCCTTCGTTTCCGAATTCCATGCCAGAGTGAAGTAATGCTGTCTATCGGTGCCTACGAAAAGCAAGTCGGTCTCGGAGTCCTTCGGCTGGAGTCTCTGAAGCATAACAATCGTGCCGTAAATGACAACGGAGTGCTTTTTCGTCAAGCCATCTTCGTCTAGCTGCCATATCTCGATACGATTCGCTTTTCTGCCAGCATTGAGATTAGACTCGGTGTCATTCCTGGTGTGATAGGCACGCGGTGGAAGCATCGGGACCACTTACGAGAGGACCAGATCTTCCTGGTCTGGAGAGAGGAATCTCATCCACAGTGCATGCCGAATGCTCGTGGCCAGATGTACCGGCGCGATGTACGACATGATTAAACCATCAGGCGAGAAGGACGGCACGATGCGTCCAGCTGTGGAAGAAAGTTGGTCTGCTTCCCAAGCTTTATAGCGGGGAGAGCTACACCTCGGACGGGGTTCCTCTTGCGGAGATAGGCGCGATTCAAATGCGTCACCAAATATCGGAGTTAGTGGCGCCTTCCAGGGCCACCACGACGGACTGCCTTGGTTACCCTGCACCGACTGACCACCTACCTATGTATTGGGACCAACACAATGTCAAAAGGTCATATACGTGAAATATCAAGATATATATCATGGATTAATTTATCGATGCTAGGCTCTGCAAAATACTAAGTCGTATTTTACCGCACATGTTAAATAGGTACCGTGCAGGTAGGCACTGCTAGTTGTACCTTCTCTCGCTACTGCCAGTTGACGACGCCAGGTTGAAACAGGAAAGAACCCTCCAGACACCAACCAACTACCCTTACCTTCCGCGAAGAACTCATAATCTACTGGGTACCTAGGTAGGTAGACAGTCCTGAATGTAGAGAGACCTTTAGACCCATCCAGATCTAATATATCTCAGCTCCGGAGCTCGTAATATCGATCTATCTAATTTTTAGATATACTCAACTCTATTCGACCATGGACACCCCCAGGAATACACCCGTCAAAAGAAGACTTGGTGAAAATGATTCCAGAGGAGAAGACCAGGATGAAGAGAATGAAACTGCTGCATCGTATGCGCGGAAAGAACAATGCACCTGGGATCATCGCAAAGCCCCTTACCGATTCGAGTCATGTGTCTTCACTCTTTCTCCCTCCCACGAGACCCCAGACGCGCAAGGATTAATTGACCAAAATGGATTGGCAGCCGCACGCCTCCCAGATACTCAGGTTGATCTTGACATCTCTAGCCCCGAGAATATACACGAGTCTCACTAGGATTTCGACGCTCGTGTAGATTGCTCGTCGCCCCCATCATTCCCTTTTCGACCGGCCAGGTCCCTCCTCAAAGATCGTGGATTTCTTCTGGAGCTTGTTAATGTTGGATCTGACCCAGTGGAAGACGTAAAGGAATATTTGACCTTGGTTGAATCTGCAAATTCATGCCGATTGGTTGACCAATGGCTTCCGTTATGCCCAACCGAAACTAGACACGATGAGGGTTTGTCGTTTCCAGAGAGATCCAGTTGGGTTCACTCCCTTCTCCTTCGAGCACTCGACAAGGAGCAGATCGAGCTTTCAGAAATGTCACTGGAATTGGAGGCAGAAGTGGCGAATCCCAAGAATTGTCCACCTGGGAAACTACCAGCAAGGCTGGATTTTCCATGTGCGAAATTTAGGGCAAAAGAGTTGCTACCGGTTAGCCCACCCTTATCTCCAGTTTCTGATGACGAGGATGATGACGACGGAAAAGCCTGTTTTGTGCCAAGCGAAGGTGCATGTATAATTGACTTAACGTCGGAGCCTGATAGTCCTGAGAAGGATATGACTTTCGAGAAGGTGGTGCAGCAAATTCCAGACCCTGGACCGCCAATTCCGATCAGCTATGAGAATTTCCCTGGTCCAGAAACATCTCCTATCACTTTGGCAATTTCAACCCATCCGAAAGAAGACCCTAGACTAGATGTTCCACTTGTATCTAGCGCTTCGTCAACCAGGACATACGAGGATACTCTCCAGAACGATATCCTTGAGCTGAACACGGACTGTAGCAAAGAGGACCCAATTGACGAGCCAAATGGCGGGTTCTTTGACGACGCTTTTAACGCGACAGTTGAAGCTTGCCATTCCAGATCAATGCTACTGGTCGGCCAGGAGTGTTTCAACCCTCACGAGTCCCTTTCTCGGGTCCCAGTCCCTCGGCTAGAGCTTTATATACCACCCGAGGAATACACCGGTATTTCTGAACCGAAAGATCTATTTCGCAGGATGAACGCCAAGCATAAGCTTGCCTTTTCCATCTCCAAGGAGCAATGCAGTTCTGAGCTATCAATCATATTGAAATGGGATCCGTTTAACCATTCAAGAACAGGCCACTTCAATGCAATAGAGGAGCTCAACCCACTCACTGATAGAAGTGAAGAACTTCTGGCCATATCATCCTCGCCTCGAAAGGAAATTTTCGATCATACAATCAAAGAGAGGAAATTAGCCATACTTACTTTTGATGAGAAAGATTTGGAGGACATAAGCGAAAGCGAGAAATCTGATTATTCGAGCGATCATGCCACTTCCTCCGAACGACTATTGGGTCAAATATCCCAAGAACCAGATCTCGATTTCCTTGAACCTGTCGGGTTCTCGTCTCTGGGGCATTTGCCAAGATCGAACATGAATAAGAAACTGGATCTCTTTCTTCCTCTAGCTAGCGACGGAGCAGCCACTAGCAAGTTACTTGCAAGCTTTATGGAACTGAGTGGTGCGAAGAGTTCATCAAAAGTGTCCCGCTCTGATGACGAGCTCAGCGAGCATCCCAATACGAGTTCAAAAGATAAGTATGGGCGCCAAGCAGCTTTCTCTATCGTCAGCTCGAAATCAACGTCGCCTTTAATAAATACCCCTAAACTAGTTCCGGCCGAGGTACCAGAATTTACGAAACCTGACCGACATGGTGTATTCCTGGTCTCACTAAACATTGACCATCGTGTTCTTCGTCAGCTGGAGAAATATTGGCCTCCTAGTTGTTTGATCGATCGAGATATTTCAAATTGCAAAAGCTGGTACTCGTCGGATGCCGACGAAACCGGCCGAGAAAGCTCCAACTCACCTGAACTATCTGATTGTGATATAATTCTCACATCTAGTGCAGGCATAATTATCACAAGCCTTGTCAAGGCTAAACAAACGCAACTCCCAGGATCAACAAAACGACCGGAGTTGCAGGCACGAATCATATACGCAAGTGAGAGATATGAAACGCTATTCGTCTTAGTCTCGGAAGAAAATCTGTCTGGGGAAGTCGTCGGCAACCCAAACCCCTCTGATGTGGCTGCATATGCGGAATTCGTAAACTTTACTCTTAGTCTTGGCGCAAATGTGATATCTCATTACGTTCCCGGCGCAACCGACACACTCGCCAAGTGGATTGCATCATTCATGTCCCATTACACGCCATATGTTCTCGAAATTAAGCGTTTCCTAACATGCCGAGAGACCACTTGGGGGATGTTTCTCCGACAAGCTGGCATGAATGCCATGGCCTCTCAGGTGCTCGCAGGCGTGTTGTTCGAGGAGTCTGGAAAGCGCGGTTTGGCCTCGTTCCTCGTGATGCCGGTCCAAGAACGCATTTCAAAGTACGCGAAGATCTTAGGAGGGCAGAAACAACTCGAAGGGGTCAGTCAAATCTTGGATGAAGCTTGGGAATGAGATATTTCTGCCTTATGTAAGTGTGGTAAGATCTTGGGAGACGATTGAAGTACGCTGCTCGAAAATAAAGAGGGAGCGAGTACCGATGTGGTCATGCCCACTTACGTATTACACAGGCCAGTTAGTGTGCTAGAATCTGTGGGTGAGGGAGATCTACGCTTGTGAAGTTGGCTGGAGGTTGACATGTAGAAGACCATCTTGAGACATCGAACAGGGCGTGTTTCTATATCACACATGTTCTATGCAACCCATGGCCGCAATCTATAGATGATCTTCTGGCGTAGCAAATCAACCGTGAAATACAGCATCTATTCAGTTGGTGGCCCAAACACATGTATCTCATTCTTGCCATCAGCACAATTCCCACATTGGTCGGGGAAAGTGTTTCAAGTGCGATCCGTGCCGACGCTGTCCCTCTTTGATACCGACGTACACCACACGGCGAGAGGGATTTGCCAAAGTGACGGACTTGGATTCAAGGCCATAATAGTCACAGATAGCGTGGGTGAGCCACCGCCTGGAGGGAAATACGGTTAATTGACATCATCAAAGGCACAGGGGGGAATACTCACTTATACGCAGCTCCTTCACCCTCACCGAAGGAATCGAAAACCATGCCCGAGTCGACGGTCTCGTGCGACACCTCCCGATGTGCCCTCTTCCACCCGCCGCCGCCGCCGCCCTTGCCGTTCAGCTCCCTCATGGCGCCGCTCCGGCCCACAAAGACAATCTCCTCGTCGTCCGAGTCCATCTCCCCCGCCGCGCTGTCGTCGAGCAGGTCCTGCTCCCTCTCGTCGGCGCGGGCCCGCAGGTAACCGCGGACCGGCTCCTCCAGGGCCCGGACCCAGCTCCTGACCACGGGGCTCCTCTTGGCCGACTCGCGGAGGTCGCGGGGCACCTCTCCCGCGCCCAGACCTGTGGCGCTGCCGCTCTTGAGCTGCTGCTTCTTCCTCTGGGCGGCCAGGCGGGCCGTCTTGTCCTCGACGCGCTGGCGGACGCCGACGTCCCAGAACTGGGCCAGCTGGTAGGGGATGTGGTGGACGGTGTGCGTGGCGCGGACCTCCCAGTCTCGAGGCTCCGGGGGCTGTGCGTTGGGGACGTGCATCAGACGGTCTGCAGCAGAGAACAGATGCCTGGTTAGCCACCTGTCTCATTGCCCGAAGGAAAGGGGAGGGGAAGAAGCAAGATCCGAGACCGGGCAAAGCAAGAAGGGGAGGGAGGGGGTTGTGCAATTCGTTATTTACCATTTTCCCATCGCCGGCGCTGGCGGCTGCCCTCGTTTCCCTTCAGCACAGCGTCTCTCTTCTTCATGCTATCCCTCCGCGAGGGGGGCCTCCTGGGTACATCTGTGCGGGTTGCCTCGGGGGTGAACCCCACGGATCGCTTGGGATGCTCGGAGTCGATGGCGATGGCGAGCGGGGTGCCGGTACCGCGGGCGACGGGGGAGACGCTGAGCGACTGGAGGGCCGAGATGGTCCACGCATCGATGTCCACGCCTGTTGATGACTGGTTTGCCTGGGACTTGAGGGCTGAGAGAGGGCTTGCGGGTGCGGGATCACCGGCCAGCTCGGGGGGTGGAGGGACTGCGCTGTACATCGCCATGATCACTTTACGCGGTTGCTCGTATCGATAAGGGGCGGAGATAAGATATCAGCAGGTACCTAGATAGGATGTAGGTAGGGATGAAGAAGCCAATTGTACTGATTAGAGTCTGGGAGAGGAATATAGGAGTCCTGCAAGGTGTTAGGTATAAGGAATGGCTGTAGGTGTTGCGATTGAGCAAGGAGAGGGCTCGGAGAGGGTTGAGCTTAAGGGCGTCGGTAGTCGATGGGGATGTGGAGGAGTGTGCGGTGGAGGCGTGTCACACGGGGATCGTAGTCGAAGACGTCGAGACTGACTGCAGGTCAGGGGCATGGGTCGGGGACCAATCAGTGGGCGAGCGCAAGCCAGGTGGAGGGAAGATAAGGCATCTGGGCTCCACGGAACCGATGCTCCGATGTACAGTACCTTGCTGTCTCGGAACTCTAGGTCATCAAGTCGCTCGCAGGCAGCCAGCTTGTTACGTTAGTAAGCGTAGGCGTTCCATTAAGTTTCTAGTAGTGGCGTGCTCATGGCTCATGATGTGCCTTTGTCAGTTAGGTACAGTTTGAGCTTCGGCCAACAGTTACGTCTCCAACCCATCCGCTCAGTGAGGATGACCATGCGGTACCCACGATACGAGCGGGACTTTGCGGCTAGCAATCATCGTCTGAGTCACTATGAATCACAAGAGTAAGAGCTGAATGTCGCAATATTAATCACGTCTCAGTGAGTCAGAACGCCAGGCAGAATGCAACCATTGTATCTGCTTTAGTCCCTTTGCCCGCGTGCACCGTGCAGTGTGGATGTTGGTAAGGTTTCCAGGGGAAAACTCTATGAGCTAATCCGACTCCATCTGGCTCGGCCGCCAACTTAATGCACGATTCATACACATCCGGCAGCGAATTGAGTGCAGGTGATCATCAGCTCTAGTAGGAAATATCGTATCAATTGATTTGGGTCCTATAGCAATGAGTCCTTTCGATGATTCAATGATTGACTCCCATATTTCTCCTTGATCAATAAGCTTCAATTAGTAAGTCTGTTGGTACCCAAAAGTCTGACATAAAAAAACAAAGTGCTAACTCCGCTAATGGTGATTTGAGTTGTAGGTCTTGTGGGGATTTCCGATCCCTCCAGGCTTCAGTAGAGGTTGGTTCTCTCGGGCGATGGCCCGCTCCTCTCGTTCCTGAATATCGTCCAAGTCTTCTTCAGTTTCCGCGTACAACTCGGGGTGGCCTGTAAATGGCCCTGGGAGACCACGCTCCCACCCTTCCGAGTATGTCCGGTTTGCTACTGGTCGCCGGCTGGAGTGGTATCGATCGACAGGAGACTCGGGTGCACTTTCGGTGTAATTGTAGACGGGCCTTTCGCGTCGTGCCGCGAGTTCGTATGAAATAGCCAAGAATAGAACCATTCCTTGCATGCCAGCTGTCAATAGATAGATGGCCCAGGTACTCCAGCCTTCCCAGCCGAGTCTTGCGAAGAGGCTTGCAGCGAAGAGTAGACCGCCGGGAGTCTGAATGCACATCATGGGAATGCTCAGACTTCCAGCATGCTTCAGCTTATAAGTCGTCCAAATCTGGGGGATGTACTGAACCGCCGCCAATGCAGCTGCCATGACGCCGAGGAAATTCGCCCAGAAGTTGAGGTGACTGGGGAGTGCAATGACAAAGACGCCAGTCAAGATAATCACAATTAACCCGTGGAAAATGCATAGCAGACCGACAGTTGCTGCAGTACGCCAGCCTGGGGCATCACCGACCAACTCTTCCTGGGGCACAGAAGCTCCTCGGTATCGGAAGAAAATGAGGAATAGAACGAGGCTGCATCGCGATGATTAGTAAGGGTAGTGATACCTGGGCCAAGACAATACAGTAAATACTCACATGAAAAGAAAGCAGAGCCACTGCGCACCAAGCTGTGCGACGCCCAGTAAACCTGCAGCACACTCAAAGGTATCCAGTTCCTTGCAGCAGCCAATGGCGGCGCGAGATGGTGGAACTGTGAGAATATTGGCGAATCCAGCAGTCGCAGACGTCGTACCAAGCAGAACAAAGTACGGGGATATTCCCTCGGATGTACCCCGTGAAATGATACGGTAGTGTTGGGGGAGATATGAGACGAACAGACCGAGGAGAATGACACTGCATATGCTTGTTAATTGAGAACGCTCCATAGGGCTGCGATGTCCACTCACATTGAAACTGTCAGCTCGAGGTATGAAGGTTCATGGTATGCCCCGCACTGGGAGCTCGATGCATCAAGGGCTTCCATCTCGGCTGTTTTCAGAGGAGATGCCTTCTTTGAGAGAAGTTCGGATGGTCGACAGCCAGGCCCTGCCTAACTTGTGTGATTGGCCGCGTTATGTCTACGGTGCCGTGCAATTCGGTCGGGGGTTCGGTAGAAGGGTGTGGCGTGCGTACGTGCTGTCGGGAATTATCGAGAACTGAGATCCAGATGATCTTGATAGATTGAGCCGCAGCGTAGGACGGACTACGGAACCATCTTGTGCCGGATGAGGCGGTAGGAGACGAGAGGGAGGCCAGGCGGGCTGCTGGTCAGACGGGGAGTAGGGCGGTTCGTTTTGGCGGCCCAGACGATTGGCTACGTGGGAGTGAACAGGCAGGGAAGCAGCATGCGCAGGAATGGGCAAGAACGGTGGTAATGAGCAGCAGCCTGGATGTGGAAGGGAAGGTGAGGTGAGCAGGTGCATGGACGGAGAGACAACCTGAACCCGTCCGTCTGCCTGGGGCTGCAGTGCACGGGCGGCCAGCGACCACTAAATGCACCGACGCCCCAGTGTAAGGCCCTGGCAACAGCCCATGGCCGCCTCGCCGAGCGGAAGGGCCCACTGGAATGGATGCAATTAGACTTGGGGTCGTCATAGTCCCCTGGGGACGTTGAGGTCACGCGGTGCGTTATTTTGTGTGCAGAGGTACATGCCCTGCCCCTCGGCACCTAACAGTGACGTGTCTAGCCTGCGCGGTTCCTTGTGGTACAGCGATGCCAGACCGAGCCAGTGTGCGCTGATGACGTCGTCCCGACAAGGTGGGACCTGCATCTCGCCCAAAGCAAAACCCCTAAAAGTGGAATTGGACCATCTTTGCGTTCGCAAAATGGGACCGGCCTGGATGGTAATTTACCATCTTCTTGGGCACCCAGGGTCCATTGGCAAGTGGGAATTCATCCAACCACAGGCTGCTGGAGACCAACCACCTGCGATTGATCACGCATTGCTATAGACAAATATAGGTCCCGTTGTCGGAGTGCTGTCTCAGGCAAAATCCATCAACAGCTGATCACATTGAGGCGAAGCAGGTTTCAGTCCTCCGAAACTTCTCGCAGAGCACTCTTGGCAAACCTGCGGCTTCTTTGCTTGCTTGCTTGGTTGGGTGGCTCGTACCTGAGCAGATCACCCAGCCTTCCTTGACAGCCGCACACTACACATATTTAGAATACGAGCATCATGCAAACGCCAAGCTGCTAGTTTGTTGCACTCGGACATGACAAGCGTGTTCTCGTGTTGCAATGGACGATCCCCAGTACGGAAGCAGTGATGGATCAACGTCTACACCGAGTTCCTCCAAGGTTGAGCCAAAGGCAGGGCCTGAAATCCGTCTCGTTGCAGAGATCCCCAATTCGACCATCACCAACTATCAAAGTACCGAAAGTCAACATTCCCATGATACGAAAAGTGGACCCGACTCTTTTTTCACGGCCGTCCAGTGGACAGCAGATGGTTCGTCTCTAGTTGCAACATCCTCTGACAAATCAATTGCAACGTTTGTGATACCGGACGATCTCCTCCAGGCGTCGGATCCACGCCCACTGGTCCCCCAGTCTCTCACCAAGCTTCCTGAACAGCCCCGAGTTGTTGCACCTGCTCCCTACTTCTCGCTCGCGGAGCCAGCAACGCAGACCTTCTTGGTGGCATGTCGTGAGCATCCGCTGCAGCTATACCACGCGTTCCCCGCTGAGGGCCATTCTCGCCCTTTGTGTGGCTATAAGCTTATCAAACAGGAAACCGAGGCATACATCACACCGTCAGCTCTAGTTTGGGACTATCCGGGCACGCACTTTGTGTGCGGCTCTGCCAACCGGCTAGACCTGTTTGACGTGTCTCGGCAAGGATCTGACGGGCCCATCTTGACGGTGCCTACGATTCCATCCCGAAGACATGTTTCCAAAGGTGGCGGGATTGGTATGAAGGGGACCGTGTCCTCGCTCGCTACCGCCCCTGCTGACGCCAATGGCTCCTCTATAATAGCAGCCGGCACTTGGACTCGCTGGGTTGGTCTGTATGACCTCTACCGCGAGAATAAAACCATTGCTAATTGGAGCATCGCGCACGCTGCTAACGAGGTGTCGGGTGAAGCAATTGGCGGGCAAGGAATCGCCCAGACTCTCTGGAGCCCTTGCGGAAGGTACCTGGTCATCAACGAGCGGAACGCCAATGGGCTCTTGCTTTACGATATAAGAGTCACGGGCCAATTGCTCAGCATCCTAAGGGGTCGCGGCGCTGGCACTCAACAGAGGCTACATTGCGATGTATTTCCCAGTGCGGAAGGAGGTTTTGAGGTCTGGTCAGGGACGCAGGACGGCACTGTCGTCGTCTGGGATGGAGTTGGCCTTCACAGTGAGTACGGTATGGAGCCTTCCTGGCACTGGAAAGCCCACACATCACCGATAGGAAGCACAGTAGTTCACTCAAGCGGCTCAGTTGCTGCTACATGCTCAGGTGGCTGGGAACATCCTAAAACATTTGAAAGTGAGAATGCGGACGAGGAGCATGCCGTGCCCAGGTCACAGTGTTCCGTGCTCGATGAGTCCACCCTCAAGGTATGGTCGATGACTTCTCCCACACAGACTGAAGAGAACACAAACAGTACATAGCCCAAATACACATTGCATTTACCGCGGTTGGCTGTTGGTTTCTTGAATCACATCACATTTTAAGCGCGGCCTTGGCACTGCCTCATCTCACCGCACAGCCCATCGTTTCGGCTTACTGCCCTGCTGCGCCAAGTTTTCCCGCCAACTTACGCGCCAGGAGTGATAAGCCAGGCTGCCCTTGTCGGTGCCCAGCCAATACCTGGCTAACGCGATGATGCACGCAAGGGGTAATAATTAAGTGCCGCGTTTCAGACTGCTGAAGAGGCCCGTGTCCCTGGTTGGCGGAAGTGGAGAGCGCCAGCGAACCACACACGATCCCAGCACCTTCATTTAGCTGTATGTACAACATCAACGGTGGTCGATAACTCGATCTGAGCCCTATTAGCGGGGAGGCGTCGAGATCAATTTATTTTCCGGATGGTGCGATGTCTTGGCTGAGGAGAAGCATCGTCGAAATTGGCCTCCTTGGAGGGAAAGTAATGTTAAGAGTCAAGCATCACAGGCTCAGTGTGCAAATCACATGGGGCCTGTGGCTCAATGCAGACACGGAGCGGATCATAACGCAATGGCGTGCATGTATTCCGGTTTCACTCACGAGAAGACTATACCCAATATGAACGTACAAATTTTTGCTGCTGCAATTTCAAAGCTGCCCATGGGGATAATTTTTTCTCATCTATGGACAAGTATCTGTTGGGAATCATCAAGTCGTGTTATGTACATCAAACAATGCTCCCCTAGCCAACTCCCGTCTTTGTGTATTTCGCTCAGCTATTTCCAAAACGCCGGCAATGCCAACCAAGCACTGCGCGAATCTCCCCAAAATCAAACAAAGTCATTATTGATGCAAATTCATGTTCTATCCAGTAACGAGAAGGCCGGGGGAGGACAACCAAAGAGACAAAGAAAGCATCTGCCCAAAGGTGGGATGCTGGAATCGCGCGGCCAGAAAACCGGAAAAAATTAAGTACTGGCCAAACACGCCTCTCAGGCATCCACGCACAGTTGGCGATGGACAATTGACCTGCCAGGTATCTAAATGCGCCGTAAAAAGGAATAATGATAACAAAGATGAGGGATGGATATCTGTTTCATATCCACTCATCTTTTGTGGTCCTGCGATTTTGCTGCCAAAAGGACCCAGAATCAGTGCCCCGTCGGCCTCGGTAAGGGTTAGTGTAGGGGTCGATGGCACTCTCATATGAATCGTTCGTGGGGTCATGGTCTTGGGGTTCACTCAAAGGACCTTCAGGTTGAACCGAACGGTTTTGCGCCGCTTGCAAGGTGCCTTGCGGGTCGTCGTCCAGCTCATAGATTGCGCTCAAAGCCCCGTTGTAGCCGAAGGCGTTCTCCGGTTCTCTCAAGGGCTGCTGATCCGTTTCCATATCGCGTCCTCGGCCACCAGCCATTACTTGCTCATCAATCGTAATTGGCGAAACGTAGTCATTTGGTGATACCTCTCGCACGGGCTCCATGCCTGGGTGATGCCGGTTTTTCTCGTAAACAGCATCCCCTGGTAATACAGGATTCATGTAGGTTTGGGCGTAAGAGCGGTCCAGTTCATGGGTTGGGTGCAGAGGCGTGAAGACATTCGTGTTGTCAGAATCATCGGAACTATTTGAAGTTAGCAAAAGAGGGTCTCTCATTAGGTACGCAAATACAAATCCGGAGAGAACGCCCATACCTTGAGAACTTGGGCTCTCTCTGTGGCCCGTCGTGCAAGGGTTCCTTTCTCCTTCGAATAAGGAAAATGGCGAGCAGGGCTAGAAGCGCGATCAGGGCGACACCACCAACAGTGCCGCCGACTATGGCACCGATAGGAGGCGAATTATTGCTGTCCTTTGGTGCTTCGTCATTAGCATTGTCCTTGTCACCATCTCCGCCATTGGCGCCGCCTGTTGAAGTAGGGTTTGAGTCAGAGCTCGATCCAGTCGTTCCAGTGGAACTCGTTTTCGAAGAAGTTGTCTTCAAAGAACTCGTAGTGCTCGAATCCGACTTGGACGAAGACTTGGTTCCGAGGGTTGTCGGTTCTGAGAGAGAAGTGGCAGTCGCAGTAAACTCGAGACTAATGCTCGTCAGATCCAGCGTTTGTTTGCCCGACGCAGACATGGCGACCGTCGTCGCCAGGTCAGATGCCGACCCGCACCCATACTGGTGGTAGCCGCCATCAAACTGGTTCTGATAACACACATTCCCACCTCCGCAGGTATAAACGTAAGGGTTGATTTCCGTCTGGGGATCGCTGTTGCCGTCGACACATCCAGTATAAACGCCCTGCGTACAAGGGCCGCCGTCGGGGCAGCAGCCAACAACTCCATGCTCGACATCAATGGCGCAGTGCGAACCTGCAGAGCAGGTGGCCGGTAGATCAGGGTTCCCTCCTACATATCCGCAGACTGTGTTGAGTTGTCGTCCAAGCAGGTGGTTGGCCTCGGGCATCACCGTCGGGAGAGGCCATGGCAAGACATTGAGCTCTCGAAGCTCGACGGTATGTGTCTTCTGTGGAATGGCGTGGCTGCGGGCGGCTGGAATGATGCTCCAAAGGAGAGCAAGGCTCGAAGCGCGCGCCACTGATGACGTGAGGCCGCAGTTCAACATGCCGACAGATGCAGTGTTTCATAGGCGGGCGACCAATGAAAGCAAATCCCCAACATGCGCTCGCAGACTAGTGTGTTGTTCTCGAGAACAGCTGTTTGGAAGGTATCCCAAGCGCGACCCGGCCGTAAACATGTATGTCTCACATGTGGGAAAAAGAGAGGGGGGAGCACTGTAAGAAGCAGGCCGGGTGAGGTTGGGAATGGATATTATGCGAGTCTTCCTACCTATGCCAACAGATGGCCAAGAGAGCCCAGGCTGACCTGTTGACCAGCAACGTTTTGGAAGTGGCCAGGGCAGCCCAGCTAGCAACCCACACTACCCTCGTTGGAGGGGTGACTTGCAGGGGGTCTGAAGGGGGGCAGGGAGGTAAATTTAGCAGCCTCCTCCCCCGAAGCCATCACTCTCCAGCGCAGCCACGGGTGCTTATTGGGCAGTCAGACGCTACCTACCTAAGTGAGGTAAGCCCGATACCCGTTACCGACCCTCCTAGTGTCGCAAAGCGCCCTTCGTTAAGTGCCTGCCACTTAAATCTCCCCCACGAGAGATCGGTACTAAGCAGCACTGGAGACGATAGATAATCCCTAAAACCTGTAATCTTCCGCGCTGCACGGCATGCGAGACAATGAGGGCGAGCGCGGCAGTCTGGCAGCTGCCGGGTACGATCAGTCAGTTCCCTATCCAATCGAGCGGATCAAAAATTGATACGGATAATAAGAAGACTCAGCTGCTGTCATAATGCTACTTCAGATTGTGCTATACCGCTCAGCCCCAACCTTTAGGATCCTGGGGTTGTAATATAGGTAGGTTCTAGACCTGGACAACCAGTGATCACCCACGAAGACAGAAGAGTGGGCACTCACTATAGCCAGCGATGCCCTCGGATCGCTCCGTATATGCACTCTAACTTGTGAGCCAAAGGCATGCCGATGTCTGCGCCACAGTCACCGTTGCAGAACCAGCAGCACCGGCTCGCACTGGGAGGGCTCGTGTTTTTTTAGGCTCTGCTAATCATCTAGGCTCGATTGCGTCGGCTACCTAAGGAGCGGCAGTCAGAGTCGACCGAACTTTCCTACGATTCTGATACGTATTTAGTAATACAACCCTACCTTGAGTGATGATGCCTGTCGCTATGACATGGTGCGCAGAGTAGCAAGGCAGTTAAACAAGGCAGCATCGAGGATCTGCGCCATCCTTCACGTCAGTGGTCTGAGCAGATCAACCAGAGAGAGGGACGTAATGTTAACCATCGTGACAGGTAAATACCTACAATCCCTATCTCTGCCTGGTTTCAAGGACCCTCGACTGCGAAAGTCAGGAAAGTACCGGCTTAGTCATGATGGGGGCCGCCCTCAGGAGCCTAGAAAACTGTCTCACAGTTGTCCTGCCTCCAGAGCGGTCTAATTAGGTACTTACCAAATCATATTACCACTAAAATATCTCGTGCTAGTGGGTGGACGAACGGAATCAGTGTGCGTGGCATGTGACCTGGCAAATCCCGCTGTTTCCCCGGTCAGACCCAGGCACCTCACAGCTACCCAAGACAAGGACGCACACTACGTTCGTCATTCGGCATGCATGTGCTCTTTCGCCGCCAACCTTGAAGACAGGCTAAGTAGCAGCTGATTCATGATGCCACCAGAATAACATGTCCACGCCGCTCAGGCCACACCCTTCTCCAGAGGCAGACAGTTCTCTCTCCGCCGGTCAGAAGCCCAGGATGCCTGACCGCGATCAGGTTATTGGAATTAGGGGCAACGGTCACAGGTCCGCGACGCCTGACAGCTCGCAGCGGTATCGCTTCCGTTCGTCCTCACCTTCGAGGTGTGTGTCATACACTAGAGAAGATGAATTTCCACTAGAGCGGAAAAGTGGTCCTTTCTCAGGACCAAAAATTCAGAAATTCAAATTCCGTGTAGAATCCCACATGGAAGAAACGAAAACAGAGGCCAATTCCCATTCAAATCGTCCTCGTGAGAGGATTTGCTGTAGTGCACTGGTTTCGTGGATACGCTTTCCCTTGCCTTCTCCGTTTCCACATTGGAATAGCACCAGTTGAGATGTGTGACGTGCCTGAAAACTGCTAACAGCTCCCCATGCAGTTTGTGTGTCGAGCTGTTAACGCACTCCCCAACTTGCGGTGGAGCCAGCACCCTGCTAGTCCCCGGCAATTGCCCCGCAGAATGTCCAGTCAGTCATCCATCCACTGACCGACCGGTCCTCCCGTCCGCCTCCCTCCAGGTCGAGTCCTATCCAGGTACTTTTCCAACATCACCTTATTCTATCGCTGCTCCTTTCTTCTTCATGCGTTGAGTGCTTGCACAGACCAGCTCGGATTGCCCCCAATTGACCTCTGCCGACCGCTGCGACTCTGCTACAAATTGCCTTGCCTCCTCCAGCGCCATTGTTCCTTGCGCGTTCGCTTAGTCCGACTTTGCACCGTATCCTGCACCCACAGCCTCGGCATTAATTGTGTAGCTCCCGCGGGGCCCCATTCACTTCCAGTCATAGAACGTGAGACTTCATACCACGGCACTGAGGTCGTGGTCGGCAATCTGTTCCCACCGTTTTGAGCATCTCAAGCCCTCGCCGTCCCCCCTCAATGACGAGATCATAGCTTTTCGGTTTGGTTAGTATCGGGTATCCCTCGCCGTCGCCGAGGACCAGCCATCATGTCGTGGAAGGCCTCCGAGCGCTTGATGGATACGATCAGGCACTATGCCAAGTTCCCGGCCACCGGTGTGAGCCTGCGCCAAATGGTGCAGTTCGGAGAGAAGCCATCCGTCGGTAGGCCGAGATTGAAACCCCTCTCGCCCAGATGATATTGTGGTCTCTAACGCTACGAGCCAGGTACTCTCTTCCGAGCCTCTCAATTCCTTGCCGAGGAACTGCCCATCCGATTGGCGCACCGCGTCCAAGAGCTAGACGACTTGCCCGATGGACTGAACGAAATGCCGTCTGTGAACAAGGTGAAGGAATGGTACGCGCAGTCATTTGAGGTAGGCAGCTTTGTTCGCTTGAGTCAAGTTCATGTCGCGACTGATTTGCTAACATGCTCTGTCCCTCATATCAGGAAATCACACAGCTACCTCGGCCCGATCTTTCGAAAGACGTACGCTCTCGCCTCATGAAGCCTGGGAGGGCTCATGGTCGATCCATGTTTAAGCTATCCGAAGCCACCCCGAACCCTTCCATCATCGAGGGCGACGGCTCTGGTTGGGGCGGCCTCCAGGCTGGTGGCAATGGCAATGGCAAGAGCAGATCCTATGCCCGACGCTATTTCGCCATGGTGGATGACAACGGTGACTGGCCGGCAGAGCTCCAGCTCTACAACCAGCGGTTTGCACAGACCTTGCACAAAATTAAGAGAAGACACGATAGCGTGGTCACGACCATGGCCCAAGGTATCCTCGAATATAAGCGCCGCCGACAACGCATGCAGATCGATGACACCATCCAGTCATTTTTGGACCGGTTCTACATGTCTCGAATCGGCATTCGAATGCTAATAGGCCAACACATTGCATTGACGGACCAAAGCCATCACCGCGACCCTACATATGTCGGCGTTATCTGCACGAAAACGAATGTGCAGGATCTTGCCCAGGAGGCAATTGAAAATGCCAGATTCGTTTGTGAGGACCACTACGGCCTATTTGAAGCCCCACGGATCCAGCTTGTTTGTAACCCTGACCTGAACTTCATGTATGTCCCTGGCCATCTGTCACACATGCTATTCGAAACCCTCAAGAATTCACTTCGCGCTGTGGTTGAGACGCACGGGATGGACAAGCAGGAGTTCCCCGTCACCAAGGTCATTGTTGCAGAAGGCAAGGAAGATATCACGATCAAAGTCACAGACGAAGGCGGCGGTATCCCGCGCAGCGCCATCCCGCTCGTTTGGACGTATATGTACACAACCGTGGACCGAACCCCGAATCTGGACCCTGATTTCGACAAGAGCGACTTCAAGGCTCCAATGGCTGGTTTTGGTTACGGTCTACCTATTTCGCGATTGTACGCCAGGTATTTTGGTGGAGATTTGAAACTAATTAGCATGGAAGGGTGAGATTTCACATCCCAGGTCAAGACTCTGCTAAGTCCTCTCAAGCTAACGCAAAACTGCTCTACAGATATGGAACCGATGTGTACTTGCATCTCAACCGGTTGTCGTCCTCTTCAGAACCTTTACAATAGCAATTACACACCGCCGGGGCATCATCGATCCCCCTTATCCTACGCAAGCGTCTGAAGGACCGGGAAGTGACGGAACGAAGGCAAGTGGGCGACGCCCAGGCGGTGGTAAATGCTCCTCCCCATCATAACCCGGACGATCGGGTCCTGTAAAAGTATACCCAAGGGGTAATACCTCGCAAAAATCAAGAGGATCAATTGATCAGCAGAGTGTGGCATAGAAATTGACGGCGGGTTCAAGAGGCGGTGACGAGGTATTCTTCTGTTTTATTTATTTTTTGGATGCTAACCTGCATGCTGCTGGGGCCAGGATTGAAACTATTGCATTTTGGAGAACCCTACCAAAGCGAAGGCGAGATGCAGAACGAACATCACATCCAAGCATGTATACTTTTTGCCAACGGCATAATGAATGGGAACATATCTCTCCCAGGCAGTGGTGTGCTGCCAGTTGAACGGGGGAGCAGTATCAATGTATCAAACATCATGAGGATCTAGTTGTTCTAGGGTTGCTTGCGTGCGCCGTCTGTCGTTATATACTCTCAAAAAGCGAAAACAGAGAACAAAGGACAAGAATCAAAGACCAGAAAACTAGTGCACATGTCGGATGTGAATGTGTGACACGACATTACCTTGCTGCGAATGCTACCAGCCGTCCTTTTCTCTGAACGAACTGGAGTGCACAAACAAAAGAAATCCCCCCAGCCCAGCCACAATTGCAATGGTTTCACAAAGAGGGGAGCTTGAAAACACACATCTTGCAGGTCCCCTAACTAAGCAGTTTTTCATCTTTTCAATTCAATTGTACAAACCTATGTGCTTATCTAGCGGAGAAGTCGGCAAAGGTGCGTCAGGGTACGCTCAGTGCAGCCATGTTTGCCTCTCGGCCGCTCTTGTTCGCTCTTGCGAGATTGAACAAACTGTGCGTTTCCGCGAGTGTGAGCTGGCGGTCAACTGGCTGCCGCCTCCAATGCACCTTCCCGCTTTCATGTTGATTCCTGACTGCCTGACGCCGCTCGCACCTTCCCTCCCACGCACCTAACCTGAAGGTCAAATCACTCCTTCTGTGATTCAGTGATAAAAGGCAGCCCGTTCTCACTTTTTCCTTTCTTTTTCGTCCTCTTCCTTTCAAGCTTCAATCCGCCTTCTTTTATCTTATCCAGGTGCCTATCTTGTGACAGCTCAGATCCCATCTCTCCGACACTCATCTACCAGCCTATTCTCTAAATCACGGCCTTCTTCTCTCTTTTTTAAGGAAACTCCTCAACTTCACGTCGCCAAGTTTCTCGGCCCCGCAACCGTCACGATGGCATCGATGGAGTTGAAGTGCTCCGTCTGTTGCTTGACGCAACCGATCACTTCGTTCAGCAAGGCAGCTAGAAAGCGGGAGGAACCAGTAAGATAAACCCCATGCACCCAATACATTGTGAATTCTGCTAACAGTTTACGTTAGATCTGCAAGAGGTGCACTCACTGGGGCATGGGGGTTGAGCCTGAAGTAACACCAGCCGCTCTTCAGACTGGGCACATATCCGGGGAGGAAGTCCGAGGCGAGGTCTGGGTGGAGGAATACCTCAATACCAGAAACGAGTCCCAGGATGCTTCCCATAAGACAACCCAGGCCGCTGCTCAGGATGCTACCGAAACCGAGAGCCAGGTTGAGAGCTCTGCCGCAGGCACCTGCGGGGGTGTCAGACTCGACGTGGATGGAACGACGGAGGATACCAGGAGCGTCATCTCAGAGCTTCCGTCGGAGCTTGCGTCCTCGGTGAGAGGGTTGACGATCCAGGGGTCTCGTGGTCTCCCAACTCATTTGCGTCGCGGGGGGAGCACAATCGCCTCAACTTCCGGTGTCCATAACACCCTCTCGAAGTTAAGGCCAAGGGAGGAGTCCATCCAAGAGCAGATTCTTCGAAAGGCGGGCCGACCATCATCATCCGCATCCGTGGCAAGTGGAAGTAATGTCAGTAGCATTTCTACGGCTACTACGATGCGTGAGGCTCGGAACAGGACCATGATCACTTTCAACCGGTGGGACAACACGGGCAACATACACCAAGGTGTGAAGGATGAGACGACTGCTTCGAGTGTCAGCTCGGCTACGACAACGCCATTGTCGCGACACGCTTGGCCAAAACTTGAAGTCGCTCCAAAAGACACCGCTCCTCTCAGGGCCATTCCCGTCGTTCGCGAGAAACGGGCAGAGCGAGAGTTCAACTCACAGAAGGCCACCACATTCTGCACTGTACCTCAATCTGTTCTTGACGACTCCGATTGAATGCCAGCAGAGGTTTCTTCCTGCGGCGGTCTTGATTTACGGTGTTATTGAATTAATGGAAGGTAGCGGCTAGACTAGACGGGGAGACCACATAACCTTGAGGTTCTGGAATGCACTGATCGATATGGTGGTCTAGGTTTGGGGTTATTAGATGTGCGAATACGAGTTCGATTGTGATAGTCCCTTTTTAGCATAAGTCGTCTTAGTTGATCTCAGGAGATAAAGATGGCAGTCAAATGAACAAAAGTTCTTCTAGGCCAATAGGCTCTTGTGTGTGCTCTACAGTCTACGCAGAAACAGGCTGTCTATCACGACTGAAACTGAAAGGAGGACTATTCTTGATCACAGAATGGAGGATATAGATGTAGGGTAGGCGTTGAATTGGAAGGATGACGGCACGGCGCGTCGCGGCATTATCGCTGCGTGCCTCTAAATCTGGTCGTGACTTGATCATCTATAATTAAATAAATTGTTCTGAGGACATACCTGATCAGGCAAGTCGCTTGCCAATCCGTTTACTTTTGGATGTTGTGACGAATGAATAAGCAACTGCCGCTCGGGCTGGTACAGAATGGAGCGGGATACCCGTCTGACTCTGTCGGGTGTGTCGGATGATTTTTCTTTCGCCCTGGTGGGTGGCAAGCTGACATGACTAGAGCGATGCTACGGGCCAGCAGCACATTTCCGTTGTTTTTTTGTGTGTGCATTGCCAGCGGTTCAAAATTGAAGCTTGGCTTTTTTTGTGACAGGCGTCCTTCCAGTGCCCCTCCCGCTCAATTGGGTGTCTCCCATACATTCTGGGTACGGGTACTAACCGTGACAGGACTCCTGGCAGCGATGATGATTTTCGGTTTCTATTTGGCATCTTCTCCCCTCGGCGCACGTTGGTCATTGGTTCCCGCAGGACCCTTTCAATCAGTTCCCGGGTAATGGGGCAAATGACACAATTTCCAAATTGTTTGGAGAGGCAGGCAGGTACCGAAGGCAGGTAATTACTGGTAATAATTGGACGGCGCGAACCTTTGGGAACAAGCAGCAAGCATTAGTCGCGCTTTCCGTTCCCCACGAGTTGGCGCGTTGACAGGCGCTCCATGCTCATGCAAGTACCGGCTACCTGGAGCCTTGTAGCTCGGCCGGGCGCAAGAGATGAGAGGGGTACCTGCTGTGGGCGGGAGGTACGTACCCGGTCGCCACTTCCACTTGCTACCAGGTACCTCCCAACCACCTGGCTCATTTCCTGCGAATGGGCATTGGGTGGTAGGGCACCAATTCACCTTGCATGACAGGCCTGTTTCTCCTTTTCGTTTTAACAGGGCAGCCGAGGTCGGGGAACATGCCTGGGCGGGTTTGGTTGCTGCGCACGCATGTCCAGATCAGGTTGTGCCCTGCTGCGTTGGACACGTCCAGGTTTCCTCATTGAACGGTTTATAGAGCAACGGTCACCCGATCGGCTAAGCTGCAAATATTGGCACTCCTCATACCGAGCAAGTCTCACCAGAAAGTGTTTTCTTTTTCGCCCTCAATTTTCCTCTTCCCAGACTCCACCGTGCGCTGGGAACCCTGCCTGCCTTGGCGGCGCAATTTGCGACCACGGCCCGCTAAGAAGCAACGAAATTGCGACCCCTATCGATGGTACCTGCTGAAGGGTACAAGGTACCTGTATACAAATCCCGCCTCCTTGGCCCTGAGAGTTTCGTCTTGGGGGCTTCATTTCCATGCAACTCGACCCTATCCATGGCATAATATCCCAAGGGGGGCAGACATGGTTTCGCATGGGTCCTTCATTACCGGATAATCTAATCTTCATGACGCACGTGCCTGCCAGAAGTACATTCGCTCTTGACAGTGATCAATGCTGAAGGGAGACTGTGTGTCGGACCCTGCCGCTGCCAGTGCCCTTTGTGTGGTGGGTGCATTTTTTAGCAGGTCTCCTCCAGGGACGAGCCACCACACAAGCGTCTCTGCTGGGTCAATTGTGACACTGCCCTGTAATACCGGTGAGTGCCTGGCCTTGTTCTACTTTTCTTCTTCCCGTCTTCTTTCCTTCCGCCCTGTCGGATTTTTCTTCTTCTCGTCGCGCATTCACTCTCTCTTCCCTCCTCTGCCTCCCGCTTCCGAAGGGGCTGGATCAGAAGCCAGCCTGCCCAGAAAATCTCAAGCGGCCTGGGCCTGTCTTGTATCAGCTCCTCGCGTTGCTTCTTTGGCCCATTCCCCTGTGTCCCCCCCGGTTCATCGCATTCCCCTGCTGAACAGTCACGGTGGGGTGATCGCTGGTCCCCTGTCGCAGGACGCACCCTGCTTCTCTAAGCACTGTAGGTAGTAGCTCTCGCCCCAGAGGATCATTGCGCTGGGTGCTGCACTAGCCTGTAGCCCGCGGATCCGTTTGGGCGCTGGCTCGTCCTAGTGACCCGTCCCCCAGCTGTAGGCTGCTCGTTCCCGTCTCCTTTTCCTACCCTGACCTTACTGTACCTTAAACTGAGCTTGCTCCTTGCCTCTCACTCCAGTCTCTCATTATTTACTTTTCTCCAGATCAATCGAACGCCATCTAGATATAATTTTCGACGCGGAAGAATCATACACGCACGACTTATCTACGTCTCTTAGGCCGACCTTGCATAATCTACCTGCATACAGCTCGCTCTCTATATACACCCACCAATCTGAATGCTCCGGTCATAGGTACGAAGCTCTGTGATAGAGCTTGTCGAGACGACTGGCGACTGACCCAGCGTTGCTGGATACGGGCTTGCGGCGGATTGATACAAGTCGACGTTGAGTCAGGGTCGCTATTCCGTTCGGTTTACGACATATCTACAATCATTTAGAAACGAACATCTCAACTACACAACTATGACGGTATCAAGCGACTTTTCCCGACGTGTGTCGTCGCACGCGAGCAACCTAGCTCTGGAGGATAGGTTCGAAGTGCTCAAGGAGATCGGCGATGGAAGCTTTGGAAGAGTCGTTCTTGCTAGAGTACGGACGGCAGGCGCAAATGTTGCTCGTCGCGGCACGGTGGTGAGTTTCGTCCAGCTCTCCAGAGGCAGACGCCAGTCTGGGACCGCGCTCGCTGATACTAATTTGAAATCAATTTAGGTTGCCATCAAATCCATGAAGAAGACATTCGAATCATTCCAGTCATGTCTCGAGCTTCGCGAAGTCGTCTTCCTTCGGACCTTGCCTGCGCATCCTCACCTTGTCCCAGCCCTGGACATCTTTTTGGACCCCTACACAAAGAAGCTTCACATCGCTATGGAATACATGGAGGGGAACCTGTATCAGCTTATGAAGTCGCGCGACCACAAATGCCTCGACAACTCCAGTGTTAAAAGTATCCTCTTTCAGATCATGCAGGGCCTAGAGCATATCCATTCGCATCATTTCTTCCACCGCGACATTAAGCCAGAAAACATCCTCGTTTCAACATCATCACACAACGAACCATCGACCGCTTTCCGACGCTACTCATCACTTGTCACTCCTCCATCAACACCGCCTACTTACACCGTGAAGCTCGCTGATTTCGGCTTGGCGAGAGAGACACACTCCAAACTGCCCTATACCACATATGTATCGACAAGATGGTACCGAGCTCCGGAAGTCCTTTTGCGTGCTGGAGAGTATTCTGCCCCAGTTGATATTTGGGCCGTAGGAGCCATGGCGGTCGAGGTCGCTACGCTCAAGCCGCTCTTCCCTGGTGGAAATGAAATGGACCAAGTTTGGAGGGTTTGCGAGATCATGGGTAGCCCTGGAAATTGGTACAGCAAATCTGGATCACGAGTCGGCGGAGGTGACTGGCGCGAGGGTACAAGGTTGGCTGGGAAGCTGGGCTTCTCATTCCCCAAGATGGCACCTCACGCCATGGAGACGATCCTCCAAGCTCCTCAGTGGCCACCTGCCCTCAGCCACTTCGTGACATGGTGCCTGATGTGGGACCCCAAGAACCGACCGACATCAACACAAGCCATCGCCCATGAATACTTTGCCGATGCTGTTGATCCCCTCCGACCTAAGTCGTCTACCTCGACTAAGATCCTGGGTCGCAAACAATCAGACCTTGCTCGAACGACAACCCCTACCCCTTCCATCTCATCCAAACCCTCATGGTTCCGCAAATCTCTTATTGGGCGTAGCGAAACGCCTGAGCCACTGGCGAGTCACACTATTCAGTCGAATGACATGCCCAACGCACGACCTGTACCTATCCAGCTTTCCACTCACAGCGAAGTTCCTTCTGCCGTTCATCGCACAGGAGCCGGCAAGCGCAGCACCTGGACCAATGGGACTACTTCTAACAACATGGCCCCTATGCCAATTCTGCCTTCTATTCGACCAATCTCTCCACTGTCCGATGCAGTCAATGCACGGGCAAGCAAGCATATCGATGGGAAATCCAAGATTGGCCGCCAAATGTCTGTGGCTTCCGGCACAAATCACTACACAGAGATGCATCGCCAGGAGGCCGAGCGCGCATTGAATGGAAAGACCGGTCTTGTCTCGCCTCCAAGCGGCCAGAAGGAGGGCTTCTTCTCTCACCTTCGCAAGCGAGCAAGGCGCTTGTCTGGACGACATCAGACGCCTGCTTCCCCCACATATGAGGATGCAGAGGCGGTCGCCGGATGTGTTCCCTGGACAGGCAGCAACAGGTCCTCGATGATCGTGGATCAACAGGGGATGGTGGCCAAGTCAGACATGTACGATTCTCTGGATAGAACTCTACGCGACGTTCAGAATCCTGAACCCAAGGCACCAGCTCCTCCTGCACATCAAGCAGGCACGAGCAGCAGTCTCAAGCGCCATCACTCATTGCCTCAGCAGCACCACCGATCTGTCGATAACCTGATCGGTGTGGCCCGCGGCGGGCCAATCTCGAGCCGAACTCGACGAGCTCAGGCTGCGCAGGGAATGAACCAGTATGAGACCCCGGCAGAGGAAGATGAGCTTCTTGATGAAGTTCTTACCTCAACGCACAAGGCGATGAAGCGAATGGATAGGGATAGCAAGACCCTCCGGCAATCTGCCAGCAACCTGGGATTGGCAAACCCCTACCCAACGCCATCTCCTTCTGCCAATGGCAACCAGGTTCTCTTTGGTGACGGAAACGAAGCTTTGAGACCAAAGCCTCTTGATCTCAACAAGAGGCAGCAGGGGCATTCCAAGTGGCCTACCCCTCCGTATGAAGAGTCCGAGTGGGCAGCATCAGCCTCAGCCAGCATCTGGGCTGCTGGAAACAAGATCTAGTGTAAATCACTGCTCTGGGAGCAAAACATTTCATGGGAAAGATAACGTGCATCTGGCTGGGCACAAAAGTGAATTTGGTGTACTATTTTGCATGGTTATGGTGTTTTGGTGTGGCCAGGCCCAACGACGCTCGTTCAGTCTTTCGTTTTGTTAATCGGATTTGGTTTGTTCTTGCTTTCTTTTCGGCATCTTGTTTTACATTTTACGCCCTCATCATCACTCCGCATTCTGAACCCTCACTACTCTGGCCTATTGGTGCCACTACAATTATTGATAATACCCGGCTCAGTCCTTTTCCGGATTGGCAAAGCCTTGTTTCAGCGTTCGCTTTGGGAACTTTATATATACATTCTACACAATCTCTTTTCCACACTTTTTGAGCATCAAATACCCCAGAATTAGACTGAGTGGCCACCGCAGCCGACCCAGCGATACCATTTGGCGCAGATACCAGCGGTTGCGAATATCAGGAAATCATATATATATATCCATCTACATATTAATATTTTCTTCACTCTGCAGCAAGACTTGCTATCCTTTTCCTTTGTCATAACCGTTTCTATATCCATTTCCTCTTTTCCAAGTTGCTTTTCGAATTAGTTAGATTACGAGCAAAGAGAGCTGGAGTGCGAGCACATTATCTCTCTGCCAAAGGACGTATTGACATTAAGATGGACTGTTAACACGTTGTTTATTTCCTACACGCACATACGACACGACTCAGACAGAATGTTCTCGGAAACGAAAGGGGTGTTTGAGGAGGAAAGTCTGCCGTTGGGCGACCATCTACATTAATACAAACATACATTGACGCGCATAAACCTTTGATTTTTCTTTCTTTCAATGCTTGGTGAACAAGGTCTAGCTCGGCTTATAGATTCATGCATGGCGTTGCGTCAGTGATGCGTTGTGCATGCCGGGACCTGCAGGTGGTGGCGATTTGGGGGATGTGGGCTGCTGCGCCAGATTTGATTTGTCGACTACTGCAATGTCTGGTCTGATCTTTTGTTGAGACTTCCTTTTGGGGCGGGCTTGGTCTGTGTGACAAGACATGTTGGTGAGCACTGACCCGGCTGTATGCATAGCATGATGGACATAAGGCATGAGAACTGGAATGGAGCAGCGGCCGTGAAGGGACAGGGTGAGACCTATCCTGACTTGGGCTTCGGCACAAGTAATGGCAGGCCTTGGCTCGTTCTTCTTGCCTCCACGATCTTACATAGGACGTAGGTACGAGGCTAGCGAGTCCCTAACCTGTTGGCAGCCGGTTGGTGGTGGGGTAAACGGTGGGACAGTTCTCATTCATGGACGCCGTGTCAGTTGTCAGTGCCCTGTACATGGCGTAGAGGAGGGGATGATGAGACAATCAGGGAGGGGGTGATGATGGCGCTTGTTTGCCCCCCCTTAAACTCAGGTTTGCTTGGGTAGGTTGCGTTTCCATTGTTCGAGCATTGACGGCTTAGAATGGTATGGGATAATACCCGACGCCGCAAGGCCAAAGTTTGAAGGGTTCATTCCGACTTGCCTCCTCTGGTGTCTTATTGATCGGGGCTCCCGAGCCGCGAAACATGCGAAACAGACTAGAAGGACGCGGCAGAGCTGCCGGCTGGCTGAGGGCTGGCAAAGCATAGACACTGACTCTGACAATGGGCATGCACATGCGCGAGGGAATCAAAAACGTGTGACCCCTGTGGGCTTCTCTCTGGGTTTTATTTCCGTTATGCGCCAATCTCGGGGATGCAGTGTGAGGGGCCATGAATAGAAGCGCCCTGGGAACTTTGGCTTCTTCCTGCTACGATGTAACGCTGATTGATTGTTCTGGAATCCCACAACCTCCCGGGGGGGTGTGGACCGGCCTTGTTTATTTTACTGTTTCAGGGCCGGAACGAGAGCGCATACGAGAGCTTTGATGGTACCACCGAAACGGCAGTGCGTTGCGTGGGGACTGATCGATACCTTTCACCTGAAGCCAGGCCGAGCAGAATAGGTGGAGAAGCTTCGGAGGAGGAGGGGGGACCAGTCAGCGGTAGTGCTGTTGTTAGCACGATGGGCGCGGCTCAGGAGTCTCAGCTTGGAGTATCTTGAGATCGGGGTGCTGCTGCGCAGTGGCAATTGGACAGGAATCGTCGGGACTAAGATCGGCGGCGTTTCAATTGTTCGCACTGGCGTCCTTCATGCTATGGCTGGGGAAAGGCGATATAGCACGCGGGCTGATATAGTGGCGACGACGCGCTGAACGTGATCGGCCGCGCATTATGGGTGCGATTTGGCGGGCGCGCGAAGGGGAAAAACGCTCGTGCATGGGCGTACTGGTACATGAGAAGCAGGTACTGCGACTTACTTGTTGCTTCTTGGGACTGTCTCTCGTGTCCTGGGCGCGGTGGCTGCCTGATGGTGTGTTGATACGACCTGCCTGTGGTAGGTAGCACTGTAGAGCTATTTAGAGAATCTCTGAGCTTATGTCGCCTCGACTATCGACTTCTTCTACTCTAAAGGCTTGCTTTCCTCCCCTCACCAACTGTGTTTGGTCGCTTTCGTATCTGCCTGTGTTGCTAGAATGCCAGATGTAAGTAAGGTACATAGTCCTTAAGCTAGGAAAATGCTTATAGATCTAGACATACAGCGAATTAACCTTCATTGACTCTGAATATTCCCCCCCAGTAGACTATGATCGGTTGATGTCATGGGCCAGCGGGGAGAATGAAGACGAGGGCTTGATTATCATCAACAAAACTGAAAATAAATTACCTCAGTATGAAGAATCGGATGTACGCCTTCCCGCATCACAAGGGGTGCTGGTGATGAAGTCCAAATTTAAGATCGTTCGCGCTGATGGTGGTTGGCTGGAAATTGTTTCTGGGAAGTCTCATCCCGACGTTTGATGGTGGTTTGATCAATACTCCTGTTCGAGATACATCTCCATGTAGTTTATTTGTGATGAGGACTGAGGATAGACTGTATGTTGGCCGTCGTATTTTTGGAACGGCCAATCCAGGTAATCTACTGTCTACCAGCCCATTGCGTCATTCACCATTTGCGCTTTGGGAGGGCAGGAGGCAGGGCTGAGTTGAGGCCAATAGTCCTGCTCCTCGTATCTGCCACATGTAAGCGTAAGCTAACAAGGCGAATTCAAGCGCCGTCAATTCGCTTGGCCTGACCGAAGCCCACGAGCTTGTAGATAATTGCCATGTCTAGTCATGCTCTCCTGAGAGCTTGTGGCACCTTGCTTAATTCTGGACCTAGAACACAGTCCCGCTACGGTATTCTTTGGAAGAAGGAGCTCTTAAGTTGTTGCCTGGTGGGTTAAACGGCCGTAGCGCAGGCAGACACCTACTGGAAATTTCCCAATCCACTTGATCAACGTACATAGTCCGTTTGCTGCACTTCTGGAGACCAACCCCTTGCGCTTAGCCGTCCATACCTGCTATGTTTGTCTTTTTCCTCGACAGAATCGAAGCTAAGGCCTGTGGCCGTGGCCTAGCGCTCGTGGGGCGAAGCGACCGTCGCTGTAGGCAGAATCGCACAAGGCCACCAGAATGCTGACAGCCCACCAGGCGGACGTAAGGTCCTGTAGGCCGATACCGTTTTATTACTGGTGGTTTCTGCCCCATGGTCGCAAACCGTATTGGATTCTTACGGCTGATTCTGGTGGCACCACAACCTCGACCTCGCTCACCTACCTGCGCCACTGCGATACATCAAACGGCCAGGGTGTTCAGTATCTCGTCGCCTTGAACCTCGTTTTCGAGAGCGTCTGCCTGGAACTGTGTCCTGCTGCATTCGGCCCCGATCAACGTTTACTTTCTGGGTGCCAAGACTGCTAACCGTGACTGCCTACCTGCGGCCAGAAATCGATCGCACTGGTTCATCTGCCTTTTTGATCCTCCGCGGTGGTCCAGGCGGCCTCATCTGCATCGCTGGCGTCTGGCCCGGCGCAGCTCTCCAGGCCGCCGTGTCAGATCTCGAGACGGAACCCTCCTCTATCATAAATACTTCCAAGCGGGTTCCCTCGATGTCTGGCTGAAGAGTTCGTGGTTGACTTCATGTCTTCTCACTGGTTCCCCACCATACAAAACTGAACCGCTTCCTCCATTCCCCGCAAGCCCCATCAATCCGCCCCGACTCATATCACTCTCCTCGCAGAGCCTCAACGGCGCACCACGCGCAACTGCAACACTGCCGAAGAACCCCAGCACCAGCTCATCCCCCTCTCCCGGAACCCCACCATGAGCTTGAATTTACCGCTGCGGCCGGCCACGAACAGCACCTCTTCCACATCCATTAATACCCCCAGCCGTCGGAACCAGGACAGCCGGAACTATTTCACTAGCTATACCCCGCCGAGCTCGACCGAGGCCATCAATGGTCCGGTGCGGGAGCCGGCGAGGGATCCTGCTCCCATCAGTGACCGTCTCATCGTAGGAGTTGACTTTGGCACAACCTTCTCAGGGTGAGTTCATATGTCCTTGCCCCAGTTTCTAATGACGTTACGTTTCCTTGCCGTTATCTTCAATCACGTGGGGCGATACTGCCAGGCTGTTTGACTGTGACTAAACGGACCTTTAGGGTTGCTGCTGTGTACACATCAACTCCAGATGACATAGAGATCATCAAAACATGGCCTGGAGGCAATGGAATCACCTCTGACAAGGTGCCGACTGAAATCGCCTATGATTTCCCTGCCAACTCACCAACTGGGGCTAATCCGACGGTAAAATGGGGGTTCCAGTTCAAACCTGAGGAATCTCGGCTCCGGTGCATAAAGCTCTTTCTGGATAGGACTCAGAAGCTGCCCTTCTACGTGAGCCCTTTGGACACTGCTGCGCAACTCAAGCGCTTCAACAAGAATGTGGTTGATGCCGTGAGCGACTACTTGACCCAGATTTTCGACCATACAATGAATACGCTCACCAGACGCTATGGCGAATCCTTCATGGCCTCTACACGAGTTGAATTTGTCCTGACATGTCCTGCTGTCTGGAGTGATGCCGCCAAAAACACAACCCTGCAGGCCGCCGAGCGTGCGGGCATGGGTAGCAAGTCGGAAATCCAGATGATCAGTGAGCCCGAGGCCGCGGCCGTGTATACACTCAAGGCTATTCAGCCGAACCATCTGAACGTTGGAGATAATTTCATTGTCTGTGACGCAGGAGGTGGCACTGTTGAGTGAGTATTTCTTCCGTGGCGTGATATTTCACCAAATGCTTGATCAACTCTCCGGTGAACTAATACGTGACATGCCAGTTTGATTGCATATAAAATAATTTCCTTGAAGCCCCTGCGCGTTGAAGAATCTGCCGTCGGAACTGGAGGACTATGTGGCAGTGCCTTTTTGAACTATCGATTTGAAGAACACGTAAGGAATCGCCTGGGGCAAACACGGTTCGACGAGATGAAGCAAAAGAAAGGCAAAACGTGGCAAATGGGCCTTCGATACTTTGAGGAATTCGTCAAGAGGAATTTCAATGAGGATGAGCATCAAGAGATCAACATCCCGTAAGTGAACATGCGAAGCTCCCAAGTTAGTGCACCAGAGGAGGGGAATATGTTAACCTGGCCAGGTTCCCTGGACTTCCTGACGACGAGGAAATCGGTCTGGATTCGGGATTTTTGGTCATGACAGCTGTCCAGGTCAAGGAGATTTTCGAGCCCGTCGTCAAGCAGGTGACCGATCTTGTTCAAGGGCAGGTGACCGGTCTACGTAAAAAGGGAGGCGTTGTATCGGGTATCGTGCTTGTCGGCGGTTTTGGTCAAAGCGACTACCTTTACCGGAGGCTCAAGAGCCACTTCACAAGCGCAGCACCGCCACCTTACAGCGAACGCCCGACTCATTCCAACGCAAAGTCCATCGAAGAGAATGCGTCGATCGAGGTCATGCAGCCTGTTTACGCCTGGACGGCCGTGGTGAGAGGCGCTGTCCTTCGAGGCCTGGAGGGTAACATGGTCATCTCTCGCAAGTCACGAATGCACTATGGAACGTCATACGCTACCGTTTACGACGAGGACAAGCATTCTGTGAGCGAGAGATATTGGTCGCCACTTTGGGAACGGTGGATGGTATCCGACCGAATGCAGTGGCACATCGCAAAGGTAGGCGAGCTCTCTCTTTTCTGACGTGCCACTGACACAACTGCACACAAGAGTTGAAATGCTAACATGATTGGGTAGGGTGAACCACTGTCGCCCTTATCTCCCATCGCATTCCATTATACCCGCAACTTCCGACCCGGCCAATCCCTGATTGTGACGGATGATCTCATTGCTTGTGACGCGGATGAGCCCCCGGTTGCATACACTCGCGACCTCATCCACGTTTGCACACTGACGACGGATCTAAATGCTGTGCCTCGGAGCTTGTTTACAAGATTAACAACCACCAGGGGCGTCGAGTTCGACAATCTCGACTTTACGTTGGAGATGATTGTTGATAGCGCTGGTCTAGGTTTTGAGCTGAAGGTTGATGGTGTCAGATACGGGCGAGTGGAGGCCGAGTTCCATTAGAAGTTAATCAAGACTCTTTTAGAAATCATGCATGGGAATGATTGCCTGTTCATGAATAGATGGGGAAAGGATCAGTTGTATGGCTTATCTGTGCTCAGCCTACTTGCTGATGATGCCATCTACCTGATCAAGCGGGTGACAGAAGACATTGTACACTAAATAGTACTTTGATCTCCAATTCCGCTAAACCCTTCACCTTTATAGCCTAATAACATAGCAATAAATACACAATATACCATTATGAAAGATATTAGTTCAATATTTGAACCTCTGAGAATTATTCAATAGTTTTAATTTACTATTTTGATAGGATTTGGCTGTTGGACTGAGGATTGAAAACGCCTGTGATTTGCGTGTGCAATGTCTTGTGTCACCCGCTTGCTGATGTACACTGTGGCAGTAGTTGGGTAACACGGTAGCTTGAGGGATATACTTGATAGAGTTGGCCAGCTCGATGGACAGGGTAGTGGACTAATGAAAAAGGAGAAAGCCAAGTTAACTTGCTGGCTGCTACACTGACTGCTGCTGGTTTCGACACGAATCGGAGCGAGCATGGCCAATCCCACAAATTCTGATCCCCACTGTGCCTGGCCAGAGCGAGTAGAAACCGGAACCCTATGACGACGACCAGGTTTATGGCGGGGGAGGGGCAGATTTTCAGTTTCTGTCTCTTTCTGCTGCGGTTGCGAATTATTAACGCGGAAGAAAAATATGGGAGAATCTCGGTGAGCAGCGTGCATACATAAGCAGTGGTAGCAGCCTCCCTTATTTTCTCTTTTGCTTTTACACCTCTCCATGTAAATGGATGTGTCGCTAATTTGCCCTTACTTGTTTTTTTCCCCAGCGCCTCTCTTATCGATTAGATCCCGACACTCATTTGGAGTCAGTTGAGTGAGCCCTGGAACCTTCGTGTTGGAGAGCGAATGTGCAGATCTTGCTGAGAACCACATCCCCAATGGCTGCCGACCCTCGAATCGCCACTTTGGTCCAATGGGCTTCGAGCCACGGGGCCGTCTTGAACAACCATCTCGAGGTCCATGACGACCCCGTCACGGGCTTCTCGTTCCGTGTCAAGGACGGGCATGCCCTCCCCGCCTGGGAGACGGTCGTGAGCCTGCCGACGTCCCTCTCGCTGTCGTACCTCAATGCCGTCTCGCAGGGCTGCTTCCACCCGGAGCTCGTCTCCAGGACGCCGCCGCACGTCGTGGGCCGTTTGTTTCTTGTCAGGGAGTACCTCCGCGGCAGGGACTCGTTCTGGTGGCCGTACATCCAGGCCCTGCCGCAGCCAGACGAGAAGGCGAGCTGGGCGCTGGCGCCCTTCTGGCCCGAGGACGAGGCGGAATTGTTAGAAGGAACAAACGTCGAGGTCGGGCTGGAGAAGATCCGGCGCGACGTGAAGAGGGAGTACGAGGACGTCACGGCCCTGCTGAAACTGCACCACGCCGAGAAGGAAGGGGACTTTGTCCGCGCTGCAACTGTGCAGCTGTACCAGTGGGCGTACTGCATCTTCTCGAGCCGGAGCTTCAGGCCCAGCCTCGTGCTCTCGCCGGCGGCGGCCGAGACCCTCCCCCAAGGCGTCGGGATGGACGACTTCTCCGTTCTGCTGCCGCTCTTTGACATCGGGAACCACGACATGACGGTCGAGGCGCGCTGGGAGCTCAGGCAGGGCGGCGGCGGCGGCGGCAAGGACGCCTGCGAGCTGAGGGTGGGCAGGAGCCACGGGGCGGGCGAGCAGGTGTTCAACAACTACAGCATGAAGACGAACGCGGAGCTGCTGCTGGGGTACGGGTTCATGGTCCCCGCGACGGAGGGCTTGCACAACGACTACACGCACGTGCGGAAGAGGACTGCGGCGCCCACGACATCGGGGGTTGCGGCGGACCCGGGGGAGTATTATATTTCCCGGCGGCCCATGGATGACCCGAGCTCGCTACTAGGGCGGAACAGGCAGGCTCTCGTGGTCGAGTTGCCGGCGGGGAGGCCCATGCTGGGTGCTTTCAGGCATGTGCAGCCGGACATGGTGTGGGATATCTTTTGCACGCTGGCGGAGAGCCAGGGGACGTCTGCCGCGGAGCTGATTTCGACGGAGAAGGAGTTGGCGGAAGGGGAGGATGAGCGGGAGAGGCAGCGCAAGTTATTCAGCGGTGCGGTGGAAGAGGAATGCGGGCCGTTCCTGGAGCAGACGGTGGCCATCATCCAGCACAAGATGCTGCAGGAGCTGGAGCGCCTCGAGGAGACCGAGGTGGAACTCGTGGGAGGGGACGAGGACGAACTGAGTGGGAACCAGAAGCTGGCCCTGGAGTACCGAAGGCGGTGCCGTGCCGTTCTGGAGAACGCCCTGGAGGCTATGGAGACTGATATAGAGTAAAGGGGGTGGACGTTTGCGTAGACATGAGAGAGGAAGGATAGATTACACTGGATACAAGGGTCACAATGGGCGCAACAGACAGGATTTGGAGAGGATATATATGGTGTTTCTCTTCCTTGATTATGGATTTTTGGGAGGCTAAATTGTTGCACTTGTTAGAGCAAAGATTATACTAGGGTGCGATTTCCAGGTTCTCATAGACACAACGCTCCAGCTCATCGTAGAGTTTCCCGACAACGGAGTCGCCGAACGGCTGGACGTTTGTGAACAAGACGGCTCCTATCCCGTTCTTCCTGTCGATCCACTGTAATCAAAAGCCGTTAGTTCCTGAATACAGAACCTGATGCTGGCTCGGGGGAAGGGGCACAAGTTTCTCTTACCCATCGAGAATTACAGAACCCGCTCCAAGTCATGCTCCCCTTGGCGCGCTTCCCAGGGATATCCTCGAGGTTCACGAGCCCCGCGAGGCCGTGGTCGATGCCCAAACCCCTTGGGAACTCGGGGGCGAAGCCTTCGTGGGAGCCTGGCTCGTACACGACATCCCGCAGCATGGCGCGCTGGACGTCATCAAGCTGGGGGCGGAACATCTCGTCCATGGTCTCCTGCTTCAGCAACTCACCCCCGAGGAACGCCTTCATGAAGACGCTGTAGTCGCGCGTGGTGGAGAACAGCCCCGCGCCGCCGCTCTCGAGGGGGTGGTCGCTGTCCTTGTCGACGGGAGGGGCCACGGTCTCGAGGGAGCCGTCCCCGCGGCGGCTGGTGTAGGCGACGAACCTGGCGTCGAAGTCGCTCCCGGGCCAGAAGGTTGTGTCCTCCATGCCGAGGGGCAGGAAGATGTTGGCCTTCATGTACTGGCCGAGGGTCTGGCCGGTGGCGGCCTCGAGGAGGAGGGCGGCCCAGTCGATGGCGGTGCCGTACCACCAGCCCTCGCCGGGGGTGAACTTGAAGGGGACGGTGAAGCCCTCCTTGGACCAGTCGAGGTTCCTGGCGGTGCGGCCGATGTGGTTGGACCACTTGATTAGGTCTGGGTCGGGGATGTCGTAGCCTAGGCCTACGACGTGGGTGAGGAGCATGCTGTTATAAGAGTGAGTATAGAACTTTTGGGAACATGTCTTGCTAATTCGGGTTTGGGTTTGGGAGGAGTTGTGGTTCAGTACCGGAGTGTAATGGGTTTGGTGTTGTCTTCGAGGATGGGCTTGTCACCATCAAAGCCTCGGAGGATCTGCAGAGTGCCCAGCTCGGGGATGGTGGTTCGGACGTCCTCGTCAAGAGGGAGGGTCCCACGCTCGACGAGCTGCATGATACATGTGATTGTGATGAGCTTGGTCAGGGAGGCGATGTAGTTGAAGGATTTATTATCGAAAGGGCGGCCAGAGCCGGTGAGGTCGATCTGGCCAGCTGAGGACTCGATAATGGGACCTTGTGAGATGGAATGAGTCTCGGGTGAACCGATACAGAGGGATCATAGGTCTAGCAGAATGGATCGTATAAGACTTACGGTCCTTTGTGACGACGGCAAACGATGCTCCGATGAGCTTCTGGTTGGTGTCCAGATCTTTGCCGACTACGTATTTTTCGAGGATGGCATGGAGTTTGGCGTCCATGGTCTCAAACTTAGACTCCATGATTCGTATAAGATTTTTGGGACAGTCGTCGAGAGATTATGAGGAATGTGATGGCACTTTTTCGTAGAGTGGCAGCCTCACGTCGTTTTATATGTAACCAAACAGCCTCACTCGAATCTCTGTAAGATTGGTTGTGGATAGATGAATTGTGGTTGCCTGGCTGCTAACCGTACCCTGATTGTACTCAACCCTGTAAGGACACGTTGTGGAAGGTTTGATGAGTAGATGGACAGATCTCTATAAAACTAATTTGAAGCGGAGAGAAAGAGGGAGAGAGAGGAAGCGACGTTGGAGATTGATCAACACTTGGAGATGTGGCAGTTCGGTGACAAAAATGTGGCACATAGAGGGCATCTCTTAGTATCTGTAGCACCAAGAATACGATGAGTTTCTACCAATCAAGGCAATAAACACAAAGGAACAATTACTGCTTCCGAATTACTATGTTATCGCTGTCAATCAAAGAGATTTACATCCACAACGTACATGTTAGAGGCTGAGGGAGCGTTCAATGTGCCACGTTTTATGTCAACATGAGCCATGATGACTCATCAGAAACCAACCATAACATGTGATATTCTGTATCATGATTTGGCTCAGAATGGCTCAGAATGGGCACGTCACTAGAGATGGCAACTGGAATCTTTGGCTAGGTGCTGGAAATATACACCAGGGAAGGAATCTGGCCTAGATCTCGGGCTGTTGTGGGATGCAAATACCCTACATGCCTATTTGGGTATACGGTGTTGGCCTTCACTCAAGATAAAAGCCGATACGTGTCTGAGACTTGCCAGATACTAGAAAATACTTCAGTGTCCCTTAACCTAGATAGCAGCCCGACTCAAGCCTATGTTTGCCTCACTGTGGCTGGGCGTCAGGTGCGAATGTAGAGCGCGATGTTAGTGGTGAGGATCCAAGATGGTCTGATTGAGCACAGCCGTGCCGACAGAATCAGGAGCGCAGCATGTCAGATGTGCACAACGAGGAGGTGCCCGATAGGTATATATGGCAGGCCAGAAATACCCAACCGGGACTTTCTCACCTAAGACGTCATTCTGGCCAGCCTTCTTATCATGCCTTGCCATGGGATGCATGAAGGAGGAGGTTGAGGCCCTGTGTCGGAGAGTCCAAGAAAAGAAACGCTTCACGAGTAGATGATAGATAGGTACATAACGCCGATACCGTGCCGAAGCGCGGTCAGCCCACCATCTCATGGAACGCAAGTGCAGGATTGAGGCCCGAGACACCTTGCTTTGTTGCTGATTCCCGGGCGTAGATCAAGTGAGGGAGCCATCCCCCACGGGCTGGGCAGCTGACGGTCACAAGCCGCGGAGGGAGGGCGTGGGGGGGATCATTCCACATCCATCTATCTCCCCGACCGCTGCGAGGAGAGGACGGCGCCCCCTTTTGCAGGCAGTTAGGTCCACGTCGATCACATGGCAGAGACGGACGGCTGTGATGTGAGCCCTCGTGTTATGGGAGAGGAGAATAGGGACCGGGAGGCTGGGGAATAAGGTAATGAGCTAAGATGTCGGTATCAAAGAGTACGAGGCTGCCTCTGCGGAGTACGTAAGACTAGTGCATGGGGATTCATTGTTCAGAACATGGAGCCCATCACGCCTGATTCTTCCAGTCTAAGCTTCTGGCACCCCTGTAGGGATTTATTTTGGCCCCTGTTGGTCCCCTGGTCTGCTAGCGGTCCGGCCATGTTGAAACTATCACTACACAATCATATCCCCCCACTCTCCTCCTTTGCTCGTAGTCATTCATACAGACGCTCGACTACACGTGGTGGTGGTGGTCGTCCTTGGCTGGATTGCATTGTTATTTGATAGTTGGTAAACTAGCCTGGTCCTTGTTGACAGGAACAATGGTGATGTGAACTCCATCTCGGACTGGAGATTGAGTGTTTCATTGCGTCTTCAAGACCCTACCCACGGACACTGAAGGCCATCCCTCTCCTCCTCTCGCATTCAACAACGCGGTGTACATCCATACCTATGCATAGATACTGACACATAATAATCAGTATTTTTCTCCCCTTATAACCCCATTCTATGCACATCCTCCCGTACCTATTAGCATGCCCCCGAGTAGATTGGCTAAGCAAGGCGGCGATCCGGGGTTCGAGCATGGGCCAGGCAAGCAAAGCTTGTCAAATGCACCCACACCGTCAAGCTCGCTGCCTGTACCAGCGGATCTCGGTATGTAGGCCCAGGAGGAGGGGGAAGTCAGCCTGCATTCCAGGATCGGATCAAATTACCCTTTTACGGATAGTCCTTGGTGGGATGCAGCCACCAACAAATGTCCCTGGTCAGAAGAGGTGAAGGAGCATGCGAGCGTGCTGGAGCGGGCCTCTCGCCATGTCTGTCCTGTCCTATTGACACTGGCGAAGCTGGCACACTGTCAAGGCGAGCTAATGTACGCATGTTGGAGCAGCAGAGCGTCCTCGTCTCCATCTCAATCTCCACCTCGGTTTGGTGGGGTTGAGCTTGCGTGGTGTTGGCAGCTCTAGTAAGTGTCAACAGGTAGGCCAGCGGCATCCAATTCATATCCATCCATCTCCGTACAGGTCTCTGACTTGATCAGGCCCAATCAGCGGTAGGTAGAAGAGTTCTCAAGTGCACAGGTTCAGGCGCAATCTTGATTCCTGCGGCATGTAGGCACGCAAGCATGCAAAGAAAGCAGCAATGGGATAATTTTGACCTATAGATAGCCCTTGAGTGCCAATGATGTGATCCGATGCGATACCGGTGAGGGACTGAGACACGATCCCAGCCATGTAGACGGAGATAGAAGCCCACCTATATCCCATCTAGACCTGCAGTGCTGCTGTAGGCACAGGCCGGTTACCTTCCAGATAATACATGTTACCTGACAATGTCTCGACATGCCGTTTTTGGCAGTGGATACGCACCATTGGCGATTAATGGCACACAGACAGACACGCAGGCAGTGCAGCAAAGCGCTACCAAGTGGCGACGGCGGGTATAGTCTCCCACCCGTCGACGGCGGTGGGCCGGATGCCTCCTCGGCGACAATTCTGAAGATACACGGCAGCCAGCAGGTTCGACGATTCACGATGGCTTCACATGGCACCACTCCTTGGAGCGGTGTGCCGGCTTATAGAGCCAGTTCCGCGGGACGACGCCGGCCTAGTCAGTGGAGAGCGGTGAGTGGGGGAGTGAGCAGCAAGACGGAGACCGAAGCTATGAGGGTTGGGAGATGAGAGTCATTGCAGTTGCAATTCTAGCTTGTGGTGGGCGAGACACCTCAATCAAATCGGATCACATCACATTATGCACGAATATGCCGTGCTACGTCAATTGGATCGTCGTTCGAGATAACGAGAAAACGAAACGGGTGTTGCGTTGAGCGGAGAGATATGATGTACCCTCAGACTGAGGTTGCCTTCGCGCTTGCGGTTAGGAAGCGGGTACTCACTGCCGCCTTGTTGCCCTGATGCAGACGATAGATCGTTTCGGTCCAGCAGTCGATGGGCCCTGGGCTTGGGTGGGAGCTAGGGACTTTGCCTCTTGGGGAGATAAGGGACGAAAACTCGATGGCACGGTGGCCGGACTATTCATTCTGGGTCTCTCCCGCGGTGGGTTTCGCATTGGGGTTGCATCTGGAACAGAGCCAAGATGCACCACTATGCATGTGCGACACCAGCTGCGACCAAAGACCATATCTATCTAATCAAATCATCGCTTCTGCCCTCTGGAGTGGTGGGTGGTACGCCGGCCGGAGATGTCTATGTGTGTGCATGGGTGTTATGTATGATGCGCGCGCCTGTGTATCGTATCAATATGCAATGCAGCCTCCTTACCTCGAATCAGCTCGAGGGGATCTTCCCCCTAAGGTTTCGATTCCCCCGCCACTGTTGTCTCCCCCTCCCTAGCTGTCCAATCCATTGCATGCTGTGATGGAAACTTCGGAGGTCGCCGCTAAAGCTCGTGTTGATCACGGACGTATCACCAACACGATAACTACGCTTCCGCGCACGCTCGCCCCCTAGGCACCTTGCGATGGGGTAGACATAGCGTCTTGCTGTAGTGCGCATGTACTTGGTCTTCGATCCTTGCCGACTGGCTAGGCGGGAATGTTGTCATTGGCTTGCTGAGCATGAATTGTCGGTGAAGCGTGCATGAAACGGATGCTGAGGAATAAGGTTTGCTCAGGGGTTGTTGCGGCATCCTGTTTCTGGAATCTGGATGCCCTTCACCTTCTGTGAGGATTCTTTGTGCCTGTTCCAGGCTGGGGCCGACTGGAAACTGGGCTGGGCTCCCTGCCACGAACAAGACGGTCGGAATGGGCATTGACTCTGACGTTGATCCCCCCACGGAGCCCTCACACGACCACGACCCTCAAACGTTGGGCCATTGGCGGGGGATGTCCATGTGGCCTTGGCTCTGTGCGGGATGAGAAGGATTTGCAGACCATCCGTGGCTGCCGACGTAGGGAAGTGCCAACCTTCTGGCGATTCACATGGCGTAGCGGTGCAGATCCGCTACGGTGCGGGAGGGGCGGGCAGCAGGTTTGGCTGTAGGGGAGCGAGGAACAGCACTGTAAAAAATAAAACTGGTACCGGCACTACACGCTTAGTTGGCACCCGGGTCCACAGGACAGTGCTGGCACTCGCTGCACTGTGCTCCAGCGCCTCGTTTGGCTGCACTCGCGGTCAGCCACCGTGGGAGCTGCACGTTCTGCACAGTACCCGGCCATTGGCGCTGCAGTGGCTCGTAACTGCGTCAGGACTTGGAGGGGCAGAGGCGAGCCAGATGCCGCCAGCCCCACCAGCTGGGGACGCCTGTAAAAATGGAACAGGCAGCCTGGAGCCCTGAGATGGGCTGGAGTCGCTGGGGGGAGATCGTGAGGAGGGGCTCAAGGGCTTCCCTCCCCGTTGGAGCCAGTCAGTGTTGGCTGGCCGAATAATGGCAACGCCTCATCCACCTGGTCCGTTAGCAGTACCTGCCAGCTACTAGCCCACGACGGCCAGGTACTATTGCCAGACACCGCCGTGCTAGCACTCGCCTTTGCGCAGGACCTGCTCACACGAGTCGCCAGGTACACCCGCAGGTATCTCCAAAGTCCTCGTTATTACGCCCAAGCCCCAATCGCCCACCCCCCAAAAGCCAAGTCACTCCCGCCTACCGTCGTCCCCTTGCCTCGTTATTATTGACCGTTCCTTCCTAATTCTTACTATTTCCACTGCCAGTTCCTCAAACTTGATTTATGGTCCTCGTCTCATCTTGCCAGTCTGCCTTCATTTCCTCTCCTCTGCCAAACCTTGCTCCAACCTTGCCTTGCACCCATAATCACGTTGTTCCATTACTCGACACTCGTTGATACGATACCGCCTTGACTCATTGTTCACCTACCCTTGTTCTCTCGTCTCGCCGACCTCGGGAATGACCTCGTCACACACTTCATAGACTGCCCACCACCGAGACCTGAGCTCGCTCGATTGTCGGCTTTCTACGGTTTTCCCCCCCTTCACCACACTACTGTGCAATGTCGAGCTCCAATGCGCCCCGACGGCGCTTTGCTCCTGTGCCCATCGAAACCACCTTCCAATCTGTGCGGAAGTCGAAGCAGCCCGAGACCATCCACATCGGTCCCAGCGCTGAGTTGACCCCAGAAGCCTCCCCGCGCTCTCCTCACTCGCCCTTCTCGCCCGAATTTGACCGCGAGACACACCCGCATCGCCGTTTTGCTCCGCAGCTCATTGAGACATCGAGACGAACTCGCCGCCTGGGCGACGCAGGCCCTGCTACGAAACCAACCGATAAGACTGACATCACACCTTACACAAAGAACATATACACTACCAAGTCGCGGGCTAGACGAAGACTTGATTCTACCTTCGAGGATGACCACGAACATGTCGAGCCGCCAACGCGGCGTGAATCCGAGGATGAGAACGTCAAGGCCTACTTGCTAGAGCTGGCCGCGAAAGAGGTGGAGAGACAGATCCAAGAGGCCGCCCTCGCCGCTTTCCCCAACAGTCATGCTCGCGAGGGTGGCATCGCCCATTTCTACTTTGCTGAGGGTTCTGAAAGTGACGGCGCCTCGGGGAACGAGTCCCCAACGACAGAGGAGCCCAAACCAGTCAGAGTTCGGCGCAAGTCGTCAGACCTGGGATTGAGTTGGTGGCATAAGCACATGCAAGAGCATGCCCAGCATCTGGCCCATGAGCGTGAGGCTACCCAGGATGAAGTTATCTTCAAGGACGATGGGGACACCACCATGTTATCCGACGTTGATTTGGACAACATGGACCTATCCCTTCCACCTGATCCCCTCTGGACTACCTCTGGCAAAGTCTCTCCCGTCGATCGCCAAGACTCAATGAAGGAGGATCTCATCCCCCCTTCTCATGTTCCTGTCAAGAAGCCTACCGAGAACGAGCAGATGGTAGATGCCCCCCGCCCAATGCCCAAGATCCCAGCACCTACACCTTTCGCTGCAGCCCCAAAGATCCCCGCTCAGACAGGTTTCCGCGGATTTGGTCGACCCCTGCCCAATTACGGGTTGAGATCAGACTCTCCCCAGGCTAAGAAGCTGCGAAAGCTGGTCTCCCCACCCATGCTTGGCAAAGACCTGGTGTTTCGCCAATGCCCATCACCCAAATTTACCAAACTGGAGCCCACTCACCCCTTCGACGATGATTTGGATGCCCATCGAGATATGACCGGGCAAGGCGGTCTCTGGCATGGCTTCTGTTTCCACAATGAGCCTACCGAGGAACATCATGGACTCTGGTCCCCACCACCTGGCAATGGGCTGCTCATCACACCCCATTCTCCGGGTACACCGGCTGACGACTCTGATTCGCATATAATCAGTGAGGAGCCAAGCTCTGTATTTTCTTCCAGTGCTTCGACCGAGAGCTCTGCCACGTCTGTGCACCGCCAGCGGAGTGGAGAAGCCAAGGGCCTTCATATGCTCCACGGGCTCAACGAACGCCTCCAGCGGGAAAAGGCCGAGGCAGAGAGGAATGAGAAGATTGCGCAAGAGTTCACCGATGAATTCATTACGCAGGTCTACAACTATCTGTCCTTGGGCTACCCCGCTCTCGCGGCCGCATACGATGAGGAACTTGCCAAGATAAGCCACATTAGCATCTTTGATTTAAGAAAGAATGATTCTAAGCACTTGGCCAAGGGTCATATGGTTGAGATGACTCTCGAGGATACTCCAGATGAGGATAGATGCCCCAGATGGCGAGCGCTCAAAACTTACATCTATGAATGGGCACGACAGCACCCCAACCTCAACGCTATGGACCCTCCTGCCTGGGGCGTAAGAGAGAGACGTGGCAGTTGGGCAATCTAGAGAGCAAGACTGGATCCTTTTTTCCCCTTACACTTGCACTATACTTTTATTTTCTTCTTGTTAAACTACAGCACACGAGCGTTAAAGAGCCTGGTTTGGTCGCCAACGTATATAAAAGTCGGATTTTAAGCTTCTTCTGTTTCTTCAGGTGGGCCTTGGTTATCGGCGAGCATTTCATGCTACTGTTTTCTTCCTCTTTTTGAACGACACCAGAGGGTACAGCTAGATGTTACGGTTCTTTTATTTCTCTTTTCTTCTTCTTCTTCTTTCTTTCCTTTTTTCGAAAACTTCCCTTAACGGAACATATGGCAAGGCGAGCAGGAGCGATGGCATTTTGAAAGCATTATTTTAGGTCGGCGTTGTGGTGAACACTTTTCTTTGCGAGAACTCATGGTCTGAGAAGTCGGTTACTAGTACACTCTGTTCTACACCAAGTGTATAGCTGTTGTCTGGTTAGATTCAAATTCACGTTGCCTCTGGGCACTATCACTACATCAATGCTCCTTTCGCCTTTACAGTGAGTCAAGAGGTTTTCATTGAGCCTTTTGTGGTATGAATACCGACCTTTTTCGAACTCTAAGCTACGCACTTGTACATACGAGATATTGATGAAACATGGCTGTTGAAAATTATTCACTGGTAAGGCATGAGATAACGGCGTGGAGCTCTTTTCCTCCCCGTAGTGACCGTTATTGCAATCGTAGGCAGTTCGCATATTGATGGATGGTGAATGTCAACGCATTATATTTGCCAGAAATGATGAATCCCAGGTCTACATAAACCAACCAAAAAACGCCCAGACTAGCCGCGGTAACAGCAGAGAGATTTTACTCATTTCCTCTTTGAAAACGACTTGGCTACTTTTTGCACCTTGGAGGGCGGGGCGGCTTCTACATCACTCTCTTCGTCCTCGCCCATTGAGTCATCCACATCGTCGTGATCAACCTCATCCTCGTCCAACAGGGACTCTCCCTCATCCTCGCTATCGTCGATTTCCTCCTCAGAGTCATCATCCTCGTCACTTGACTCCCCAATAGCCCCATTTAAGACAGGGACGTCAGAGTCGTCAGAATCGTCAGTCACGCGTCTCCTGCGAGACTTGAGGCCGCTGACCAGCTCCTCATCCTCCGCCTCGCCCTCAACCCAGACTACATCTTCCTCCTCATCCTCGTCCTCGCCCTGGTTAATGGCTCTGGAGCGATGCTGCATCCTCCGTCGCAGGTCCATCTGGCTCTCGAGCATGTCCAGCTTCCCCTTGAGCGCCAGCAGGCTGGTCAGGCCCTTGGCGCGCTCCGCCAGGACCTTTTGCAGGCCGCTGAGGCTCTGGATGACCTTGGGCTGGGAGGCGAGGGCGCCGCCGTGGGCGATGAGGGTGAGCTGCACCCAGGTCATCAGAGTGCCCGCCCTACCAGGCCTCCTGTAGAGACGGGCGGCGAGCTTGTTGAGCAGGTTGCCGGCGAGCGCGCTGTCGATGCTCTCGATGGTGTTCTGGATGGTGGTGCGGTCGGTGGTGTGCAGGCACGATTCGAGCAGGTCGACGTCGTCGGTGCGGAGGGCCTGCGTGAGGACGGTGGTGAGGGACTGGTGGGAGGGGGGCACGATGGCGGCCCGGGCGGGCTGGGAGGAGAGGGCGTTGCTGGCGCCCGAGGACTGCTGCAGCAGGGCGGGCACGTCGATGGTGGCCTCGTTGCCCCTGAGGAGCTCGCCGAAGGACGGCGAGGTCTCCTCCTCGCCGTCCTCGTCTGCCGACTCGCCATCATCCTCTGCGGCGACCCGCAACGACTTGCCCTTATGGTTGCCGTTGAGCTGGGGGGTGGCCTCGGTGCCGGTCATTGACTCGTCGGCCATGACGGCCTCCTCCTCGTCTGTGAAGCCGTCGTCGCTGGCTTCATCGGATGATATCTCAATGGCGTCCTGCTGCGAGCTGGGGAGGGCGTCTGTGCCGGCGACGGAGGTCCTCGACTCGTCGATCACGCTCTTGGTTGCCCGCCTGGCGCTGGACTTGACGGTGGGTGCTGCCAGCTTCCCTGGCGCTTTGCGCTTGGTTGACATGGTTGGTTATCGAGGCACGAGGGCTGGCGCTCGTCTCTGGCGGTTGTGTAGATAGGTACCTAGATGTAGGTGGGCGGGATGGGATTGCGGCTCAGAAACGAACAATCGCTTTGGGAGGAATTGAAAAAATGGCCGAGGCGATCGAATGCCTAGATTTTCGTTTCTGAATTTCAATTCAAACCATCAATTTGATTACAATGAGCCTTGTTGGCGTCAACCGCAATCCCGGGCCTAAGAAAATTTCACGACCGCTCTCTGGAGTGGTGAACTTTTTTTTTTGGGCACTCTGCTTCGGGTCCTATCAAGCCGCTCGCCCCATAACGGTATCAGTTAGCTTGCTGATAACATATTCGTTATCGATAATGGTCACGTGCCTCAAGTCTTCTCTAAGACTGCTTAGTCATCTTTCACGCTTGGGGGTCGGGATGCTAAGAAGTGCCAGTGACTCACTAAGGCCCTCACAGCATTAGCATTGTTGGATCACGGGATAATCGTGAATCTGACACATTCCAATCGTGGCGAAAATTTTCCGTTTAATTTGTGCATTGCTTTTTCGCGAGATTCGCGCCAGATATTCGATGCTTCTTCTGAATATTTTCTTCACTTATCGTCCTCACCAACCAACGGTGATGTCGTACCCCCCTCAATGGCGTGATCTCATTGATTGGGACAGAGCGTGAGAGATCTTTCGGATGTGGGAGTGCTTTGTTGAATGACCACATCATCGATTTCGAGATCAATGCAAGTCAAGGAAGCTGGAAGCTGCACGTCACGTCACGCAAAGTTCCCCATTTCCTTATTAAAGATTGGATGATGGGGTCGGAAGTTTGATCGCATCCGGAGGACGCCACCTGTCCGGATGGATCTATGCGGTGCTTGCGACGGATTGCAGCCTTGTAATATTAAGTTATTGACACGTATCTCCATCCGCAAGTCTACAAGGAGGCGTCGCCTTGGTCCGTACGACTAAGTGGGCCCAATCGAGGACGAAGGGTTTGCTTTTTACTGTCGCAGCCTAAGGGGGGGTCATTTTTATTACGACGAGCGAAAAAGGTTGGCAAGGCTGCACGCTCAAGGCTACACATGCATGCGACCCAGCTGCCTCTCCTCTGATGAGATATTATCCACACGTGAGCAGCTGTGACTGCTGGTAAATAATATGGCGCTAGTGGAACAAGCTCCTTACCAAAGCCAGTACAAACCATGGCAAGATGCTTCGGGAAGGCGCTGGAGACTGTGATGCAGCAGGTGACAGCTGCCACCGCCCGAGAGCTAGCAAGCTTCATAAACGGCGATGCGTTTGCGAACCCAACCACAAAAAAAAAAACAATCCATTGACTTTGCCAACGCTCCGTTTGAGAGGGTCCGTGTGTTGTGAACACTGAGTGAGCTCTCGACGCGCACAACATCGCATTGTTGAGCGCGTTCGGGCACGCACGGACCACCCCGTTTCAACCTAAACCCCCGTTAAAGCGGAGTCAAGAACTTTTCCCAGCCATTCGTCGCCCCGATAGAAGCACTAAAACGGCTCACCGGACTTTCCCTTCTTCTCTCATAAATACCACGGCGCCTCGCTCGGCCTATAATTGAAATTTTTTTTTGACGTGCTCCGCGCTTTTTCCTCACGGACCCTCCCACACCACCATTTTCTGCCTATCCTGCACCAACTGCGCAATCGCTGCCGGCCTGCACCGTACATAATAAAAAAAAAAGGTACATCTTCCACCACCCAACCCCCACCCAATTCCTTGTACCTTTGCCTACCAGTCGCAATGCCAATCACCCAAGCCTTTTGGCCTGCGACTCGGCAACCAGCCAAAAGCAGCTGCGCCCAACTACAGTTTGCAGCCACCACCTCACACTTGCCCTCACCTGGGGCGCATATTCGCCTCAGCTCGCATTCGCCAGATAAAAGCTCCCTCCTTCCCCTCCTTCATTTGCATCATTCATTTGCATCATCTTTTTTCTCCGTCGCGCCTGGCGCACGCGCCCTTGTCTCCATACCCACATCGCATCGTCGCGACTTGACAACAATCCGAGCTACAGCATACTGACGCGTGTTTTCCTCCATCATCTAGCTTGCCGATTCCTAGGATCATCGCGACCCTTATTCTCTCCTTACGTCCGTCGAGTAGTTAAATCGCAGCTATCATTTCGAACAATATACCTGATATCCACAAACACGCGCGAATCTTGAACACGTCCTCCCTGAGCTGCGCATCCCCCCAAAACAGATCGTTGCGCGCGCGCTTTCCATCGCTCGTCGCATTTGATGTTGTGTTGCGCCATTTAGACTTGACCACATCGTCAGCGCTATCGCGTCGCGTGTGGCACAGTCATGGCCTCGCCAAAGCCGGAGTCAAATTCCACCTCGCCTCCAAAGCAAGTGGATGATGCGGCAACGAAAGAATCAAAGGCAGAGGTCAATGGGTATGTTTGCTCTTCATCCCCATGCTCGCTGTCTCGTTGTGTTGTAAAGTCATTAGATGTTGACTGTAGTCTTTTCTGTCGTACTAGCCATGCAGCCGAGCCCGAATCGAAGTCTGAGGCCGAGACGAAGCCCGAAAAGCAACTCTCCAACGGTACTGGTTCTGGGGAGGAGGACGGCACTCCCAATGGAGCGGACAAGGATGTGGAGATGAAGAATGGTGACGGATCAAAGGACGTCGCCTCCACGATAGAAAAGTCCGATAATTCAGACAAGAAGGAAGCCGAAACGAACACGACGCCCAAGGAGTCCAGCAAAGATGATGACGTCGAGATGAAGGAATCCGAGCCCGCCAAGGAGGCGTCAGCAGCGCCCAGTGACGAAAAGAAGGATGCCGATGCCAAGGAGTCCACACCCAAGTCGACAGAGGCGGGCACTGAAGACCCGGACAAAGCCAAAGATGCGCCATCTTCGCCTGGAGATGCAGGTGAGTCCGGGATTGATCTTCAACCCGCCAGTCTCTCGCAGTTGGCTATCGATGGACCAGAACCTAACACATCACCAGTTGAGCCTTCCGTGGAAGTCTCCATGACCGATGCGCCTGCGTCTAAGGTCCCTAGAGAGCGCGAGGACGACGGCGGAGAGGAACCAGCACCGAAGAGAGCAAAGACGGAACCCAAAGAAGAGGAGCCAACGACATCAACGCCGACGGCAGACGGTCAGGAAATTTCTGTCATGACTGAATTTCCAAAACCCAAGTTCGATGAGTTCGCTGAGTGGTACGATGCGAAGAATAGCGCCAAGGAGATCACGAACCATCGCAGAAGGGAAATGCGCCGGACTGTTGCCCGTGTCAAAAAGACGAAGCACGGTGGCGAGTTTCGAGATTCCGTCCAGAAGCTCTGGCCTGCGTTGTGGGAAAAGTACTCACTCAAGATCGAGAAGCCAATGGACTTATCCGAAATAGATCGCAACTTGCGAGACACCAAGTACAAGACGTACGGTGACTTCAAGGCCGACCTGGCTCTTCTTGTAGAGAACTCCCAGGCCTACAATGGTCCTGACCACTACATTACCATGGCTGCACGCGGCGCTAGCAAGACTGTTTGGGACGACGTCGTTTTCTTGCCCGAGGAGGAGCCCTCAAAACCCAAGGCTCCCCCTAAAGCAAATCGCATGCGAGAACTTCGTGTTGGCAGCAACGTCAAGCCCGAGGCTCCTTCGGGAGGTTCTACCCCTACTCCGACCACAGGCCCACCTGCCAAGGCAGCCCAATCTGCGGGCGAGGCGAGGCGGAGTTCTTCGGTTCATGACGGCGATAGACCCAAGAGGACTGTGCGTGCACCTAAGCCAAAGGACATTGACTACTCGTCCAAGCCTGCGCGAAAGAAACTTCGACCGGAACTTCAATTCTGTGACGAGGTTCTTGCAGAACTGACTTCACAGAAGCACTGGTCGCTGAATCAATGGTTCCTCGACGCAGTGGACGCTGAAGGTCTGGGAATTCCTCATTATTATTCCGTGATTAAGCATCCGATGGATCTGGGGAAAGTATCCAGAATGCTTGCAAATGGAGAAATTTCGAGCCTCAAGGAATTCCACAAGAACATTACTCTGATGTTCGACAACTGCTATCAGTTCAACGGTCCCTATGAGCAAGGCGGGGTCTCGGCACTTGCCAAGCAGCTCCAGGATATATATACCGCGCAGATGAAGAATAAGGATGCATGGCTCGCCAAACATGCGAAGGCAAACCCTCCACCAGCTTCGGTCTCAAACCCTAGTGATGATGATGACGACGAAGATGAGGAGGACGGAGAGGATGCCAATGCTGTTGCTGATCATACACGGGCAGTCAAGGAACTAGAGGCGCGACTTCGAGAAGAAATGGACAAGCAGGCTAATCTCTTCGCCGCCGAGCAGCCAAACCAAAGCATGATCACAATCCAACAGGGAATCGTATCCATGGTCCAGGAGGCACTTCTCAAGGCGAAGACCACGCTGAACGAAGTCAGGCAAAAGAACCCCGCTGGCAAGCCCAAGAAGTCCAAGCCTACAAAGGCGAAGGCTGCTGGTGGAGGAGCAGGACGCAAAGCTAGCGGTGCAGCTGCTCAACCCAAGAAGGCTGGCGCTGGCCCGGCCAAGAACAAGAAGAAGAATCTCACGGCTGCCGACAAAGACCATATTGCTGGCGCGATTAACGATCTCGAATACCCGCATCTTGACCGAGCTATCGATATTATCAAACGCGATACCGGTCAGATGGTAAGTTGCACCTATCAAGTCCTATCAATCATTAGCATATACTAACTCGTTTCCTGCAGGAGAGCGAGGATGGCGAACTCGAGCTGGATATCGACCAGCTTAGTAACGATGCACTTTTGAAACTCTGGGAACTCTGTAAGAAGGCGTTACCAGGCTTTGCCAAGGATGCAGCGGCCCAATCCCCAGAGGTCCATCGTGCTGCTCCATCCAAATCAGCGCCCAAGACGGCGGCTAAGCCAAAGAAGAACAAGCCAATGAGTGCCCTGGAGCAGGAGGCAAGAATAGCTCAGCTACGGCAAATCCGAGACATGTACGGCAAGGGCGACAATGGGGGCGCCGCTGATCCCGCTCGAGCTGAGTCGCAAGGACCGATGTCAAGCGACGATTCTTCGGAAGAGGAGTAGGCGACCTAATGAGATTTTTTTTTGCAGTCTTGTATGAGTATATGTAGAAGCGTGACAAGGAAACGGTGGTTTCGGCTCCTTTTTTTTCTTAGCCGTTGGATGGCAGTTCAGGGCGTCCGACTTGACGCAAAACCGCAGATACCCAGTTCTTCTCGGGTCGCTTTGGGTTCTATCCCTGTCGTCCTTGCTCGCCTGCGCAAGCGAGGGCGTCAACGGCATTGTGATAATGCTGATCTATTTTGGTCATTTCTTTCATCAACAACTTGTTAACTTGTTGTAATTGGCGCCAAGGAGAAGGGGAAGGAGATTGACGAGGGCTGGTTACCCGGCTTATGTTCATTGATGTAGGAGTCATTTAGATGCAAACGGAGCTTCGGATTGATCCAGGGATAACAAGCCCAAAGAGAAAGCACGAAGACGATCGTCTCATCGCTCTCATCCTGGAAGGGGTGAAAATGACCTGGCTATACATCTTGGAAGGGTATTACCTATGGGGCGAGGGTAAAAGGCGATTGTGGGTACGGAGGTGAAATATGCCGTCGAATTCCAAACCTTCGCATGGAACGCTTGCTGATACTACTCGGCAGCAACGTTGGGGAGTTCCGAGATCTATGAGGTGTGGGGAGAGGTTTGCAGTAGGCGCCTCTGCAAAATGTACAGAGTCCGAGAACAAATAAGAAAAAAATTGATATCAAATCAACAAGCATGTGCCACATTTACCACCAATTACCCGTCTTGTGGTCAAGTTATTTATATCCATGACTAGCTAAGCTTTTATCCAGTGACAAGATGGAAGTCTAATATCATTTCTAGATGGCAAGGGCTTCACTCATTCCGCCTGGTCGGGCACAAGAGGCACGGGCAGTGTCCTCCTCAGCCTGCTGCAGACTTCAGCATACGCACCGGGGCCGACCTCCTCCGGGGTGACGATGCCATGCCTCAAGAAGAAGTCGACCATGACGGGACACACGTTCGGCTTGAACTCGCCGGCCTCCATTCTCGAGATGACCTCGTCGGGCCCGATGAGCTCGAACCTGTCCACCTCGTCGTCCCCCGGGGTGGGCAGGACGTCCGGGGGCATCTCCATGTCGTACACGTACAGCACCTCTGAGTGGTACAGGCTCGAGACCGGGTTGATGTTGGCCATGGTCAGGACGCCGGTGGGCCTGCACTGGGCGGCCACGAGGGCGGGGTCCAGCGAGGCCTCCTCGCTGGCCTCGGCGAGGATGCAGGCGGTCGGGGAGTCGGTGGCCTTGACGCCGCCGGCGACGGTGCTGTCGAGCATGCCCGGGTAGGTGGCGAGGTGGCGGCTGCGCCTGGCTACCCAGACGCGGAGGCCGCCTCGCTCTTGGGGAAAGCCCCTGACGAAGGCGGTCATGTGGGCGCCGCGGGTGGCGATGCCGAAGAGGGTGGCCGCGAAGCGCTCGACGTGGACGGGGGAGGGACCGCGGGCACCGGGGATGAGGAAGGGCTCGCTGTGCTGGGCGCGGAGGTGGGGGAAGACGTCTGCCTCGATGGCGGAGTCGATGGCCTGCTGGATGGTGCTGTTGATGTGCTGCGTGCGAGCGGCTGGCGTGGAGGGAGGGGAAGGTGGTGGTGAGGCTATGGTGACTGTCCGGGCGTCGTGATCGATAGTGACGGAGGGCGGCCAGGGCATGCTGGCCACTGTGTTTGGGTGGATGAAGCCATGGGGTCTCGGGTCGTCTGGGGAGAGGTGGAAGCGGTAGTAGGGGGAGAAGTTTTGCTCAAAGTCCAGACGGACGCTGGGTTCCGTGCGTGTAAGTTACTTTGGCTTGGTGTGGCCGTGGCGAAGAGTGAGTTACTCACTTGTCAAACGGGGTGATCAGATCCAAGAACTTATTCGGAGGTGGAGTCATTTTCAATCAGTTCAGTGTGTTGGTCTAGAGCTAGCGGTTTCTATGATATTGCTTTTCCTAAGTGACGGCAGGTTTGCCGCTGGTGATGAGTGATTTATATCCGTCTCTTTCCGACTTATTCTTCTCAACGGTGGTCATGATAGAGCTGAAAATCTCACAGCGTTGGGGTTGCTGACTCATCGCGGCATGCTGCTTGTAAGGTTGCTCGAGTAGATGCCCTGCGAAGTCATTTTAACTAGCAATTGGAGTGATAAATGTTGAGCGTCCGATTGGCATTCTGCCAAGTCATCCGTGCTCTTGCAGTAATCTTTAGCTGCTTGGTGTGCGTCGAAGAGGTCAGCCTCCTCAAGAGGGTATGTGCCTCTCTCGTGCTATAGGGTAAGCTGTCTGCATTAGACATGACGGAAATCAATATCTGTTAGCCTCTGTTCGTCTGACCAGCTAGATGTGAGACCAGAGACAACTATATCAATATTGTTCGATACAGCTATTTAGTACCGGATAAAATAACCGTATTAGGTAGGCTACATTCATTTTTACGAGGTGACGGCCTTGTTGCATATGCGCTTGGAATGTTTCGTTGACCTCTGTGGCTTCAGTTGCATCCCTCAGCATCCTCTCATACAACATGACTTCAGAAACGGAGCATCCTTCTACTGAGATCATCGTGAGACTGACAGGTGCTGGCTTTGCTACGGTCATCTCTCCGGCTGTTCGGCTCGACGGAGTGACAAAGTACTACTAGACATGTCTAAGAAACCGCTACAGAGTATTTCCACCAAGTGGTCAGACGTAAAAAACTGTCTCTACGGGCAAATGACAACAATACTTTTTCCGGTTAGAATAGATGCACGTAGTCGCCGAGCCTGACAGGGCCAAAACAAGCATCGGGGGAAGGCGTCTGGGACGGGACCGTCGAAAATCTATCTCGGGCAGGGAATAGACTATGGTCATGTCATCTCTTTGGCTAGACAAGCCTGGCAGAACACTAACATCCGTGGCTCGTGCCATGTATGCATGTGTAGCATCGTGCGTGTGTGAAGCCCGTGTCGGTCTAGACCGCATCTTGTCTGGGCCTCGTCCGATGTGTTTAAAAAGTAGGTTCTTACGGGCTTTTGGAGTGGTAGGATATGGTTTTTTGGGGGGAGATTGGTCCTCGCCGATATTAAGCTCCGGTAGACACGAAATTATTGCTCAGTTTGGGGGTCTCACAGGGCTGTTGCACTAAGTGTTAGGGTCCAGCCTGGCAGCTTGCCATCTGAAATCTGACCAATGTCTTTGATTTGATACAGCTCGACTGAGACATTGCCTGCGAGGATCTTGCCTACTTGACACATTTGCTGTTCCCAAGCCAGCAGGACAAGGGTCGTGACCAACGGAATAAAAAGCAAGGGGAATTGAAAATTACAAAAAAATTGGGTACGCGCTCAACTCTCGCCAACCTACGGTTGATGAGAAATGTCTCATCTCTGTCTTGCAGACTAGTGCAAATTTGAATCATGGTTTTGGCAGCTGTGATTTGATTTCAGGCTTTCAGCTGGGCATTCCGAGGGTTCTGACTGGTGAGGAGAGAGCGAAGGGAGACAGACTGCGTTTGACGTGGCTTACATGTGGGAGCGCAGCCAGTTACGAGTCTGACAAGAAAGGGGAGAGGGCCCAAGATGGGACGTGACCCAGCGCCACAATGCGACAGCGAGATCTGATATGCAGGGGGAACAAAGAAGGGATGATAAGGGGATGATGCAGATGCACCAGCAAACTCAAAAGTGACACGAGCGGCGCGCTGCGATGTTGCATTCAAGCCACCCATTCAGCGTGTAGGTATTAGGTATCATGGTAGGTGGTGAGGAGCGTACGCACGCCCGGCACCGCTGTTCTGGCATTTGGTTTAGGGAGCTTGGCAATCGCGATTCAACCACAAGAGAGGGAAGAATAAGCTAGCTTGGCAAGCTTGGCTCTCTCCCAGTCATTGTGCCGCGGAAGCGAGTTGGCCCAAGACCAGGACGGATGAGGGGACTGGCGTTTGATCGCGTGCCCCATAACGGGGGTTCCGCTTCCCACCAAAGGCTCCAACTAACAAGAGACGTGGATGACAGCCCCCTACGGGTTAAAGCTGCTGGGCAACAGGGCTGAGGGAGACAGCTCATTGGCTCTGGGGATAGACGTTTGGCCATTCGCGGCGTCCCAGGGCTCGCACATGGCGCCGTGACATTCCCTGCGGCAGTCGGCCTAGCACTAGACGTTAAGAGTTCAGTTAGCGGAGCGAAGTGGCCGGAGCAGACCGTAGTGTGGTGTTAAGCCTGCTGTGCGACTCCACGTTTGGGTCCCGTGGCCAGGCGAGCCGAATAGACGGTCAAGCCTGGTCAGTCGATGATGGGCGCTGGAGGTCGCATGCTCTGCTTGTTCAAGGCCGCATCTGGGCCTGGGAGGAACGGGTGTGGCGATGGGTGCGATAGGGATGGAGGAGAAGGGATGGAGTGCACACCCATAACCCACAGTTCACAGGACTCGGGGCAGGGATCATGACAGCGAAACTGCGACAGGCATCAGGTTTTGATGCAACGCGGTGACGGCACAGGGCCAACAGCTCTTCCACATCCTCCCTAAGCAAAGGATTTACCCGGGGACTGTAACTAATCTGGGCAACGGTCTGCTTGGGGTTTGCAACGGAGCAGAGCGGCACACGTAGCAGCATTACCTCATCGATCGCTGTACATAGTATATGGCAGTGGATAAGGTAAGAAGGCAGCAAGCCAGGCCGACGGAGGAAAAGAGGACGGCAGAAGGGGAAACAAGCAGCGCGGTATGAGCGTGCAGAGCAGCGGGGCAGCGTGTCATTGCCGTCATCGATGCAGCTACGGGCTGAGAAGTGCGCGACTGAGCATGCTCATCAAGCGAAGCAAGCAGCGCAGAGCAACACACGCAGAGCTGAGGCAAAAGCAACAAACAGCTCAGTCCAGCCAGTCGCGGGTCGCGGATTTGAGGTGGAGCGGTGCTATGGGGAAGCCAAATGAAATGTATGTACTTCGTATGTACGGGGCTGGGCTAGGGCAGTCTCGTATTTGAGATGAGTAGCAGTTGGGTATCAGAAGCAAACAAGCTCGCCAGAAGAACCGGAAACCCCAGGACCAGAACGCCGGCTGGATGCACAGAGCAACTTAGTCGGTCAAGCAGCCAAGCAATCACTATCGCAGACTGGTGTCGGCGACGGGCGCTCACAGCTGCTCCCGTAAGCACCCTCCTCTTCCCTCCCACCACCACGACGTCCCGGAGAGCGCTACCTTGTTAGCCTGGACGGGTGGATAAGGTAGACAGGTATTACCTTTTAGCGGCTGTAAGAGCTTGAAACCACCTCGATGGAGCAGAAATATAGGTAGCATACGGTGCCACAGCGACGTCCAGAGTTGCCAGCTCCGTCCCGTCTCCCTTCCACTTCGTGTCTCTGTTCTGCTCCAGGTCTGTTCCAGGCCAGCAAGTAAGCCTACCGACCAAGTCGTACGACATTTCGCCGTGCTGTCCCACGATACGCGAGCCAGTGCCGGACGTCGAGACAGACATCTGTGCTTGCGATCTCGTTCCACGCACGACGTTGGGACTACGCCGGGGTAACCTTGCGTCGCTCAGGTAAGGTACCGTGCTTCTCAGGACCAGCTTCATCCGCCAGGGACGGCCCAGATGCTAAAGAAAATACTGTCAATGCTGGATTGCTAACAGCTCTGGACTGCAGCAACACGACCGGGTCCAGCCCAGGAGCGGCATCGTCCCGATTCGAGACCATTTTTCTTCCCTCTCGCTTCCCGTTGGCCCTCTCCTTCTCTCTCTTCCCATCCTGCGACTTCTTCACTTGCGGTGTGGCATTCTTTGTTTCTGCTGCGTGTCCATCCTTTGTTGCTGGAGCAGAGAGCCGGCAATCGCTATCACGCCCAATTGAAGCTTCCCTGTTTTTTGCGACAAGGCGCTGTATGCGCTGCTCTGGCCACTAAACGGTACCTTGAGTCAGGAGTATAAAATACTTAGGTAATACACCCCATCCAACCCTTGCTACATATAATTTCTCCGTACAGTTGTGTACACGCGACACACTCCGTTACATTCCTGTTTCCAGGGACCTGAGGCAGGCGCAAAAAGGATGACCTACTGACAACAAAAAAGCAACCACCAACATTGAATCGCACGAGGCGCATCAAGATAAGACAGTCAGACTACCCCTCCAATCAGCCAGCGGGATCTTCGCTGTCGCAAGCCATCAAAAGGGAACGCCTTTCCGAGCTATTCTTTCTTCAGACGGCCTCACGTGGCCCTATCGCACACACGCCGCGCTTCGCACCGGTCTTCCAGCCTTGACTCGCATTCAAACCAGAGCGACCATCTGGCTTGGTCTAGCGGCGTCGCCCTGAGGTATGACAGGAGAGACATAAAACTTGCTCCCTCGGCAACAAAATTTCGACTTGCGCCGCGCCCAAGATTTCTTCAATGTCTCGGCCATTGCCAGCTCACCAGCCACACCCACTGCCGTTGCCCCATCCGTGCTATTAAGGCATAGGCGACTGATACGAGCCCGACTACAGTGTATTAGCACTCCAGGACCCCAAAATACGAGGTTCACAGCCACCCCGAGCAATTCAGCATCAGCGCCCCTGTACTTCGCCATCCGCGGGCGATTGAAAGGAGGGATACGGCGAGACAGCAACGGGCGGACGGCCCCAAAATTCCAAACTCCTGGGTGGGTATTCACTACTGCCAATTAGCAACAGTCTTCAGCGAGTGGAAGGGTGGCTTGCTGCCCAAAATAACTACCCAAAACAATGGCGGCAGCCGAGCCAGCGTGTTCTGGAAAAGTCGCCAGCGCCAGCGACAGCAGCAGGAGCAGCAGCCCCAAGACCGATGGGCAGATCCCGGCCATCACTCCCCCGACAACAGCCACACTGTCGGCAACCTCGTCTCCCACGTCTGGCACGGCGATGCAGAAGCCCGCACTGCGCCAGGGACCCTCCGGATTGACTTTGCAGACCGCTATCCTCGAACACGAGAAGACTAAAAACCTTCTGGGCCGCCGCGGTACTGGCGAGGAATTCATTTCCGCCACCTCGCCCCAGCGACCCGGTGCCAGGGTCAAGCCACAGAGCCAGGGCCTAGATACGGAAGCACTATCAGCCCCTGACAACGGTAATGCGACGCCAACAAACAGCAGTGTCCCCTCCGTGCTGTCTGAATCTCCTCCCCTCTGCGTGAGCAGCATTCTTCCCAACACCAGAATAGCACAGCCAAAGCCTATCGCCGTTCCTGTCTCGGCTTCCAGCCCCCTCTCCCTCAGTCCTACGACTCCCTTGCCGGATCCGTCCATCCGCTCCGGTGCTCCTATTGGGAACATCGCCCGACTCGAGGCCACTGCAGAGAGACTCTCGACCGGCACCAGTTCCATTGGTGATGCGATCCGTGAGTTGCATGGCGAATTGAAGCGAAGTGACAGCCGTCGATCGTCCGTACGTGCTGCCAGTATCAGGACATCCAACGACGACAATTTTGCCAATGTGCCACCCGTCCCTCCCTTGCATCGCCATCTCTCCAGCGCATCATCTATTCTCACTACGAACATAGCCGCACGGCAAGGTGGTTATTCTCCTGCAGGATTCGTCATGTCTCCTAGCCACTCCCTGACTGGTCGGCTTCGATCTGGGTCCAAGAACTCGGCTGGCCGACCAGAGATCGATGTCGAGCCTCCCCTCTCTCGTCACGGACCGGGCAAGACCTCCGTCCGAAGTGTTCGCTCTGCCAAGATGTCTCTGGCTGAGATCTCCGAATCCGAACCTATCTCGTTAACCAAGGATGCCCTCGATGCCGCCGATGCTGCCCCTCCGATCGAAACCGAAACCCTCGACGAAATGAAGCCCTCCGAGCCCAACGAAGCGCCCAATAACCGTGCCAGCCGTATCCTGGAATCGTCACTGGAGCTGGAGATGAGCGAGCCCAACCTGGATCTGGGCCTTACACACCCAGAAGACCAGAAACGCCGGCCTGTTGATGAGCCCGAGCGACCAGGCAGTGCGCACTCCTACAGCACCTTCCAGCAAGTCGGGGACGCCTTTGCCGACTTTGATGGTGTGCATTGTGTAGAGGATGGCACGTTTGACCGTGGCCATCATCTGGAGGACCAGACAATCATGGAGGACATTCCCTTGGGCGAGGAAGAGATGGAGCCGGTACCTCGTCAGCGCCGTCCTGAACGGGCTCGGCCGCAGTCCTATCTTGATCCTGAATCGGGCCAACAAATGTTATTCTACCCAGCGCGGGTTCCCGCGATGCTTAAGCTTCCACCGAAGCTGTCTAACAAGCCCAAAGTGGCTGACCGAGACAATCGACGATCACAGGTCCTGAGTGCTATGCTGGACCCCAACTATAACTATGAGGAGTTGAATGACCCAGAAGCGGCGGGTCGCCAGGAGCCTCCTATACGAGACTCCTGGTTGCCAGATCCTCTTGCTGGTAACAGGGAATCTTTCATCGCTCTTACGTCGAGTGCAGGCTTAATCGATGCCAAGGAAATTGAGCAAGTGGAGGAACCGATGCCCGCAGAGCCGGACTCGCAGCACCTGCGTCGACCGCAGAAGATTGGGCGAAATAAAGCAGAGAATCGGAAATCTCGGCTTGACAAGCTTCCGCCTCAACTGCGAGCGAGCGCCTTCTTCGATTTGCCTTCCACGTCACCAAAGATGGAAGTCAAGGACGGCTCGGCCATGGCCACTCTTGATAGCATGCTTGACGCCTCCATGAACGCTCCCGTCAATGCCTTTACTAACCATACATTCGCGGGCCCTCTTGGGTCAGAGGTGTACGGCAAGGAGAAGAAGACGAAGCCCAAAGCCACATCGAATTCTCTAGCACCCCCATCTCCACAGAAGGAGCCCAAGAAGAGGGCTTCCTTCCTTTGGTTCAAGCGCAACCATAGCGAATCAAAGATCGATAGCAAGTCCTCGATGGGCGAAGTTAATAGTGACACGGATGCCCCTGAGACGGCAGGACTTGCAAGCAGCCACGGGGAAGACCACCCCGAGGACGAGGACCTGGAGGGTGAGGACGTAGAAGAGGAGGAAGAGAGCGAGGATGGCCAGCCTGCTGGCCCTCCAACAACGCTGCTCGCCGAACTTCAGCTACGCAAACAGCAACAGAAACAGCGAACCCAGCCCATCAGCCAAAAGTTCCAGGATGGCATGCATGCCACCTTGCTCGAGATGGATGCCGTGGCCGAGGTCGAGCGCAAGAATCGAAACAAGAAGCGTGTCAATCTTGCCTGGGAGGATCCAGGTGCTCATCACAACGAAAATGGCTCCGATGACGAGGACGTCCCTCTCGCCATCATTGCTGCGAAACATCAAGGTGCTAAAAATATGGCTGACCTCGAACGTCCCATTGGATTATTGGAACGCCGTGATATTGAAGATAATGAGCCTCTTAGCCGAAGGCGGGCACGTTTGCAAGGGAACGATGCGATTCCCATGACTCTCCCCAAGCGCCAGAGTGTCGCAACCCTAACCGCCCACCTCACCAGTCCTTATTTGCGGGTACAACCTCAGTCACCAGGAAGTGTGTCCGAGCAAGAACCTACAGAGGAGGAGATTGAAGGCGAGACTTTGGGAGAGAGGAAGCGCCGCTTGGAAGGCAAGGAGCTCCCCAAGGCCCGACCCGTCAGCAGTGCCTTTTCAGCTGAGCTTCTGAGCCAGTTTGGTGATCTGGAGGAGGCAACGAAACCTGGCACGGCTGATGGCAAGACAAAGGAGAATAGTGAGCCTGCGGCGAACCCGGAGGAGGAGACCCTGGGTGAGCGCAGACGCCGTCTTCAAGCCGAACGCAGAGCGCGCGAAATCGAAATGAGCCACAATGCGCTCGTTGGCCCGTCCGAGCCCACCGTCAATCGCCGTTTAAGCATGGCTGATATGTTGTCTGCACATCCTAAGAAGGAAGAGAACCCGGCCAGGCTCGAAAAGCTCAAGATGGACCAGGAAGCAATCATTGCCCGTGATCGTGAGGCCAAGCTTGCGGCAATGCGACGGCAGATGCCCACATCTATGGCAGCACCTACTATCGGTGGTTACCGTGGCGGCGTTTATAATGACGGACAAGGCGGTGGCAACACTGGGCTTGGCCTTCAGGGTGCCATGTCCACTCCCGCCCTTGGGCAGGTATATTCTGGTAACAACCAACACAGATCTGTCATGGGACTCAGCTCCTACGGGATGCCTGGACAGCAGCCCGGATACGTACACAACAACCCATATGGTGGCATGAACGGAATGAACAGTATGGGTAATCTCAACCGGGTGACGATGAATCCGTATGCCCATAACAGCATGCATCAACTACCTATGCAAACGCAACTCCCAATGAACACATCGTCAATGAGCCGAGTCGACCAATGGCGTCATGGTGTTGTCCCCTAATCCAATTATATATACTCTCTGGGTAGAGATTCTATTGGAGTCTGCCAGTCCCGGACCATATATGCATCCTGGCCCTGGGAGAGTATCCCCATCTTATTTGCAAGAACAAAAACGTTAAGAAATTTGCAGCCTTTTCCTTTTCCTTTTAGCATACCTACCCACCACACTTGGCGCTGTACCATACACCCTTGTTTTTCTTTGTCTGTATACCAACGAACACGAGGATTCATATTGGGCATTCGCGTGGATCGGAGAATAAGTCGGGACGGAATATTTGGTTATTGTAGCCTGTCTAGCTAGCTTAGCATTGCGTGGCGCTGGGAAGTGATCTTTTCGATAATTTATAGTCGTAACAACATTTATTTACCCCTGGGGTCCGGACAGTTGGAGTAGCCAAGGAGGCCTTGAGGGCTCTCGCCTGGGCCTGGACAATACGTCCGTTCTTTTCATCGAGGCATATATAGACTACAGCAGCATAGCTTTGTCGGTATACGCGACTAGTCAATTCAAGAAGGATAGAAACTCTAGCTGTTCTGTTTTCCAATTCTGATCCAAATTTGTGTCTAATGTGATATATGTTTCTCTCTATATCGGGTCTATGTCTATCCCACGTCTCACATAAATTGCAGTTCCTTTCCTGTGCTTTTTCTTTTAGCTTGCTACTCGCCGCTCTCATCGATCTGGTCCAAGACTTCGAGCAGGGGAATTTTATGAAGGGGTATGGGTTTGGTGTTCTTCCAGAACTTCCATAGCAGAAAGACGGACAAAACCAACGGAATATCCCTGCGGGAGAGGGAAAAAACGTCAGCATAGTGAACCAAGTCACGGTTTCGATCTGCCCAAAGACAGTAGGCGGGCCGGGTGTGTACATACAGGTACGATGAGACGAAGACGCTCGTGTCCCAGTGCCCCTTGATGAACGTCGAGAAGCCGCTGGTGAACAGGATGAGGACGCACGTGCACAACGCTGCGCGGGAGGTGTACACTGAGCGAGGGGAAGATGTTAGCTTTCGGTTGCGTTTCCCCTTTCTTTCTTTCTTTGGTTTGGGACTGGCGAGTCTGACATACCTGTGTGCTTGTTGTGCCAGGGGAGCCGCGACTCCGGTATCCCCTGGACTCGCATGGCGCTCCGTAGCCGGATGTGGTTGTAGAGGATGGAGGACCAGGAGACGAGGATCCCCGCGGCGGTGAGGTCGACGAACCACCAGAAGACGGTGAGGGCGCCGCTGGAGAGGCTGAGGAAGCTGAGGAGCATGAAGGCGCCGAAGAGGAGGACGCAGGCGTAGGGGGAGCCCCAGCTCGTGGTGCGGAGGAACACGCGGGGCGCCTGGCCCTTGAGGGCGAGGCCGTAGAGGACGCGGGAGCCGGACAGGAGGCTCTGGTTGGAGGCGGACCAGGCTGAGGTGATGACGACGGCGTTGACGACGGAGGGGATGAGGGGGATGCCCGCGGCGGAGGCGGCGATGACGAAGGGGGACTGGGCGGCGTCGCCGGCGGGGCCGTTGGCGAGGCGGGGGTCGTTGCTGGCGACGAGCATGCCGACGACGAGGATGGCGAGCATGTAGAAGAGGAAGATGCGGAGGAAGACGCGCTTGCAGGCGGCCGGAATGGCGGAGCGGGGGTCCCTGGTCTCGGCGGCGGCCATGGCGATGGACTCGACGCCCGCGAAGGAGAAGACGGCGCCGGCGAGGGCCTGCCAGAAGCCGAGGAAGTGTCCCAGGGAGCCCGGGTAGATGTGCTCGACGAAGGGGCCCGGGTCGCGCCAGTAGCGGAAGCCGAGGGCGGGGGTTCCCGGGATGGCGCCCAGGGCGATGAGGAGGCCGAGGACGATGAGGAAGACGATGAGGAGGACCTTGAGCCAGGCGAAGAGGTACTCGACCTCGCCGAAGACGTGGATGCGGGCGAGGCCGACGGCGAGGGTGAGGAGGATGAAGACGAGGATGATGGGGGTCGGGTCGACGTCGGGCCACCAGAAGCGGAAGAGCACGCAGATGGCGGTGATCTCGGAGGGGATGGAGAGGATGTTGCCGTAGACGAGGTTGTAGCCGAGGGCGACGCCCCAGGCGGGATCGACGAGGAACTCGGCGTGGCGGACGTAGGAGCCGGTGACGGGCAACAGGGCGGCGACCTCGCCCAGGGCGAACTGGACGGCGCAGACGACGAGGCCGATGACGCCGTAGCCGAGCAGGGCGCCCAGGGGACCGCCGGTCTGGACCGCGCCGCCGAGCCCGAGGAAGAGTCCCGTGCCAATGGCGCCGGCGATGCCTATCATGGAGAGATGGCGCTGCTCGAGGCCGCGCTGGAAGCTGCGGTGCTCCTCGGCGGTGACGACGTCGCCGCTGGCAAAGGGGTCATCCTGCGCGGGCACACCGGGCTCCGAGTCGCCGGCTGGAGGCTGAAGCGGGCGTGGGAGGAGGGCATCGTGCTCCGTGGGGATGATGCCATCGTGGTGTTGAACGGTCATGATGCCGTTTTTGCCTGCCGGAGGTGGCCGACCGCCTGCCTCCCTCTCTGCTGGGGTCGAGATGGAATGCTAGCCGTTGGGCGGGGTCAGGCCATGAGTCTGGGGTTGTAGATGCTCTGTTTCTGGTGCCTCTGGGGAATGGGAAGGACTGGGTCTGAGTCCAGATGGATGGAGGTGAGCAGATGATAAGAGCTGGAGGGCAATTGCGCCATCGGAGGTCGACATTTCGAGCCCCACTACCGGGTCACAGTGCAGGATGGGGTTGCACCACGATAATAGAGAACTATGTTCTTTACAGGATTTGTGACATGAAAGATATATATTGCTAGTCTCTACATTAGGCGTTGGGTAGGAGGAATAACTTGAAATTGTGTGTTGAGAGGCGTCAGGATGAGTGAAGTAGGTGTGAAAGTGAGATGAAATGAGATGAGATTGGATGAGATGAGATGAGAGTGAGGATGACGCTTAGAGAAGGCAGATCGGGACGGACCTCTCGCTTCAAACCCGTCCGTTTCCAGCCACGGTTCCTCCCTGCCTAATGTTTAATAGGAATATCGGGAAGGGATTGTCCTCGCCTCAATGTCTCGCGAAAGAACACGAACAATTGATCGACGCTACGCTTAAGCATGTCTTAGCTCCCGGGTACCCCTCTACTGAATGCATTACCATAGTCATGGATGTATTGAGCCGTTCTTGCCGTCATTTCACCTCTTTGTTCTTTTTCGTACTGTTTCTGAGCTGCAAGGGTTAATTTAAGCCCCGTAAAATGAGGCAATGGGTATTGATATATCATATCCCTGACCTCATCTGATATTACTATTGAATGGGAATCCATCCCGGGTCTGACATATAAGACACCCGCCCGTATCTTAAAATAGGCTGGAGCCAGACCGACTAAAGGCTAGACATTAAACAGACAAAGAGCGGTGTTGAGGTGAAAACACCGTCGGATCGTAAAGCAACGAAGGAGGTTGTGTCATTCTATCATGGAGCACCTTGTATGAGCTGAGGGGTCGGATTTTTCTTTTAAACTTAAACACCGCCGTGCCCGGTCCGTCTCTCATGTAAGCGGATGCTCCAAGGTCAAACTCACTGACCATCTATCTGGAATGTACATAGGCCTAGGAGATGACTTGGGACGACATCGTCCGTGCAGTGCGTGCATGCAAGGTTTGATAATGAGATGGTGTGAAACTCCGCTCCGGCTGTGGCGAATGGAATAAGAAACAAGCATGGGACGTACTTATATATCGTATGCGCGCTTTCTTGCTTTACCCTCCTTCATTCCGAGACCTGCGGAGCAATCTACACATACTCATATCCTTCCATGACAGTTCTCGTAAATATGATTCCCATACTCCTCGCCGTCTGTCTCCTTGTCACTTCGGCCACGGCCGTCCCGCAGATCGTCGATCTTTCATACAGACAGTATCGCGGGCAAGAGCTTCAAAATGGGCTCACGCAGTGGCTCGGAATCCAGTACGCAGCTCCCCCGATCGGAGACTTGAGATTCCGTCCTCCCCAGGACCCTCCAGTCGTCCAAGGCGTACAAGATGCATACCACGTACGTTCACCTAATTCCACTCACACAAAGCCTCTGCGACTAACGAGAGCCATGCTTTTAGTACGGCCCTGTGTGCCTCCGCACCGGCCAGGACCCTTACTACAAGGAAACATCCGAAGACTGCCTCTACCTTGACGTCATGGCCCCTTCCAACGCCACGGAGACTTCGAAGCTTCCCGTGATGGTTTGGATCCAGGGCGGGGCCTTCAACGCCAACACCAGACCGCGCTTCAACAGCTCCGGCCTGATCGCCGCGGCCCAGTACGACATGGTGGTCGTCAACTTCAACTACCGGGTCGGCCTCTGGGGCTTCCTCACCAACGGAGGCAGCATCACGGCCAACAACGGGCTCCGGGACCAGCGCAAGGTCCTCGAGTGGGTTCAGCAGCACATCCACAAGTTCGGCGGCAACAAGGACCACGTCGTCCTGGTCGGCAGCAGCGCGGGCGCCGCCAGCGTGAGCATGCACATGATGGCCGACAACGGCACCGACCGCGGCCTCTTCCACGGCGCGACCCTCGCCTCCGCCTCGTACGCCACCATCCTCACCATCGACGAGTCCCAGTACCAGTACAACAACCTCGCCATCCGCCTGGGGTGCACCGTCAAGGACAGCCTGGCCTGCCTGCGGAACAAGACGGCCGTGGAGATCCAAAAGGTCAACACGTACAACCTGCCCCTGCCCCGGGCTGCCAAGCCGCCCCTGTACCAGTGGCTGCCCGTGCTCGACAACGAGTTCATCCCCGACTACCCCTACCGCGCCTTCGCGGAGGGCAGGGTGATCAAGGTGCCCACCATCATCGGGGACGACAAGAACGGCGGCACCGACTTCACCGAGAGGACCACGGCGAGCTTGGTCGACAGCAACCTCTGGATCGCGAACCAGTACCCGACCATCAAGCCAGACATGTTTGGCGAGGTCAACAGGCTCTACCCGAACACCAATAACACATGCCCGAATGCGGGGTGCTACTGGAGGCAGCTGAGCGACGTGTACGGAGACATAAGGTTCATGTGCCCGGCGCTGTTCATGTCGTCGCAGCTTAGGGCGCTGGGCTCGTCCGCATCGTACTCGTATCTCTGGAATGTAGAGGACCCGGCACTCATGAGAGAGGGACTAGGGGTCCCGCATACCGTCGAGACGGACGCTCTGCTGGGGACCCAGTACGGCAAAGAAGGCGCGCCCGAGAGCTACAAGCCGGGAGGTATCAACGAGATGGCCTCGCCGATCATGCAGGGTTACTGGACCAGCTTCATCAGGTCGCTGGACCCGAATAAGTATCGCTATCCCGGGACAGCAGAGTGGCGCAACTGGGAGACGAGATCGCCCAGGCGGATCGTGTTCGGTACGAAAGGGAAGACCGAGATGGAGGAGATCCCTCCTGAGCTCAAGGAGAAATGTGAGTTTTGGGTGAAACATGGGGTCCAAATGCTGCTGTAATTAGCACAGTCTGGAGAAGCCAAAATGAATCGTAAAGAGAGCGTTTTTGTCTTGTTCAATCATTGACTTTCTGTGTAGTAATGTCAAATCCAAATATTAGAACAAATTGTGATCAAACTGGATGCCGTGTCCGCTTGATAATTAGAAACGTGAAGTCCGACCTCTCGTATTCCTACCCCTTGCCTCGTTTCTCGCCTTTCTTCTCAGACCACACATCGGATAAATTGAACCGCCCAAATAATCATGAAACGTTGCTGCTCCCGCTACTGCCACTCAATCCAATGATTCTCCCATCAGCAGGCACTGGAGAAAGTCCAGCGTGGCAAGCAATGTCGTCAGAAGTCCATCCTCGGCAAGCTTAAAGATCTGATGCTTGCGGATCGCGTCCTTGCCGAATTCGCGCTCAATCTCGGGATCATCGTCGTAGTCAAGCTCCTCCCGGAACTGGACCAAGTGGCTAGCAACATCACGGAGTATGTCCGGGCTGAGAGAGGCGAACGCTGGGTAGGAAATCTGAGCATCTTGCGCATTGGGAGTGATGGACGATTCAATCCAGTCCGAGCCGGTGTTGGTTAGGCTGGTCGAGATGACGGCGTTCAGAGTATCGAGGGTCTCCATGGCTCTGAGAGCGTCATTTCCATTTTTACTCTTAAAGGAGTCGAGGTTACCGTTAAAGATGGGATTGACGAGGGTAGACGTGGCCTGCAGCTGGTCTTTGAGAGCGTACAGTTCTCGGCGGATGTTAATAATTTCCGGGCGAGGATCCTGACGACGGCTCTCGACATTGTTCGACTCAGAATCGCACTCGGGAAAGATCATGAACTTCGTCTGGAACTCGGAGAAATCACTGGCACGGCATTAGAAACAGTTGGGGGAGTTACGACAATGACGGGACAGCACATACAGTTTCATAATGGGGAGAAATTCAGTCAGGGTTTCAGAGAGGTCCTCAAGTGCAACCAGGTAGTCAACAAATGCGGCGGCGACGGCTGGTGTGGTCGTATTATTCTCTGAAATGTCATGAGCAAGCTCGGCCTGCGCTCGCACCTCGCCTTGAAGATCAATCATGCAGGGCTCGAGGCTATCCATCCAACCCATCAGCCCGGTGTGCAGAGGAATCTGATCTGCAGCCAGGGCCTGGCCATGTCTCGTCCAGTGTTTGGAGTATGCGGCGAGGATAGGTTCCAAGTCGTCGAAGTGATCGGAGAGGACGTGCAATGCGTCCTGGATTTTGCACACTATCGGGACATTGAACGAGGGAAGGTCGATGATGGTCTGCTGCAACTCTTCCCTTACCTCTTTGACGAGCACGGCCAGATTTTCGAGGACCGCATGATGCTCGACAGGGTTTTCGGATGGATCTCGAACTGTGCCCTCGGAGGTTTCGGATCGGGCATCTCCTTGGTCGTCTTGGTCGTCGGGCCCTGTCGATTCTTCCCTTCTTCCAAAGACATCACTGTCCTGAGACAGAGAAAGCGGGTATTGGGTCGTTGGCAATGGGGAAGTGCCTAGCCCGAGTGTGGCAGGTCGAAGCGGCAAGTCGATTGTGGAGGTGTCATTAGCGCTGTGGGTAGCTGTAACGGTCGCATTCGATTTTCCGGGGACGACTGCCTCTGGATGAAGTGATGATGTAGTTGTTGGTGTATCTGCTGCTGTGGGCGGGGGTGCTCGGGAGCCAACTTTCACGATGCTCGCTTCATCTTCACTGAACTCGTCGTCGGAGGCGGGCAGCGATCGGACTGACAGGTTGCTGTCCAGGTCCTGCCAGTCGTCCTCGATCTCGGGGCGGATGACGTGCGCTGCAGCCATGGACATGACGGGCTTCAACACCTCGTTTGGGGCATGCGGCAAGCGGATGATAACACGCAGTCGGTCGGGTGGGATGGAAACACGGTGCCGGACGATGTGTTGAAGAAGTTTGGTCGAGGTGGAGGAGGGGCAATCGACACGCAAGTAGGTACGCAAGAGCTTCGTTGGTCGAGGGTAGGTACATAGTGAGGCTGACAAGCCACCTCACGTTTCACGGGCTGCTGGACGCCTGAGCTGGACGCCTGAGAGATGGTGCCCTTGGGAGGGAGCCATTGGTGCTACAGGCTCCATCGCTGTGTGCTGTGCTGATGGTGATACGGCAAGGCAGCCACCAATACGCTTTCTGCCAGAACGCCTTTGATCTGCGGGCTGGAGGTTAGTTTGCCCATTTATACTGGACGGCTCGGCGGGCTAAGGGAACTGTACCCACTGGAGCTTGCCCTAGTTATCCTCGGGCCCAGCGGGGTTGCCCCTGGACTATGCCGGGCTTGCAGGGGTCCAGCAGGTTGCCTTTGAGCCGGCAGCCCAATGCGGACCATCACCATCCGCGTTACCACAGGCGAGGCGTCTTCGACTGGATTTCGGTGTGATTTGTTGGTAGTTGCATTTGCATATTAATCTAGAGGCTGGCTTAAATCCCGTCGATCTGTGATTTCATTAGATATCATAATACCTTATGTGAAGAAGTCGTTAATACTGGTGAGTGACAGGTACCCTACGCTTGACCATGTATCTTTCTCTCATCGACCAAGCACTACCCTCTCTTTGCCACATGCCACTTCATAATTGCTTATAGCTAGAAATATATTTTCAGATAAAATATGAAACTTTCAAATCACGCTACATAAGATGCTGATCAACTAAACATGTAGGAATACGAATTTTATGATTCGGTGCGCAGTCTAACGAACTGTAACGTCTCGTTCGTCCCCAGCTAGAGCAGCTATTAATCAATATACTGCTATTCTTTCAAGATCTTTGATACTAAGCATGATGAGTATATCAAAGTAATAGACTTAGCCTAATAGTCTAGGAATGTAGACTCGGATTGTAATCTTCCCTCTTATATAATCGTGATCTCACATTCTGGCAGGACCTGAAGAGCTCCCCTTGCTTCCTGTTCAGACGGCATCAAAATTTGCCACATTCCACAACGTGTGTAGAATCCACTGTCAAGCTTGAAAAGAGCCATCCCGTACATGTAAACTTCGCGGGCCTCGTTTAAGGTCGGAGTCAAACAGATCGGAAGCAAAACAGTCTGAGTCTGCTTCTTCATATCCTCTTCGGTGTCAAAGCGGATATACCACTCGTACAGGTGACCGGCGTCCTCCGGTGGCTTTACAAGACAGCCGCCTGAGTTACCGTCTGTTAGCTCCAAGACGTTCATCTGGGTGCCATATCTAGCTGTGAGAACATATTGAGGCAGGCCATAATCGTTGTAGTCGTCATAGCCCAGCTTCGCAGTCAGTAACTTCCCCTTCAGAGTGAGTCTACCAGATATAACTGAAGTCATCTCATTCGTAGTGCAGTTGGCATCAATGAAATCACAGAGGTCGCCATTCACAATTCCCTCCACCTTCCGGTTGTCATATTGAATGACACCGTTGACGGCAGCCCAACTCCATGAAGGGCCTTGAGACTCTGTAGGTCGTCGATCTGCAACATCATCCACGGCCCAGACGAGGGCCTTAGGCAATGTGGCCTTCCACATCCCAGCAAGATATGTATCATCACATCCATATCCCTGAAGTTGAGTCTTTGTACCTACGACAGCACTGTCAACACAATTTAGCCTCTCCTCTGGTGCTGTCGCAGTACACTGAGTAGACGTGCGCAAAAGGTTAAACCAACGATCCAGAATGTATGATTGAGGGTCGGCGTTTGCCCAGTACAGTGGCAGGACCATGACAATTGGTTTCCAAGTTGGTTGTGGCAGCAACATGTCAATATCTTTGTTGCTCCCCTGTACTAAACCTTGATATGACTTTGGTAGGAGCACCATGTTCTCTGGGGATATCTCACTGCATTGGGCACCATGACACTCCCAGTATACAAGTGAACTTGCAAAATGGACCATTCTTGGCGTCAAGAGACGTTCTCGCAGCCCCTTTGCACTTTTAACCAAAGGCTCATCTCGAAAGCTTGTCAGATTTGGATTATCGAGTTTCACCAAGCCTTTGGTCCCGTCCGCGTCAAGTTGTACCTGTAGTATGGTAGGCACAAAGAGCTCTGATTTGCGCTCGACGAATAAGCCGGAGGAAGGCACAACTGATCCCGTAGCACCGATTCCGCAGAAGCTGTTTGAGAAAACATTCTTCACCTCTTCGTGAGAGTGCGATTGCAGCCCGTCTTGAGGAATACAGAGGTGGTCGATCCATAGATGACGAAGACCTAAACGTGCAACCACAGTAAATGCATCCCTGTAAGCCAATGGAAGGGTTGAAAGACTTTGTGGACGAGAAGGAGTCTCTAGTGTAGACGTCGTGAGTCGCAGACTGTTCTCTTCCAACCTATAACAGTGACTAAGCGTACAGTAGCGCACACTGGCTCGGGATTGAGGATCCATTTGGTCGGCCGATACAAGGTGAAATAATCCTTTGGCCTCATCCAACTGGAGAAGATATTGTGGTATGAAAGGAGTCGTCTGACTGCATTGTTGATGAGATTGAACACAAGTATCCACCCATCTCTGGACGAGAGCTAATGTAGCCGCATCCCCAGTTGATGGGCTGAGCTTGAGATTAAAGTCTCGGGTTGAGGCTACAGTTTTGTTAATTACTCAGGCTGGATGCACGGGTAAGAAGATCAAATACCGTTGTACACCGTCAAAGATAGGCCACCTATGTATGTCCCAGACTTGAATATGCCCATGATAGGATTGTTTTTCCCAAGGTAGATAGTAAACAAGGAGAAGTACCCCATAAAAGTTTGATCAATGTCCTGGCTCCCATGCTCAGACCTACAACACAAGATGCAACCTTGAGCAACAGACCGGTTGTAGGACTCTAAAGTCAGGTGGTGACCAAACATGTATTGCGATGGGTGCTGATTTGCATTACCCAACTCAGTGGGCAGAGGGATGCGAGTCTTGCTGTCATTTCCAAGGAAATTCTTATTAAACTCTTTGATCCCGCATACTCGCTTCGTCTGGGAGGGGTCCCAGATGCCCGTAAGACCCTCACGGCAGATGTTACAGAGCATAATGAAGAGTATTTGGTATCAAGCTTCGATAAATCTCAGGTGGAATGCGAGTAAAGGCATGCAAGAAAGATCATGCGAAAGAGTTATGACCTGAAGGAATGGGAGGTGACACTCAAGTCAGCAGATATTTATACAGTAACTCACTTATGCTATATGGTCGCTCTAACCAGGTTGAGAACTGGTTGTTGGTAGAAGTTATGCTTATTGTACCTAATGCAGCAATGAATGCAAGGCAGAAATTTGTTGGGCTGATTGCCCCGCTGAGTATGTATTGTTGGTGCTGACATGCATTCGGATACAGAATCCAGTGAAAGCTACAAAGTGCAGAGTGGTTACTTCTAAGTAACTAGGGGTATCTCTCTACTTTACATAAGTCCCTATACGGATCATTGCTGTTGAACACGACTTCTCGACTTCATCAGAATAGGGTCAAGTCAAACCGGGCGTGTTCGGGGGTCCTGCTGACAGCAGAATGTCTTCGTATATTGCACCTCTCGGGAGGTTGTACTCTAACTCAAGAGTAAGAACTTACTGGCTGGTAAAATTTTTGATGTAGCACCTAGACTAGATAGCTTGTTTGACCTTTGTGAGCAGTTGCTGTATACATAGAGCCAATGTACCTTATATACTAAACTATAGCGAGGCAAAACAACTCGGAGAGGTGGTCTAATGGTAATGACGCTGTCAGCTTGTAATAGCCCAGTTCCACGCCCGGATTCTCCTGGGCGTGGAACTGAGAACCCTGACTGATAGAGATGGGGGTTCGAATCCTCCCCTTTCTGTTATTTTTCTGTATTTTGCGTTTTTTTTGTCTTCATATACCTAAAGTACCTAAGTTCCATCATGGAGAGGCGGTACAGTAGCTGCCTAGTACCTATGACACTGGCGGAAGACTATATAAAGACCTGGATGCCCCAGGCCAAAAACATCTTGAGTGTTCAGCTCTGTGCCTGAGGTCCTCGTAGAGCCAGCTTCTAGGTAGCCATCAGTCTGATATTGCTAGAGGCATATGGTTAAATCTTCTTCAGCTAAAAATTACTATATCTATATCTATAGATCTATCTGAATAAGTTATTTTAACTCTTATTATATCTAGCATTTAGATCTTATATTTTAATATAAGAATATTATCTTCTTATTCCTTATATCTATATATTTATACTAGCGATGCCCTTGTAAGTATTCTTTATATATTTTAGCTATTATATATACTTGATCCTTCTCCCCCTCTACCACCACTTTTATCGCAGCCAGACAATAGAAGAAACAGCTATACATTCATCAACTTAACGTTTAAATCGTTTCAGCAAGTGCTTAGTCAAGCCACCGGTACACCGAATAACCAGATCGCACAGTATAATGGCGACTGCAATAGTAAATAAGACGGATAGAAACTACACCACGTTAGTTATTTTCAACCGGAAGTCAACAACAGAGAGATCAATCCAGTACCTCAAGGACTCAAATCAGACACAATTTGGCAGGATATCGAATATTTTATCGATAGTACCCGAACGAATGCAGTTTCCTAAGCGCAATCTCATATAATTTGCAGAAATCTTAGCCAAATGTTCTGAGGAAGCGCAGTACAAAGGTGGGTGCTGCTTTTGTCCGATGCGGAGAGATTTCAACTCTCCAGTTCATTAGAACCATGGCTTGCTGCGCTCCGTGACAAATTAATAATGCGGTATTGCTGTCCAGTTTGTTCTGATAAGCTGGAGGTCTGCCAGGTTTGCAATTAGCTGGTAAGCTCCTCGCTGTGTATTATGGGTACCCTCTTGTCAGCTTACGAAATAATGCCCCCCCTGGAAGCAAGGCAATATTCTTTTCGCTTAACTACCTATATAGAAAAACATCACATTTTCTCAATATATCACGAAGAGTTTTGTACCATCGCCATGTCTCGGACGATCTTCTCCAGCTCAATTTACCAAAGTCTCAATACAAATACAACCCAAATCCGTCTCATCGATATCCTGCCAACGCTGGACGAGGGCGGGCGGGTGCAGTGCAAAATCCTTCATGCCTCGTTGGACAGCCGGGCAGTTGGGTACACAGCTCTGTCCTATGTCTGGGGAGATCCATCAATCACCAAAGAAATCATCATCGAAGATGCTATTTTCAATGCTACTGCAAATCTCGCATCAGCCTTGCAGTTTATGCAGGCTTCACTGCCAAGGCTCCCGGATGGGAGCTGTTTAGTATGGGCTGATGCCATTTGTATCAACCAGACAGATGACCTGGAGAAGACTTCTCAAGTGAGAATGATGGATAGGATATACAAAGAGGCAAAGGAGGTAATAGCTTGGCTCGGGCCAAGTAGCGACGAAGTTGGATTGGGACTCCAGTTGCTCAACGATATCGGAGGAAACATGAGAACGGTAGAAGTCTCCGAGTTGATGCGCCGATATCCACAGTACTGGGAGGCGGCCGATCCCTCACCGCCAGCTTACAATAAATACTGGAACAGCCTGGATAGATTCCTAGATTTGCCTTACTGGAAGCGCAGCTGGACTATCCAGGAAATGGTTCTCCCACGCACCCTATGGTTTCAGTTCGGAGACAAGACCCTCGGATGGGAGACTCTGAAAGGAATGGTTGCTCTACAGATGGCAGTAAGTCGCGGTATGGTTAAAATCCCTAATCCACGCTCAAATCTCGCGGTGCACCTTGAGATGGGTTCGCAAGCCTACCTTCCCCTGCGACTGGTCAACCACTGTAAGGTTCTGCAACAGCAGCCACTTGATGATTCTCAGCAAAATCTGGTACTATTCTCCGAAACTACGGGCCAGTTGGCCACAGATCCTCGGGACAAGTTATTCGCTTTCTATGCCCTCAATATCAGCCCGATAGAGCCCGACTATACCAAGGATGTTCGGCAAGCGTACGGCGCAGCGGCAGCTTCTTGGATGAGATCTGGAGGGTTGGACCCTTGTTTAAAGTTTTCTGGTCTCTGTTACGGTGATCATTCAAACCTCAAGCTTCCTTCATGGATCCCTAACTGGGATGCACTGGCCCAGCCGGATGTTGCTGTAGCGAGGCAGCTCAACGACAACTTTGGAAATTATGAAGCCAACAAAGGTCTCCCGGAAGGAGTCACGGGGGTGGATGACGAGTTTACGTTGCATGAGGTTGGAGTCATGCATGGCACTGTTGACTGGATAGGAGGCGATCCTACAGAGGCACAGCAACAAGGCGTGAATGGATTCCAGAATTATCTGGTTTCTATAATGGAGAGCTTCACAGGTGCGATTGATCAAGCGAAGAGCGCCATACCCCCTTTGCAGCTCATTCTTCGAACCATCACGCTGGATAGAGTGGAAAGCACAAACCAGATAATCGCGGGGACTGAGAAGCTATACAAAGATTATGGCCGCGTGGACCAGCTTTGCCGAGCCTTTCTGAATGTCCTTTCGAGGACTCCCGGAAAGAGTCCAACTCTCGAAACCATGACAAGGAGTCTTAAGCTATGCCAACGATGGGGCTATGATCCTCAGCAGGAGACATTAGTCAACTTTTGCCGGAGACAAATTTTCTGGGGCCATGAAGTTCCGGAGGCCATAACGAACAGGCAGTTCCTTGACCCGCATTACATGGAGGTGGATTCAAGTGCTCAAATGTCGATCTATATAAACGCCAGTAGAGGGCTGTTCTGTGGTCGTGTCTTTCGTACCTCGGATGGGAGCGTAGGTCTTGGCCCCTTGAATATGCTGCCTGGGGATCAACTCTACGTCTTGAGCGGCTGCTCATTTCCAGTTCTCTTGCGCAGGATGCCATCTGAAGCTGAGGGGGCTTACTCATACGTTGGCCCTTGTTTTGTCCACGGTCTGATGTACGGCGAGGTCGGGGAGGCAGTAGCTGCTGAGGTAGCAGAGCTAGATGTTCTTGAGATTCGATAGACCACGCTCCAGCGAGAAAATGGAGAAGATGCAATAGAAAGGCTCGAAGATTTTGCCTATACTGGCTTGTTTTTATCTTGTATACATGCAACCATCACTGTGAGTATTTTTCCCCCCTTTTTTGGGGGGGGTTTAGAACACATACCGTAAAAATAGTAGCCCTCGGTCTAACAGCAATGGGTTGAGAACAAAGATGAAGAATAGGTAGCAGGCCTGCCAAGTTATCCATTCATAGGATTGTATGTGTGGTAGTGGCTGATATAGAGTAGTCGTTGCCTGCCCCCTTCTATCGACTAAAGGAAAGGTTGCCAGCCATTGATTTGTTTTTGTCATGATTGATTTGCATCATTTATTCAACTGCTCGGTATAACCCTTTTCCGCTTCTGTGGGTCTTGTACTGTGGCATCAATTGTTTATTTTTGTCTGGCACCGCCTTTCTTCCTCTTCTAACTAATTCCTGAAGCAATTCGAACTCCAACATGGCCGCACATATTTACATCAGCTTGCAGGGTACATCATTCTGTCTTCTTATAAATACAGCGACGCTAACGCACTGAGGAACTGTCTATCGCTGTGCCAAACGTATCGCCGAAGATGACAGGATGCTGGAGCGATATTCAAACACCCTCCAAGGCACAGTGGAAGGTCAGTCCATAACTGACACCCATACTTGACGAATAATTCTAATAGGCTAATAGAATCCGCATTGGACACAATATACTCAATATTTGCTGGGGATTGGCGTCAGCAAGAGGATATTGTTGACCCATTTGTTGATAGACGAGGTAAACTGATGATCAATACCGTGTGGATTTTTGATCTCGATAACGATCTCCTCCGGTTTCATAAAAAAGATCACTACACTTCAGTACCTCTCAGCCTTCTCCGTCAGCGTCCTATTTCCGTCTGTGATTTCAAGCCTTTCAAGCCACCAACTTCTATTCAAGCTCTTCGACCCCCTCGAGCATCGCAATGCATAATGCGGCGTACTGGGATCTGCCAGGATCGCTTAGAGCGGCATAAGGCTCTGGTTCAGAAGATGTTGGCTGACTTTGCACATCAATGGAGGCACGTTCTTTCTGGCCGATTCAACCACTCAACGTTCAGAAGGCTCGCTTATGCTATCATCAAGATTGTGACGCTAGATTTTGAAGTGGAAGAGATTACGGCCCAACGCCAAGGAATCGGCGGCTTCTTGGTCTGGTTGAACAATCTTCCGGAGTGGGAGCCATTCAGTGGACATATTGTACGAGTAGGCGGGGCATCTGTTGTTTTATCACAGCACCCTTGCCATGCAGTTCATCTTATCCGAGAAGACTTCCAACAATACTGTGTTTCAAAACCAGAAGATGACATGTCCGTGGTCGGCGATCGGACTTACCTTGTATTGTCTGTAAGAGAGGTCAGCCTGTATCGGATGAATTCCAGGAGTGAAAGGTGTACGGCGGCCGAGCGTTTGTTTGACGGTACCCTCCCTCCCTCGGATGCGGCCATTGATCAGCTTCTGCAAGCCACGCATAGTGTCAGCCCTGTGACAACACTTCGAGGACTTCCCACCGAGTTACAAGAGAAAGTCGTGGATAATTTGGCAGCAGGCCCAGTTGAGAGAGCGAGAATGCGTTGTATCCTTGATATCGGTTCACCCTTTACCTGGTGGAGTGGAGGTCGAAGCATAGAAAGGGAAGAGGGCCGGAGAAACCGAACCTCCTCCTCCCCCGTGGAGTGGCACATATGTTTTGAAAAGGCTTTTAGTGGGCTCGCATATAAGTGATAACTCGAGGAAGCGTTCTTTCAGTTGCTAACATAAATTAAACACTTCCATCTGCCTTGATTCCATACCCTGATCCTTGAAGAATGAGCTTGTCATTTGCTCATGTAAGTAACATTCCCCCATAAATCTGTACAGATGATCTTTTAGTTCCTCGGCACCTTCAAAACACCAATCGTACCCTTCAAATTTGCTTTCTTGCCGCACCGGGCGTACCACAAAAGGAAGACGAGACCCGAAAAGCGCAATGATAATGTCACCGGAACGTACGTCAGGCGAGCACAGACCCATCCGCTCATCCTCAGTGATAAAAAAGCATTTACCCACGCCGCGGCATTGTAGTGGAAATAATTTGGGTTGTGGGACAGGCCTTTCAAATAGTTCGCCTTTTAGGGTCTCGGCAATCCTTGGTGGAGGAAACATAAAGTGAGGATCGTTCTCTCCCCAGCACATTGCTATGCTCGTCGCCATGGTTTTGTCACTCCAGGGACCGTTGGGTACTGTATCATCTTGATGGTCCAAGGAGTCCTCGCCGCGGTAGACTGGGCTCAGGAGAAGAGTCTCCAGAAAGTCTCGGAACATCAGCTCATCTTTTCCGTTGTATCTCCCTCCTTGCCTGCCTAACCATTCTTGGGAGCTGAGTGTTCCGCCTTCTTCGTCGTCGATGATGATGGTCGGTGATTCGCTTTTGCTAATCATCGACCAGAGAAGAGGAATGCCGCCTTTAAATACGCCACGATTGTAGGGATGAGTCAAAACCATAGCGGGCATCGCTCGATCTGTCTTCATGTCCCTTTCTAATACTTCTGTTCCCCATTTTTTAGATAGGAACGAGTTCTCAACAGTAGTTTGTATACATATAAGAGGCATTTGGAAAACGGACTTGACCTTTCCAATCCGTATGCCACCGAGGCTTATTAATCGGTGGGTTAGGTCCTCAGGAAGTTTAATCACTGGATGAGTAGCGAGCTGGAAGAGACGAACTTCTCTCTGTGTAGCTAGGTCAAAGTCTGGTTCTTTCGCTAGGCTGCCCTGAGTCCAGATTCCTCCACCTGTAGGCCAAACGGCCCAACAAGGGTGGGATCTGGCATCAAGATATGACTGGGAAGGTGATTCATGAGCCCTCAATCTGACCAGATCATCTGGCAGGATTCGACGAGGCCCGCTGGCAAGTAGACCCAACACATCAAGATTCCCCGAGTATCGAATGCACCATATGGTGAAGTTGGAAAAGACTTCGTTCACAGTCTTGTTGTAATTCGGAGCCAGGTCTTGCCTCGATTTCGTACCATTTTGGGTCTCAAGGGCAAAGTCGAGTAGCGCGTAGAGCTTGTCGCGTGGGTCTGTAGCTTCAAACTCTGTATAAGTATGCTCGAAGATGTTATATAGCCTTCCCAGCAAGGTGCATGTTCGCCTGTCGTGTGGCCTCTTCTCGCCGTTCTGCTGTTGGAAATCTCTCATGTGAAGCAATTGTTTTCGAAGTATTGACCCCCAGGCGACCGGAAGAGTGGGTTTGCCGGTGAAATACTGAGTTTCCCGCAACTTATAGCATCTCTCAGCAACAAGTATATAGCTCAAAGGAACTTGTGCGTTGGTAATATGGATGAAAGTCAACTGCGGGTTGCACGAGGCCTCCTGAAGAACCCAGATTCGACGAAAATATGGGTTGTTGAAAAAGCGTTCCAAGACTTGGAGACAACCCCCCGGACCCAAGTCTTCGTCTCCGAAATTGTATCCACCAAAAGAGAGAAATGTCCAAAGTTGTTCATCTTTTGGATTCAAGATGTCGAATTCATCTCCATACCTCTCAGACATCACCCTTACGAGGCCCATAATGACGTGCAACCCGCGCATGACATCTTCATCCTCGCCCATCCAAATGAATACGAGCATGGCCTGGGAGTAGATACTCCTCATTATCCCAACCTGGCTGTTTCTTTCTTCAATATCACTTTGGTTGATACACAAAGCATCTACCCACAGGGGCTGGTAATCAAACAAAGGAAACCTTTCCTCGATCTGAGCTTTCGACTTTCGGAGGCTCTTTAGGGCCTGGTAGAGCGACTCTGTTACATTAAATGTTTTCTTAGTAGTCACATTGACAGCAACGAGCTGGACTCCGTCTTCAGGCTCTTGGACGATGCTATCATCCGGTTGGTCGAAACTGTGGTGGACGAGACTGATGCTACGCTGCCGCGCCATGTCTCCCCAGAAGTACGACAAAGCGATGTACGCAATACGACCGGTTTTGGCGATTGGGTCGCTCAACACGCAGACAAGCTCCTCATCGTCGTTGTCAACGTCCTTTGGGGGCAGTACCTGTAACAGCCGAATATTTTCTTTACCAGGCTCGGTGCTTAGTGACTTATACGACGAATAGTCGTTTGTAATTCGTCTCTTTGCGATCTCAGTTCCGTCTTCGATATCTGCAGGTATCATCTTTGCCGTTTGCATCGCGTTCTGACCGAGTTCCTCAGATCCAGGCTGACGTTCAGTCTGAGGTTCCAGTAAAAGTTCATCCATGGAAAATGCCGTCGTCAATCAATCTATACCGTACCAAAGTGAAAACACGTTCATTATGGGAGGATTAACGAGTGACGAATGTACTCGAGGGTTAGTGGAGAACATTTGAGGGAGAGTTTAGTGTGGTCTTATTTCAATGCTGACAAGCTTTTTTGCTGCGCATCCACGCTTTTGCCACTGTATGACGCGTTTCAGGCATTTGAAACATGTAGCGTTGTCGTATTAATAGTAAACGAGGCAGCCGTAAGGCGGACACATACAAAAATCTCCCAGCCACTTGCCTGATAAAACTATTCCAAAATTTCCCTTAAGAATAAGAATTTAGGCTCTCTTTAAAAGATGGATTTCCTTCATATAAAAAAATGTACAGAAAATCTCCATTGACGCACCACAGACCTTGAGCTTATATGATTTATTTTGCTGATGCCCCGGAGCTACCATCCTACTTGGGATGCTCTGTAAATAATTACTTTAAATCCAAGGCCTTGATTAAGTTTTGAATTAGTCTGTAAGCGGGATATGACCATGGAAAGCTTTTCCTCGCCAAGTCTAAAGCTGTAATGCCATCCTTTTTTGCAATCCGTGGATCTGCGCCATGCTCTATTACGCACTCCACGGTGGTAAAGTAGTGCTCGCTGACTACTATTGGGGGTGATAGAAGTACCAGTAAAGGTGTTTCTCCCTCGGAGTTTTGAGCATTAATGTCTACACCCAGAGACAGTAGCTTTTCTATTGATTCTCTCATAGATTCCTTTGATGTCGACCAACGCTGCTTGAGGCGCAACATATGATGCAGTATGTTGGATCCGTCCGAAAACACGGTGAGAGGATTGGCCCCGTGATCGACAAGGTGCCAGAGCGTGCGGTCCTCCATCGGCACTTGAAGTAAGTTGGTCGTGTCATGAGGCACAAGCCCAGATGACACGCAGTGAATTACTATGTCGTCATACAGACCATTGCTCCATTTCAGCAGATATGAGAGAAGTTCCGACTTGTCAAACTGGATAAGATGGCGGCGACGTTGAATGATAAGAGCCAAGATAGGATGTGGCGAGCATCCTTTGAATAGCAATGGAAATGAACGTGCTAAAACACTCGCAATATCCTCAAATGGCTGGTTGAGGGGATTTGGATCATCTCCGAGGAACCTATATCTGTCGACCTTGATCAACTTCTGTTCAGGATCAATGCAGAAGCACCCACTTCCAAGTAGGAAGAGCGCAACGCTTTGATAAGGGTCCAATCGATATCGGGTTTTGTAGAATCCAAGCAGAAACTTCACAACCTCCTTTTGCCTTTGATCAACTGCCATATGCAGTGCAAGAAGACCGTCTTTGTTTTCGACTTTTGCTTCCACACTGAGTCCTTTAGCGATGAGTGTTTCAACTAATGGAAGATGGCCTCCCAGTGCTGCGAGATGGAGCATGTTGAGACCTTTTTCTGTCACTTGGAAAGGATTTGCTCCGCGCAGAATTAGTTCATTTGCAAGCTCAAAATGGCCAAACGAGGCCGCTATCAGAGCGGGTGTCCCTTCTGGGGAGGTCGCGTCGAAATGGTCAGACATATCAAACGAGAAAAGCTCCCGAGCAATCCACTTGTCGCCAAGGTAGGCCGCAACGTGAAACGCCGACCTTCCCTGGTGAATTTTGAAAGGTGAATCCCTGCGCGTCAGGAAATATGACCTGATACAGTCCAGATGGCGTGCCAGCACAGTAAGCTGGAGATTCTCACACGACCTTCTGCTGATCCCACGATCGTTTTCCTGGCAGGAAGGGCACAGAAGCTCTTCACTAGGTCTCTCCTCCGTATCCCTCCGGGGAAGACATATGGCCCAAGCCGCCATAGGAGAAGTCAACGATGAAGGAGATTGACTCCTTCTTGGGGGCGAGTATCGCCTCTTCCTCTGTACTGGGAAGGGCGCTTCCAATTTCTGGAGAAGTTCGATCATCTCCGGGTTATCATCAAACTCAATTATATCTGCTGTGGTCCTGTTGAAGAAATCACGTCGGTATAGGTTTGCACACCGGGAGTGTAGCAACGTTGCGAATGCAACATGGCCTTGCCGGACTGCATGGAACACCGGGGTGAAGCCAATGCAATCTCTCAGTTCAATATTGGCACCTGCGTCCATCAGCGCCTTGCCGATCATCGTGTTTCCGTAAATTGCTGCATAGTGTAGAGGTGTCCGTCGATCTATATCCCGGACGTCGATGATAGGCCGTTTCTCCGTTATGTATTTGGCCAAAACTGAAGGCCATTCCCAAGTTGCAATATAATGAAGAAGTGAGAGCCCTTGCTTGTCTCTTCCAAACTCGCGTGTTGGACTAAGTAGCATCAGCTCAAGGATTGCTTTTGCACCCGAGTTGGCAGCAACGTGCACTGGAGTTCGCCCATATTTGTCGCGGATGAGAATGTTGGCTCCCTCCTTGAGCAAGAATTCGACTGCCCGTAAGTTTCGATGTTCAGCTGCTAGATGCAAAGGGGTACTGCCGTCGAAATCTTGCACGTTAATCAAACCCCGTTGAACTTTGGAAAGGTTCGACTCAGCGTAGCTCCAACCCGAGAACGCCGCCCAGTGCAGGACCGTCCGTCCTCGCGTATCCTGTTCCTGGCTTTCTAGTCCAAAATTGATTCGAAGGTGCTCAAGCATATCAGCCCAGTCTTGTTGTGCACAAAGGTTCATCAGGTTGAATCGGCCTTCGTTACTGAGGCGTACAACATCGGCCCGAGGTACAGACGAAAGCAATTCCTTCAGTTCTTGCTGATTTCCGAAGTACGCCGCTCTAGTAAGCATGTTCATTCCATCTTGGCCAAGAGTGAACATCTGGGACCGATCTCTGGAGACTAAAATTTTGCGCACCTCCGTCCAGCCCTGAAGACTGGCGAGGGCTAGAGCGTTTGTTCCATTGCTGTCAGTCGCAGACACATCAAGCTTCCCTCCTAGGCTACGGTTCAGAAGCTGCATTGCAGCCTGATACCCATCACCTCTGCCAAGGGCATATATCAAAGGTGATACCCCATCCGCATCCAGAGCATTTACATCAAGGTCTGCCCTTTCCAGCAGGGGCGGGAGTAGATGCACAAGTGGTTGGCCGTGAGAAATGATACTGTGCAGTACGGTACGGTCTCTCATCCCTTTGCAGTTGATGTCTACCTTTAGGGACGATATGAGTAGTAGAAACGCCTTCTCATCTTCGATTGAGAGGTGGAGTGGCTTGCTCCTATCGGCGAGGCCAATATTTGGATCGACTCTGTGATTGAGAAGTAGGAACTTCATGAGCTGAGATCGACTTTTTCTGACCGCCCAGGCTAGCGGAGTGTACCCTGATCCATCGATCTTATTCAAGTCTCCATCAAAAGCCTTGAATATTTCTAGGAAATCTCCTAACTGGACTAGGAGATGCATTGGAGGGCAGTTGATCTCTAGGTCCGGTTGCAGACGAAGTCCATGGTTACGAAATTCAAGATCGAGTTTTGAATAGAGTTGGTAGAAAATTTTCAGATTTTCTTCCGTAAAGAAACCGGCCGCGGACTGAATAACTTCAGGCTCATCTTGGACCTTTTCTAAATGGCTGTTAAAATTTTCAATAGCGTATAGCAACAGAGGCAGTTGTGGTATATTAGCGGAGAGAAATTGGCTGTCCTGGTGAAGATTTGCGCTTTTCTGGTCTCGTTTGAAAACTACGATCTCACCGCTGTGTTTCTTCCAGTCCATGAAGGTGAGAACTTTGAAGCAAACCCAATTCGCAAAATACTCGCAGCCCAGGATTGAGGAGCGAAATTGCCTTATAAGCTCTTCATCCATGGTATCCATCCTTTTCTGCGTCAAAAACTCTCGGAAAGAATGATGCCGGAACTGCACTGAGCCTACTGAATCAACCGATAAGAAAGGCGTGCTGAATCTTCGTAGCACTTTCTCGAAATTGAAACTAAAGTTGCTCTGGACCTGTTCGTAAGACCGATGTTCTTCACTGATGGAGACAGCAAACTGAATGTCGTTGATAGATAGTGGCCTTCGAGCAACAGTGAGAAGCATGAATATTTTCTTCAGAACTGGCCGGAAATCTTTGGGTACGTTGGCAAGAAGACTTGCGTAGAGGTGTCCGAGGTTGAATTCGAGTTCATCGAGTTCCAGTAGCCTGGCCTTCACCGTAGATGGGCTCCAAAGTGATACACCCTCATAGAAGGCAGTCCAACTCAGAGAGGCGATGAGAAAGTTGGTGTTAGACCGGGCTGTTATACCTGCTTGTATTTCAGGCAACACATGTGGAGGGATAGAATGTTCTTGCCCGAACTGCGTGACTTTTTGTTCAATATAATGTTGCACAATCTCATGCATCTTCTCTGAGTCGAGACATAAAGAGTTTGCGATATGGGCAAACTGTGAGGCAATACCTGATCGGTTAGAAATCAGAATATGTATGCGTCTGCTAATATCATTGACAGATATTTTCCAGATGGAATTCAGCAAATCCTCTGCTGCGGTTGCGGGAAGCTCGTCGACGGCATCAACGATTAACCAAAACCGAGTGTTGCTTGCCCACAGCATAACGTCGGATATATTTGATGTCAATTCCTGACTGGTTAATTTGACAATATCAGCATTGTCCATCTTGTTTCCCAAATGTTTAATAAGACCCGATTGTGCCTGGAGAATCTGGGACAGGGTAGATCTCAAAACAAGACAAGCAGCAGTCTCATCTAGAGTCACTTTCCCATCACAGAATATGTAGGAAACAACATCCGAAACATTAGTGGCTTGTTCTTTTTCCGGTCGTTGCCGCAAGAGGTCGATGACATATTTGACTAGAACAGACTTGCCTGAGCCTGGAGAACCATGAACCCAAAGCCAAGAGCTTGTGCGAGCATCAAACCAGTTGAGGAATGTAGTATCCTGCTTGATCCAATCACAAGTCCCTGGGGCGGCATCAGGGGTAGCATGATACTTCATCACAGGGTCAAAAGCTCCATTGCTCGGATTCAGTTCTTGGAGAAGTTTCGTATAATTCACTGGCGACGAGTCTATGTTTTCCCACATGTTAGCAGTTCAAAACATATCGCTGATCATAGAACATCTACCATAGATTCGATACTGTAGTCTTTTATCATTAATAATGTAGAATCTCTCGACTTACTCTGTGGGGCGGATTGTTCAGATGCACACTGATCAACCAGCTCTTCCAGGCAGCTTAAAACCAGCGTGTATCCAGGATCACTCGATGTTAGAAACTTGCATATGTTCCGATGATCAGCCTCTAAGGGCAGAGGAACTTCGTTTGGAAGTCGGAGGATAGCAGAATCTGACTCAACAACCTAGAAAAAAATAGTAAGAAATCCAACAAAACCCGCATATTCAGCGTAGGATAGACCATACCAGAGACTTGATGTGCTTCGTCTTGACTCTTTCGTAGAAAGTAAAAATTCGGAGACCGACGGTTCTTTGGAGAAACTGGTCCTCGATATCTTTAAGAACTCGCGACTGCGGTTCCAGATCGTTAAGCAAGCCAATGCGGACAGAATCTGAAATGAAGAGATTGGAAACTTTCCCAAGCATCTTCGCCCAAGTGGCTATATCTGATCCTCGATGAGGTGTTCCGAGAAATATGACCGACTTGATTTGAGCCAGGAGGCTCCCGTATCTTGACTCGTGATCATGAGCCAGGCATAAGCTCTGGTGGAGATCAAATAAGTATTAGTAAATGAAGAGAGACTTGCATAGTTTCCTCACCTTTTTAAATATAATTCCACCTAAGCTATGGCATATGAAGATGAGCGGTCGCTGCAATATCCTTAACTCTTTAAACTTGCTAATTTACGAAGGGTCTGTGTTCGCTAGCTTACGTGGTCGGGGACGTTTCTTCGTACACTGAGAAGACGCTCTAGTAGTTCTCTTGCAAAATCACCGATCTCAGAGACAGTCTTGGCAAAGGTAGTCTTGGATGAATAGCCGAAGGTGAATATGCGAGCTTCCGGGATGGTGGAGGGAAGAAAGTCACGAAGCCAGACACTTTTACCGCTTCTCCAGGTCTTTATTGGGTGGCCACCAAGTCCGTGGATGGCGACTATACTATTGGAAGGGTAAAACATGAATTTAGAATTTGATTACTTGCTTGAATGTATGAGAGTAGGGGTGGATATACTCAAGGATGGTCTGGACGGCGACATCGGATTTGGGCCAGAGCTGGATCAGCCCAATATCGCCAGGGGTTAGAGCCTCCATGTCTGCCAACAGTATCGGGCTACAAACAATGCGACTTTGTTCATGATTGAGGGATATCCAATTCCTGATTCTCAGGTGAGGGGAGCTGACTACATGTAGGTAAGAGGAGCATATACTGTCTTATCCAATTGCATTTCGATATTGTGACCAGGATTATGCAGCTGACGGAAGAGACTTATAGGCCCATAGAGACAGCGATCCCCATTCGCCACTCCCCCAAAAGCGGTAGAGAAACAGGGCCATTATAAAAAATTTACTCGCATTCAGCCTCGGAGACGATGAATTGAACTGACAGGTAGCGAATGCGTCGTTTTGTCATACCACCACCATTTTGGGATTTAGCTAAAACTATCAACTCAGATCATGATAAATACAAAATCAGATGAGACAGGTTGTGGATGGGCGTATAAACCTGGAGGATGTCGCGAAGTGTCTCGACAAACAAATCGCACCGATGCCTCGGTAATTATTCTTGAGGTAACTGACCCTAAAGAGCCACGCGAGTACGTCTCTGGTGATACGATGATGAAATTTTCCAACGACAAGGGGATCAAGAAAAGACATAGATCAGTTGATGCCAACCTAACTAAGATAATAGGGTGATCGCTCAGTTTCAAGGAATATATTGGAAATTTTGTCACGAGTATTCTAGACAATAACAAGCCGGCAAATCCCCCTCCTTCTCTTGCAAGGCTTGATGTGGGTTGTCAATGCGCGTTTCATCAAAATACCTACCTTTTTAGGAGGGGAGCAGGCCCAGAGGCCTAACCAAGCAGAGTGACATCAGTGCATGGGCTCAAAAAGGAAACACGTAAATTTCTAAGATGGCAATTAAGGCGTTCCTATACCAGAACGTGCCCTTTCACAGCAGCCTGGAGCTCATAGCTCCTACGAGTTGATATCCTGGGACCTGCTTCGGCTACACGCTTCGAGAGACCTACGAACCAATCTCCCAAGGGATAAAAAACAATTTAAGGATCTATTTCATAGCCTGCCAATTACAGGTGTGATCCGGCAAACGATCGGGACAATCGGTGCCGTCAATGCCGATTGTAACAGTTCTCTAACATCCTCTAAATTATGTAACAGTCTATTAGATGATGAAACTTGGCGCTTGGGCAGTAGCTGGCCAACAGCTGGCCAACAGCTGCACTCAGTTCTCGCTCCATTTGTCAAGGCGTGATGAAGATCAATGGTCTTTCCTTCTGCATCTCGGCTATTGTGACCCGAGAGTGACGATGCCAGCGCAGATCATGATGTTCGGGGAGGATTATGGACTTCGGAACACATCACATATGGGTTTCAAATATCCCAATACAAACAAACACGGGCCACCAATGCTCATATTTATGCCCAGGGCGCTTAGCTAGATGATCAGAGGCTTTCATCCTTGCAATGCAAAGCCAGGAAAGGGGCCCGAATCGCTCACTCCACGATGTGCCCTGACCTCAAACGCAGGGATGTATGATCTTACATCCATTCGGCAGATAATACTCGCATTGTAAATCGAGACGACGAGGGCATTCTAAGCATGATGTAGTGCCGGAACTGCTCTATTCGAAGTTGAGTGGGGTAACGACTGGTACTCGAAGATAAATACGCTGGACCAAGCCGTACCAGATATTCGTTTCTGATCCAGACTCACCTCCTCGCGAAGATATCAACCAGATCATTATTCCTTCACTATTTACGAGTAACCCATATCCGCTCTTTTTCTTCCTAGAACTGCTTTTCTTCATTTCTGGTGACTCTAGATCACATCAACTCTCTTTTCACTGCTGATAGAGAAACCGCAACAAACTGTCAAAATGCATGCCTATGCTCTCCTCGCGCTCGTTCCTCTGGCTATAGCCGCTCCCCCTTCTTCCTTCCACAAGCGTGAGCAGATAGCTCCTCTAATTGTTCCCCTTGGCGGCAACCACATTCAGGATAAATACATTGTTCGTATGAAAAAGGAAACCGTTTCATCTTCTGTTACTTCTGCTCTCAGCTCCATCAAGGCCAAATCCGATTTTGTGTATGCCCACAGCTTCAATGGGTTCGCGGCTACCTTGGATGACGAAGACCTTGCAACCATTCGCAAGAATCCTATGGTCAGTATAAATCATATTTGTTTTTGGTCTCTCTCTTCCAACTAACGGGTGTCCAGGTTGACTACGTGGAGAAGGACCAAACTATTTATGTTTCTATGACGCAACAAAATGCTCCATGGGGCATTTCACGCCTTTCTTCCAAAACGCCCGGCAGTACCACTTACAATTACGATCCATCCGCTGGTGAGGGTACTTGTGTCTACGTTCTTGACACCGGTATCGCTATTGCCCATCCCGAATTTGAGGGTCGTGCAACTTGGGCCGCCAACTTCGCTGGTGATGGTCAGAAAGTTGACGGTGTCGGTCACGGCACCCACTGTGCTGGCACGATTGGCTCAAAAACCTACGGAGTAGCCAAGAAGACCCAGCTCTTCGCTGTCAAGGTCCTCGGCAATGACGGATCTGGCACTAACTCGGGTGTACTCGCTGGTATGGAGTGGGTTGTCAAAAACGCCAATAAGTCCAAGTGCCCCAAGGGTATTGTTGCAAGCATGTCTCTTGGTGGTGGCTTTTCCCAAGCTATGAATGATGCCGCCGCCGCTATCGTCAATGCCGGAATCTTCCTTGCTGTTGCGGCCGGAAATGGCGCTGCCAACGCTGCTCAGACTTCTCCTGCTTCCGAGCCCAAAGTCTGCACTGTTGGTGCCTCTGATGTGAATGATCGTATTGCTGAGTTCTCCAACTTCGGCAAAGTCGTTGATGTCTTTGCTCCCGGTGTTGGGATTCTATCCACCATACCTGGAGGCCGTACCGAGAAGATGTCGGGCACTTCAATGGCTACTCCTCATATTGCAGGCCTTGCTGCCTACCTCCTCGGTACGGGTCAGAAGGTTGCAGGTCTGTGCGATTATATCAAACAGACTGGCGTTCAAACCCTGTCCGGTGGCCCGAACGGCACGACCAGGACCATTGCCAACAACGGTTATTCCGGTGACAGCCAGCGGTCATACTTTAACCTGATGTAATTGCCCTCGCCCTTTGCTAGAATGAATCATTCCGCGGAACGCGATAGAAAGCCTTTGAGGCTTCTTTTAACCTTTGTAGGCGGATTTCCTTTCGCTTTTGGTATTTTGCCAATATTGGAAAAGGAGGAAGGGGAAAAAACCTGAGTTCAAATGACTAAGAAGAGGTTCCATGAATTATACCAAGCCAGCTTCTTTCATAATATATTCTAGATGGGTAGCTACAAGCTAGCGAACAGTTTTATCAAACCAGAATTATAAAGTCATTGTCTTGGTTACATTTAAGATTAATATATGGATTTATTATGTGAAATTCAAATCTACAAGTCCTACTGACGTCCGGTTTTATTGCAACCTTCCCCACACGTCGATATAGATCAATATTCGATTCCGGCGCATGGAGAATAACTACCATAATTCCATACTCGTTTGTGTGATGACTAACACAGTAAAGGAAGAAGATAAGGACAAGGTAGATACAACATAAGCAATCGGATGCCTAGTTAGACATACAATCAACGGCCAAGTCTCACCTTTTAGCCAGTGAGAAACCACGTCAAAGTCTCAATGCGCAAGTACGTAACAAAAAGATACCATGCATATGTCATATTTTTAAGTCGAACATAGTAAGCTTTCAGTGAGAGGGTGAGCCGACTTAAAAGACATATTTCAGTTCAAGGGGGTTCGACGCGACCTCCAAAGTTACGAGGGCTTAAATATGACTTCTGGTTCACCTTGGATGCCCCGATCAATCTGGCTATGGCAAATCTAGTACTTCCGCCACTCCCTGGTGACCACCTAAAGAAAATAATGAGCTGATCGTTTTGCCTTGGGATACTCCTGAAGCTCAACACACGTAAAGAGCTATAAGTCGCTCTGTGGTAACCTCATCACTGAACACACAGTCTCGCCCACGGCCAAGAGCGTCATCACGCCTAGAAGCGCCTCAAGATGATTCTGAGAATTTCTGCGCTGTATTTTACGAGGTTCTCTCTCACCCGCCTCATAGCTTGTGTTTGTAATGTGGCGATTAGGTACCAAATGGCTTGTAAGACCGAGATATGTACCTAGAGGTAAAAACGGCAAGAATTGAAGGGGTGGAGCTACACGAGGTACTGGAATGGGCGACCTTTTAGTTCTCATGAGTGTTTTCGTATTCCTCATCATATCACTGATGCCATGACAATTGAATGATATCTACAAACACAATTCAACTTCAATATCAGCCATATCATTGAGCATGCGTGGAGACAACGACATAACTGGATAGCGAATTTATTCTGTAGTCGCGATGCAAGCTATCGTTGGCATTAGTCCATTCCAGTCCTCTTCAGCTAAAATGAATTCCTTACAGTGTCCGCTTCCACGGTGACATCGTCAGATAAGTGTTGATGACCAATTGAGGCTGCCCGTGGGCTATCTGTACATGCATTACCCCTGAAACGATCAGCAATCAGCGCCAATTCTGGAAGCTGTGTAGTTGATGTTCGAATGCCAGCATCCTGTAACAAATATCACGTAATTAACCACAGCCCACAGAGAGGGCCCCTGTAGGCCTTAGAGCATACATACGTATACTCTGTTGACCTCGGTACAAGTATGAAGTAAAGTAATATGCCTGCCTAGAGCTTTCTGCCTTCATCATTTGGTACTCGGAGTTCACCTGAGGCAAGTGAATTATGGCGCCTCGTTTTCTGAGCCCCCCACGCCGGAGCTGAAGAGTAGAGGCATGCACGGTGACATTTGACAATCAAAAGAACCTGCGGACTATTTCATGTTTGACGTTTTGACCGCTGACCCTTGCCGGCACCCGTGAATTGGCTGATGAGGCACATCTCGACCTGCTGAGGCCCGCTGCCGATCGCCGAGATAATGGCTCAGCATGGCCTAGTAACCCAGGACCTGCCGGATTTGTGTTTGCCGATCGTCGTCCTTGATTCACATGGCTTCGAAACAGCCCTTTCACTGGATGGCTTAATGCTAGTGGAGATCGCGTGGAGGCCAATGCACGGGCATTGAGGTGACATACTAACCTGGAACATGCTGACCTTTTGGATCATCACGGCCTTTTGTTGTGGCGGTATTAACGGGGCTGATATGGGGGCTGCTTTACTTATAAGGAAGCGGATGTCTCATCTCACTTACAGTACTTAACCAACCCAGCCCGCCTCTCCAGTCTCTCATTTCAGGTCCTGAATCAAAGGTAGTCTTCAACATGCAGTTCTCTCTCGCCGCCCTTCTCTCACTGGCTGTCGCCGTCAGCGCCGCTCCCCACGCTCGCGCTGCAGAAGCCGCCACCTGTGGCAGCAACGACTACTCTGCCAGCCAAGTCTCTGCCGCTGCTGACGCTGCTTGTCAATATTACCAGGACGGCACAACTGCCGGTAGCTCTAGCTATCCCCACCGTTACAACAACTATGAGGGCTTTGAGTTCAAGGGCTTGAGCGGTCCATTCCAGGAGTTCCCCATCAAGACAAGCGGAGTCTATACTGGCGGTTAGTGCTTCCATTTGAGTTTTCCTCTTTTGAATTCGTACCCATTGTTAACATTTTTATTCTATTGATTAGGCTCCCCCGGTGCTGACCGTGTCGTAATCACTGAGGATTGCCAGTTTGCTGGTGCCATCACACACACCGGCGCCAGCGGCAACAACTTTGTTGCTTGCGATGGTACTTCCTAAAGAACCTTTTTAACCAGCGCATTGACTGGAACTGGTTTGGGGAGATAGATTATGAGTGAATTTGTATATATGATACTATGATACAAATGATGCCGTATATAGAGCAGCTAAATATTCATCAAATAGCCATACAAGGCATTCAGTTACACTCTGGTTACGCAAACCGACTGTTTTGTCACTCTAGATTGTCTATTCAATCTTTACACTAATGTGCATGCCTTTAGGGCTAGGGATCTAAGGATTACCAGATCACTAGCTCAATCTAACATGGGCAGAAACAGAGAGTAGCCAGGATGCGTCCAACAGTTAATACAATCGTCAAATCGACTATTGTGGCCTTTGTTGTGGTCGATTGCCCCTGTACCTGTTTGTCTTTAGGCGTTCAGTTCCTTGATGTACCTACCTCAGATCACTTATTGATCTCTTTAAAATCGTCCCCCAGGTACTGCAATTCAACGCGGATCAGTCAAAGAACATTAATCTCCCTGCAGTTTCTAATATATTGTGCTGAGATGTATCGACATAAAGCTTGATAAGTCCAATGCTAAGCTTTCAGTGTAGTCATTTGCTATGAGCGAGACGAGCACCTCTATTTCTCTTTCTGATAGTCATAGTAATTCAATTTCAAACCATGTGATCTTTGTTTTGAAACTGAGTTCCAGTAAAATGTTTCATTCGCTCCACCTTTGAATATAAACTAGCGGCATGGTCATCCGCACTATGTGTTAAGAACAGTGTGTCAGTTTTCTATCTACAAGATCTAACTGTTTACACAAGTTCATCCTAGCATTTCAAGTGGGCCCTATGTCATTATTATATACAGCTCCTTGATCCATCTCTTCATCGCCTCTACTTCATCGGCCTAGGAGTCATAAACTGTCCTAAGCGACACTATCCTTAGTTAAATTGTAGTTGTTAAGGACTTTGTCGGGGTGTATACATTGGTGCAGCGCATCTGGTGTCGACGAAGGTCTAGGGGAACAACGCCAATCAGAGGATTCCACTGGTCCTGTGCCCACCGCCCCTACGCCGAGAGAGATTTATCAGCTTATGTAGAGGGGTTCGTGAGCCTCTCTAAATAGAGGTGGAGCATAGCATCCGCAGGCGGGTAGCTTTAAACTTTGCACACTCTAGAAGAGGCCAGCTCTAATTCCTCCGCATCCTGAAAGTTAATTGGAATGCTACCTCTATTCACTGTTATAGAGAATGAGATATTTGTCTTGTCTTCGATTAAAAAGTGCTATATTCTTGTACCCTAGTTACTAACCTGCCATTGCAATCTTGCGTCCTCTCTAATAACAAGTTAGCTCTCGAGCCTACCAAAATCCCTAGATTCAAGACGAATATTATACTCAGGATCGCAAGAATGTTTTTTTTTTGGAATAGGTTTCTTGATTAAAAGCTACGTAATAGCAGAAACAAGAGTCTGGGTTCATTTTCTTTTTGCATCTAGGCCTAGTTTACATTCGGTGGTGTTAGCTGTTCGCTGGCTCTTTTCTCTTTGGTTTGGTTTTTCTAGGGCGCAGAGGCATGCGGCTGAGAAAGGTAATCCTTAATGTTATTATAACGATTTTCATATCACTATAAGCAGTAATTAACTCGCTCTAGCTATCGGGCTATAGCTACAGTTCTATCCCACTCATCCCTATCATATTAATCTTACACAACGTGTATTTACGAGCTTTCATCAGCATAAGTTGTTGTTCTCTTCACTCAAGCCCCGTTATCAGAGACGTTATGGATGATCATTCGGGTGACCACTTGACAAATTATTGATTAGTATTGATTTTCATTATACTGCCCGTATGTAGCATTTTTACCAATGGCCTCTCCTAAGACACGTGGCAATGGGATACTGGTGTGGCGTTAAATGAAATCCTTATTCGTATTGATAAGTAAGAAGGTCTAACCGAATGTAACCAAAGCGCCTTTTTCGCTTTGCCTATTACATGCTTTTGGATGGTCAGCTTCGTGCAACCTATACGGATTGCCATACGGAGTGCTTATCTTCCACGCGGGAGAAAGATCAGCATCCTCATTTTCTAGCCAAAGTGCTTTCCATGTCAGCTATACATCACTATCCTTCCCAGATCACAAGGGTTTGGCTTCTATAAAGAACTGTAATAAATTCGCGATAGATTCAGTAAAAGAAATGGCAAAGATATGATGCCCCTTGGCCTTTGCCCCCAAGATGCAGCTGACGTGCTGACTTGCTGACGTCAAATGGGTAGGATTGGTACGAGGAACACAGCCGCTCGGGTCCGGTATAGCAAGTTTCCCCGCAAACCTGGTAGACGAATAAATACCTCTGCATGTACTGGTTGCTAGATAATGATCCCCACTGGTTTCCTTCCTCTCCTTGGTTTCCCGAGCAAAACCGAACGTCAATCCCCAGTCCCACGATGGCATCATCAGCAACGCCAGAAAACCCCGATTTATACAATGTCAGCAACATCGACGGTACGAAGCTAGACACGGCCGGTGTATGCTGGGCTTTTACAGGCCTGGCCTCCGGTTTTCTCATTACTCGAATCATTGCGAGGCTGAGGTGGGACAAGGAGATGTTTGGCCATGATTTCTGGTGCATTGGAGGACTTGTACGAACCAGATTTTACTTATAATCCCCTTCTATGAGTATTGTCTTTAACATTATCTTTTCCCGAGCCAGACATGTTCCATAATCTCGTGCGCTTTCCTCCAGATTGCCATGAACAGCATTGATGGAGAAGCCTTCCCATATGCTACTGCGCAGCAATGGAGAGATGCCAAGTTCTGGCAGCTCATGTCCCTCTGTGTAGGGGCTCTGTCCGCTTCGCTGCCTAAACTGGCAATCGCGACATTCCTCGTACGACTTTTGCGTCCATCGCTTTGGAATCAGTGGTTCATGTTGTGGATGGCCATCTGGTCACTTCTGTCCCAGTCCACCTTGAGCATCGCGATGATGTTCCAATGCAGTCCTGTGGAAAGCTTGTGGCAACCCAATCAACAATCCAGCGATTGTTCAGTTTCGATGGCAAGATCATTGTCCGCTTTTAGCATATACTGTCAAGGCATGTGGATTCGAACTAGGCTATGCAGAGTCATATACCCTAACCAAGCGTGCATCTAGTTTTTTCCGCTTTCGTTGACATTTATCTCTCTGTCTATCCCGCTATTATAATTTTCCAACTCAAAATGAAGCTACGACAAAGGATTGGCCTTTCCATCACACTTGGCATAGGGTTATGGTACTATCCCAGTTCTAGTGATGTATAAAGTGAAGGAAGACTGACAGATCGGGTTTGCACAGCTCTGCTGCGGTCGCTATCTATCGCATTACAGTTGCCGCCAGAAAGAACTCTTCATATGCTATTTACCCATGTTAGCATCAATACTGATCCCATCCTCTATTTCAACCGGATACATGCTAACTGCCAATAGTGTTTATAACTGAATTGATCAAATGGACGGCGTGAGTACTTGATCTTTTCCTTCATTTCCCTATTTCTAACGTTTCTTTTCCGTCGAAGAATCGAGGGGACCACCATCACGATAGCGTGTTCCATCCCTGTCTTGTCGCCACTATTTGAAGTATTCTATTCTTGGTCCTCCAGTTTATCATCTATACTGTCGTCAAAGCTTCGATCGAGCGGTGGCGCGGAGGCCTATGCATTGGAGTCTTCCACGGCACGCAGCAGCACCCTGCCTCCGCTATCTCCACCCTTACAGAAGCAACATAGATTTTCGCGCAATGAAAGCTCGCTCTGGACAGGAAAAACTACGCTTCAGTCTTCGGGGGCCTCTCAGGAAAGGATCATTAGTGAAGAAAGTTGCTAATAGGTGGTGTTACTCTCATGAAGCCGGATCCTACACTAATACACCCCATAATTTTACAGTATGGCAAGAAAATTTAGTAATTATCCAATTGTTTTGTATATGTGAACTTTCGTCTATTTATAAACTGGTACCACCAAGGTCAGGTGTACCTGCACGTTGCGTCACTCCTATGATTTTACATTTTCGTACTTGTGATAAGACGGATGTTATATTTGCAGATCCTCTCTTAGCCGTATCCTGCTTATGCGACATTCGGCGCAAGTCATTAAATATCTTGGACTTTAGATGTCAATTAAGAGATGCTATTCTCTATGACGCGGCCGATTCTGGATTGTAGCTCTACTAACAGAAATATTTCGTTAATAGCGTGTTGCTTTCAAGTTATGACCAGCAATAAACAATAGCGCAATCGCCAGTGACATTTCGTTCCGATCTCCCTTCTGATAGGATGGCACTTTGTAAAGTCCCTATCATATCCCTCATCAAATACATTAGTAATAATATCTCGACTAATCTCAACGCACCGGACGACGTCGTTGGCTAACCTGGGTCCTTTAGGGGGTTGAACGCCTTCGCGAACAGACGTGGTGGGTTCGGGAGACTGATTCAGGGCGGCTTAGGAGTACCCTTCAAAGGCCTCTTCTCAGAATTTCTCTGTTTGGGGGACTCAATGAGAACCCTCCTTTCTCGTTGGGGATCTATAACGGCATGGCATGAGCGCGGCTGTGTTGCTGAATGGGGTGGGCGATCGCGGTAATCGCCAGGCGGTATTTTATCGGGCTCCCGGTTGTGTACTTACGGGCTAGCTACATTTTGTCCTTCGGGCACAGTCAAGGGGGGCAAAACAAGCCGAGGGCATGGCCAGCTCTCGTCTGTGAAGGGTGAGGAGGGTGCGGTGATGACAAAGCCATTGCAACCTACAATCTGGTAGGTCAAGGTCACGCATCTTTGCAGACCCTGAGACAATTTCACCTCTATCTAGGTATTTAGGATGCATGATACCCTTCTTTGAAATATGGGCTAACTATGTTTCTTTCTTTAACTCAAGATTCAATAACCTGAAAACCAAGCACAAGTTATATATAAGGGATACTATTCTGAACATTGTAGTTACTGATCTGTACGCGTTCGTTGCATAGACTTTACGACGGATGAGTTGGATCTAGGGTAGGTGAAGCCTTCGC